ATTCGAAGAAGTATCAGCTGCGCAGAGTGCAGTTAAAGGTTGGGTCTTAATCGAAGAAGACCTTTCCGACGCGGAATCCTCATCCGAGTCCAGCGATTCTGATTCCGATTCCGATTCAGAAAAGGAAGCCAAACCAAAAGCAGAGAAGTCCAAGAAACCAAAAACCAAAACGAGGAAATGGTGGGTAAACAAGATTCAAGGACGTCCTTTACGTATGGAATTTGCAGAGGACGATCAATTGAGATATAAGAAGCGATACGGAAAGGATGGATCCAAGAACCCTAACGAGAGACACCCACGCGAAGAACGTGAATCTGGTGGCAGAGTTGGAGCTAATGATGAGCCTGTCGTGCCGAGGGTTCCAGGAGAGAAGAGAGAGAGACCAGAGAGACCTGTTAAGAAGGTTGAGTACAGATCATCTTATGCACCACGTCTGACGGGTGGTATTGTAGAGAGTGAAGGAAAGAAAACTAAGTTGTAGTGTTAAAATGGTGTCTGCGGACGAGTTGGAGGATTGTAATGACATATATTTGTGTATCAATTTTCCTCTTTTCCACAATGAATTTCTAAATGCTCATCTCGCCATTCTATCACTAGCTATTCGCCCTGGCATTCAGTATAATTATTTTTTCTGGCGCATCATTTATTACAATCACTCCAGACACATGACATGCACAAGAAACTCTACTGCACGAACACGATCATTCTCAACCGAAATAAAGGCTTTCATTCATCTCACCCACATCACTTCCTCACTTCTCAAACACCCGCACTACTATTATTGAAAAAGCATTACTATCTCTATGCCTCTATCCTCATTCACACCTTGTGCATTATGATCCCCAATCATCCCTCATATCATATCTGTCATCTTCATGTAATCATCATCCCAAATATCGATCCCACTCCCGCGCTCATAACGAAACATCAACTTCCCCTTACGCCCAACTTCAGCTATTCTAAAGTGATTCAAGAAATTCTCCCCCCATCTAACCATACCCAGAGCCAATCCAATGTCCACGGCCCTCTCGCATAGCAAGCTCGACTGAAGGTCGTTTGGAAAAGCGTTCATATCTGCTTGATTTCCCAAAAGACTGCAGAAGTATCGTGTAATATCGGATGCGTCGATATATGCCCATTCTATGTAACTTCCTCTCCAGCTCTACATCCTCCACCCAGTATATTATCCACCCGCATCCCAATATCACCATCCTATCCCTAGATCCACTTTCATCTCGCATGTACACTACTGCAACCTTCCATCTCCCGCATTCTCCCCGTTCGCTTTTGGCTGGAAATAATCCACCATCTTCGCTGCTTGTTCCACGTGCGGAAGAGCTTGTGATCTGTTCGACGCATTGAGATGTCCACTCGAATACGCGTTACCGATTTCATTGCCATTCGCTGCTAGATTTAAATTTCCAGGAGCAGCTTGCGCTTGACTTCCAGATATCGCATTCGCATTACCCTTCGCATTGACATTCGCGCGTACCTTTCCACCTGAGCCCATACTAGTTCCTACGACTTGGCTATTCTGTCCACCTTGATTCAGATTACTCAAATCCCCAGTGGGCGGTACCTTAGCCCGACTCTTCCTAGGTCGACCTCTTGTCTTAGATTTGGGTTCCTCGGGAACATTTGGATTGTTCTTTGTGTTTGGATTTGAAGCTGGATCTTTCAAGTCTCCATTATTTCTGTTAGAGTCCTGTAAGCCTCTCGCTTTACCACCCGTATTTCCCGTATTCTGTCGTTTAGCATCTGGGGCGCCAATAGCATTAGAAATTGAATTCGAAGCTTGTCGTTTGAGATTATTAGGATTTTGAGGATAGTTGAGTTGTGGTGGAGGCCTGCTATTTCCATTTTGTACTTGTGCTTGACCTTTTCCTGGACTACTTTGTGAGTATCTCCGAACTGGTTGTGGTGGTGGCGGCATTCTAGAACTTCCTCTAGAATCTTGCTCTCGCACTGCATCTTTTTGCTTTCGAAGGATATCGTTGAGGATAGCCTCTTCTCGTGGGTTTGTTTGCTGTCCTGTGGCTTTAACAATTCCTTGTTGTCCTGGCATTCCAATTCTTGGAGCAGAAACTTGAGAAGCTTCCTCGAGTCGTTTCTTTTCAGCTTTGTTTTTTACATAAATTGCTTTTTGTTGTTTGCGTAAATAGGTGTCGACCATAGCAGTCTTTTGTGATTCGTTAAGCTTTTGCATGGCCTCGGATGATATCATTCCATGGTTCAGGATCTGCTGTAGCATAGAGTCTCGCTGTCTTTGGGAAATTGTGATCATTGGTCGACTTGGTACTTTCTTCTGCTTTTGTCGCCCTTGTTGATCTTCTTGCTGTTGCTGTTGTTGCTGCTGCTTGAGCCTTGCATCCGAGATGAGAGCTGCCTGTCTTTGGGCTGTCCGTGGATCAATGGTAGGATTTGGATTGAGACGAACAAGAAGAGGCTCAACCCTCTTATCCCATCCTCTAAGTTTCGCCTCGATACTTTTGACATACCAATTCGACATTCCTATTAGTCCCATGCGTTTGATCGCCGTAACCCATTTTAAGTTCGTTGACTCATTTGTTAAATCAACAGAACCACCTCTAGTGGTGGCCATGTCCACGAAAATAGTTGCCACAATCATCTTTTTATCAAAACCGTTAATTGACCTTGATTGAATTAGAACAGGAATGTAAAACTGTTGTCTGTCTTCTAAGCATTGCTCTTGTGCTAGCGCATCCAATTCTTCGAATGATAGAGTATAAAGAAGCCCCAACACCGCGTTTGGCATACCCGTCTCGTTTTGCTCAATTTTTGTTGCAGGAATTGGGGCAGGACCCATTGGAATGTGCAATCTCGGATTATAATAGCTCGGTCGGATGTTTGGTTTGCCTACAATTCATAGTCAGTGGTAATCGAAAAACAGACATGCTCGAGCAGATTGCACTTTTTTCATCGATGAACCATTCCCAATCTTTTAGACCACCGAGCGCAGAGAAATTACTTGAAGGAAATTTATCCTTGAAGACTTGTTGCGACTCAGAATAATCGTATTGTAAGAATACTGCACGGAAACAGCCTCGAGCTTGACGACGGAGTTCATTCTGATCGTTTAGAAATTTAGAAAGCTGTTGGATCGACATGGCAAAAGTTGTGTTGGTTTTGAAAGCTATCCAGTTGGAAAGATTGTCTTTAATAAAAGTAGATTCTGGGTGCAAAAGCGCAATAACAAATCAAGAGGGTTGATAGAAAGCGGAGTAGAAGCAGTGATTGTACAAAGTTGTGTTGGATTCGCCAGGTGGTATTGAGAAAAAATCCGATGAATCTTATGGTTTGGTTCAAGAAGCGGCTTTTCGCGGTCCTTGTTGGAAGAGAGTGGAAAGTGAATACTTTTCAAACCATACAAATGAAAATTGATACAATGAAGAGGCTGAGATGACCAATAACAATGCAAATTTAACTATCAAAAATGCTTCGACATATCCAAGTGATGCTAAGTTCTCACTCCTCGACAAGTTTTTATCGTTGCTACCTCAAATTAACATCTATTAATGGCGAGGCCGGTAGACACACTATCATGTCCGAAAACTCCTCATCTGAAATCTTTGTGATTCATTATCGGACGATAAAATCTGGCTGAGAAGCTCTGTAACGAACTTTCTCCTGCCACTTTCACTCAAAGTACACTTTTCGACGTCTGCAACATACTCTAGTGGCTTCAAATGTTCATAAGCAGTATGAATTCTAAGATCATGATCTGCAGTTAGTACTGCAGTATGGTTTCATTATCATTTTTTTGGTCTTTGGGGTGAAAAAATTAGGACGGGTCCGTTGGCTGAACGAAGTCGTTGTGATGTTAAGTAAGACTTTTGCAGACAGACTTTCTCCATCGAAAAGCCATGAATGACAAAGTTTGGAGGTCCAGCTATCAGAGTTATTGTTTGATCACACTTGTGAAGAGAGGCCGAATGTCGTATAGGCTTCGATACATCAGTCTCGAGGAGAGTGTCATGCTTCTCGATCCAGATGAGCGTTGAAAATTTCCTGACCACTCTGGCATATTCAGATATTTGTATTCATCTTGAACACATACTAATAAGCCGTCAACTAGCAACCTAATCGGTAAAAGGCCATCGAGGTCCTTCGAGTTACGAGAATCTCCTCTCCTTCCCCCAAAGGAAAAGATGCAGCTCCTCGTGTTTCTCGACAAGATTTCAAGGCTTTTTGTGTGTATCCTGTATCTATTGGCGAGGGGCAAAATAAACTAGTTCAATGCTCCCACTTTTCAAGGTATTGAATTGTCAATGCAGTATGTTTGTTTGAAAATGTTCAAAGAAGTGCGTTTGTTATGTTGCACAAGTTCACGTGCAGCCTGCAGATTGCTGACACATCGCGTGCAGACTCTACACGACGCATCTTTGATCCAACAGCCTTGAAGTCATACAATCACGAACAAAACGCCACTCAGTATCGAGAGCTGCATGCCCCTTGACAAGCGAAGAGTATGTGATTGTATTCGTGACGTTAATTGATGGATGGTCCCTTCGGCTTTAGCCATCAAACCTTCTACGGTACTGACGACAGGGTCAATGTTTACATTTCGATTTTTGACGGGATGTGGGCTTCAGGATGGGATGTCTTGACCCTCAAGTAGTCATACGGAGGAGAGAGAAGCTTTTGGAGACTGTATGTCGAAGAAAAAAAGTATTTTTATTGATAATCCTCGTTCCCTCATTAAAATTGCTTATCCACACCTAAAATAGTGGGATTCTAGACCCAGTCAGTACGTAGGCGCTGGGTCATCTGCAGACTGCTGGATGAAAACAATCAAATAACGAATTTCATGCGCTTCATACCCAAGCCTAACTCCTAATACAAGCACTATATCATCATGCTTTTTCCATTATCAATGCCACATCAAAATCTATTCGATTCTGCTTTTGTTTTAGTGGACTTGTCACATGCCAAGATACATGAACTAACCTATTGGTGAGATTTTTGAGACTAGGATATTCTCATGGCCATTGATTGATCCATCCATCTATACTGCTGTTACAACCATGAAACATTGTTGTAATTACACCTGGTGTGGCTGAAAATGGGTTGCTGTTGCCGGGATGGGTCTGAGAGGGCATCAAGAAAGATGTACTGGGATTGATGGCATCGTCGTTGAGTTTGCTGTGTTTTTGAAGATCAGCAGTCTGATTTGGCTTTGCCGATAAGAATCCAGCAGTGTTAAGAGACGGCTGTACACTCTGTTGAGCTCGACTGGGTGGAAGCACTGGTTGACTAGGGCCGCTTCCTAATGTAGGCTTTTAAAGTATCAAATGAGTCTATGTTATGCGAATCAAGAGAGGAAACTCAAACCTCGAGAACATATATAATTTCACCTGGATACATGTGTCTTTCATGCTGGGTGACGTGTATAATTCCAGAATTCTATCATACTCATTAACTGTTTGTTGTCAGATGATTGAAAAAGAGTATTCCCACGGGATCGTTCATAAAAGCATCACTAAGCGCCTGTGATGAGTTGAATCATTAGCAAATGTTGCAATTATCATTCCAAATATTATGCACACCTTGGCCTCGATGATTTCTCGTCCTCGACGGATATTCTTTATCATGCTCTCCCAGTCTTCACGGAACTCAGAATGTTCCTTCAACCAGTCTTCACTCGGCTTAATCAAACTATCTTTGTTGACACCCTTTGGTATTCCCAAATGACCAAGCCTACGAAGATTCTCTTTTGTAATGCCTAGGTCCACTTGAACCCCTGAAATTACACGATTTTCCCAGTCCCTTTTACGTTGATTGTAGCGTTTGACAAATTCAGCAACAGATTCAATGCATCTATTCCTCGGGGCAGGCATAGTTGGTATGCCAGGAATGTAATCAGCATTGCCTCGAAAATTTGTAAAGACGCGTGTCTGGAAACAATATTTCCGCTTCTGTGATTGATCCATCGTCCGAAGCTCCAATATGAATAACTGATATATGAATTTATGATAAGAGTTTGTATAATCCAATGATAAGATGGTTCGTTGACATCGCGAGGTCATAATATACAGTCATCGACCATATGAGGAAGGAGCAGTGAAGACTGCAGATGAGTTATTCTCTCAGGGAAAGAGTAGTGTATTGTGAATTATTTTTCTTGGATTACAGGAACGAAGTGCATAGATGTGTGCACAAAAGCCAGGAGCGAAGCTGAAGAACGAAAGTCAAAGGTAGTGGATAAAACCATGGCTTTCGATAATCTCTGGAAGAAGGAATGTTGGCTTTCAGTCTTTTGATTAGCACTTGATGTCAAGACTTTCTTTGATACTCGATTTGCATCAAATAGAAAGCACCTCATTTAGAATTGCAATCCGGACTCTAGAGAATTCAGATACAAAATATAACTGAATTTGAAGTTTTTCTAGGGGTTTCCCGGAAATCGAGAAGTCCCACCCTCTAATCACAGCCCGTTTACTTAAAATATCTAATGAAGTATTTCTTACACCTGTTTTCAGGTTCGATGGTTTTCGAACATTAAACGAGGCGTAAAGAGCAATTAGGTGAACTCCAACTTCAGGTATCCGAAATCAATATTCTCACATGATCATTTTATCGTCATTTGTTCCTTCTTTTGCTCACATTGTCTGTTTCATTGCTAGCTTCTTCCATCCACGCAGCAAGTACTTTTCGGACCAACGACAGGCTCAAAAACATACCTTGATTCTCGGTAAACTCAATACTAAAACGGTAACACAAAAAGGCACGCAGCAATACCCGACACAAGTTCAAACACAATTACCCAAAGGTATCCGGTGCAAGACTTGACAAGTGTGATATCAACCTCATAGATTGTGACCCTAGGCTCCTTATACAATTACTATTCTCAATTCCCCACCATATCTCGCGTGTTATCCTATTCAATTTCTCCGTTCCGGTTCCCAAAATTAACTCAACGCCCATTCTCCATTCCAAGCGAACCCCCACTTGAATCTCTCATACATTTCCTGAATTCTTTGTAACTCCATTTAGCTCATATTTTGGTCCCCAGAAGCTGGCTAGCTTGTATGCAACTTATCATCTAGTTGATTTAGTTGGCCAAGTTGGTGGTCGTGGGGCATGCTGCGCTCGCTCATGAAGCATTCGATTATGTTCTCTTCCCTGGCGATCGAGCGGTTCCAACTGCGCCCGTTCGAAATCTTTCGTATTTCCCTCTGGATGGTAGATTCCACCAACGATAGTCTTGTTTGAACTAGTGATACCCCTCATCCAGCCAGGTGTGTTATGTCTTTGGTCCGGTTCAATCATTCTGGCACGATTAGCTGGAGCAATCGGTTGAAGTACCGTTTCTAGGGGAGTTGTCCTTCGGTCGTAGTTGAAAGATGATTTATCTGGCGTTACGACCGGGTACTCGTATAATGTGTCGGGTCGGTAGCCTTTATCATTGTTGATGAATCTTTGGGGTCGCTCTCGATCATCGAAGAGAGGGTATTTGGCTCCTTTTGGGCCTTCTTCATTCTTGTATTTGTGAGGATATTGGGACATCGTTCTTGTGCCGCCGACTGGAGCTCTGGCAATTTCTTGTACCATCACTTTGTGTGGTATGTTGCCACGGGGTGTGTGGTATTGCTATGGGTTTGTTAGAAAAGGGGTTGTTTCATTGTAATCTAGAGTAGAGTATGGACACACAAGACTGTCATGATCATGGTCGGAGTTTCTTCTTCCGCTCATGTTGGACTAATGTGGTAGATTCTTGGAGGTTCGGTAGACTAATAGGAGACTGATTAACTTGAAGGTCTCAGGTGCGTCGACAGCTCGTGTCTTCAGGGAATGACGTACAGCGTGCAGTGATTAATTTCCCTTCGACTTTTTTTCTTGAGTCTAGATATAAACTATCACCAGTGTTAGTAACATCACGTATGGAAAATTGGACCTCGAAGTCTCTGGCTTGCTCACATTTGAATGCAGATTTCAAGAGGTCAGGAAGTGGCGGTTGAATCTAAGGTGAGTTTGGTTTTCAATGAAATATCAGCCAGCTGATGAGAGTAATGCGTTGCTTGAGATCCAGGTAGAATCCTGTAGTTCTTTATATCCTCATGATCCGCAATCTCAATAGAATAATTTTACCAGCAAAGGATTACCCAGGTGACTGCCAGCGTTTAAATTTGATACTATTGTGAGGCTTCATCGAATCAAGATTACAATATTTTACTTTCTGATACCGACATCATCAAAACGCGATACAGACATACTTTTGGCCACATTATTACCGAGACAGTCGAATTTCCCCCCCTGCTGCTATCCATCGAGGCGTCAAGCTATGTACCATTTCCGCATCTGCTCGACTCTAGCATCCCAAGCGCTACAAACGCTTGTCGGTGTCCCTGAATATTCTTTTAATATCTGAGAATTATCGGAACTCAATGAATCGCTGGACATCACATCCTTACCACCGACAGCACTTTTGTGTTCACCAGAGTGTCGGTACCGCTGAATACTTGCTCAAGAGTCGAGACTGTGACCTTCACTAAGCGCGAGAGACCAATATATATACGGTATTGTAAATTGGTTGTCAATTAGGAACGATTGGGTGACACAGCATAATTGTCCACGTTGCCATTACACTTACCAATGTACCGGTACCGCCGTCTCGCTTTCATCATTTTATGGCTGCCAAATAGGTGTGCCATCGCAAGCGACAGGTGATTACAGGGAGTCGGGTCATTTGGTCAGCGTAGCGTCCCAAACTGCCGGTACCGCCGTGCTATCTTTTTTAACGTGCATTTTGCATCGTTGGCTGACATTATTGGATGAATTCACAAGGTCTATAACCTTGCATGTCAAACTTTAACCACAAATGATAATTTCATTGGCCCTTTTCTTGAGATAAAGATGAATTGAAAGATGTTTCGCCAATGATTATGCATGAAGAAGGGAGGGGTGGTGTATTTCAGGTCAAATAAGCGCTCAAGATGAGGGGTTGCTTATAAATACACACCAGGTCCTTGCTCCAGCGACCCCATGATATGCAGGCGCCTGCGCCATTCAATTGAATGATAATCTAATAAGAATATCATAAAACTTGCAATACCCTTCTCGCTATCAAATGTTCGCGTAACTATTGACATACTATCAAAATTGTTTCTCTGTTTTATAACAAAGTATCTTGTCGCAATTCAACACGACACCAATTATTGAGAATGGCTTCTACCGTTGAGACCTTGCCGTGGCTTACTTTCCTCGACAGAGAAGCATCCAATACTTCCGCTCAGCAGTTCGTACCAGATGTCGCGAATATATTGAAAAATTACCTTCTCTCCGAGTCTGAGAAGAATAATGCTTTGGAAACCGCCAAGCAAATTGATAATTATTCAGTCCCCTCACCATATATCCACCTGAGTACTGTGTACTGGATGATATTCGATACTGCGGCAGTCATACCTTATCATGATGCTACGCAGGAGAAGCTTCTGAATCTTCTGATTGAGATGTTGAGGCTGCCCCGAAGAAAGTTTGAGACCGAGACTGGAGAGGTGAGTGATTGTAGCCTCGCGTATTTGTTCGACAGAGCTAATCTATTAATAGATTGCTGAAGAGCGTCCTATTTATTATGAAGAGTTCGTCAATATCTTCAATGAGAGCTGGAATGCGAGACATGGTAAGTTAAGTGCTTGCTTCATCTGTGTTGTTCTAATGTTGGGCAGTGGATGAGTTAGATCTGGACAACAAAACCCAAGATGAATATACTCAAGCATGTATTGAGTGGGTCAATATTTCCGCATTTTTCGCTCGCTGTTACTCTGCCGGTCTGGAAAAAGATAGTGCTTCTGCATGCAATTTTCCTGAAAATGATATTCCCGAAGGCTTAGAGTCGAAAGACAGCTATGTTCCCGGAATCGACACGGACTTCAGGGTCATGGTAGCAACACAGTATATTGTCATTGCTGGGGACAAGATCAAAGAGGTGTCAGCTAAATTTTGGGAAGAACATTCTGATGCTTGGGAGAAGAAATTAAAGGAGCTAGAGAATTGGTACGAAAATGGATTCCCGGAAGTTGCCCCTCGTTTTGAGACGCCACCTGGCGAGAAAGAACTCATCGGCACGGGAGATCTGAGAATGGATGTCCTAGCATCTGTGAAAGCTGCGAGGAAGAAGTTGAAGGATATGCGAGAAGGAGTCCTCGAGAAGGAGGGTAATGTAGACTGCGCTGAAAAGAAGGATGAATAAGTCACGAGACAGACTCGACTCATTTATAGAAGTGAAGAAACATTCTTTGACCGCGATGCTTTTGCGAAAATTTTGTTGCGTACTAGCGATTGCTACATATATAAAATTAATCCATTTACAAGAAGTATTTGAGAAGAGCTATAAGACGTAAAGCTAATTTCTCAGTCATAAAGGTATCATTAAACATTCATCTACACCGTTTTTAATCGAAAATTTAAGCAACAGCACTTCCTGCGAAAGCCTCACTAATCTCAGTAGAGTTCTTCTCCAATGCCAACAAAATGCCGAGCAAAACCTTCGACTTCTGAGGGTTCAAGTATCCAGATGCGATGTGCAAGGCTGTCTCACTGCTGACATCAGAGAGAGGAACTTCTCCATTTGGAGCACGAGTACTTTGGACGATGGGGATGTTCAATCTATTGATTACATCTTCCATGGCGTAGTTGAAGGATGTGCTTACACCTCCTGCACCGGCACCGGCAATCTAGTAGAGGTGTTAGTTGGGATATTTGCGGTGAAGAAGGTAAAGGGGAACTTACAACTATGCCCTTGGCACCGCTAGAAACAGCATTGTATAGGGTATCGTTATGCATGTCTTGATTTGCGAACAAGATATCCACTCGGGGGATCTCGGTTACATTCGAAATATCGTATGCAATCTTTCCAGTGGGTTCAACTGGTGGGTAGAAGAAGTAAGGAGTATTTGAGATGAGAGTACCCAAGTTACCCATCTCGACGGCTTTGAAAGTGTCCATAGTATTGGCGTTTGTCTTGGTAACATAGTATGCGGAAACAATACGATCATTTAGAACAACCAAAGCTCCACGACCAACGGCTTTGGGACTTACACCCACAGTAATAGCTTCGAGAAGATTGAAAGGTCCATCTGCTGAAATGGCGGTGGAGGGACGCATGGATCCAACGATGACAACCGGTTTTCCACAGTTGACGGTGGCATCCATGAAGAAGGCGGTCTCTTCTAAGGTATCTGTACCGTGGGTAATGACTGCACCACTCATGGTGTCATCGTTGCAAATTACCTCGTTGATTTGCTTTGAGAGGTCGAGGAGAATGCTGGAGGTCACATCTTCACTACCGACGTTGGAGATTTGTACTCCAGCAACGTTGGAGACATTGAGGACTTCTGGAACTGCGTCGAGGAGAGTTAGAATTCCCACAGCACCTGCAGTATATCCGGTCGTTGCTGTGTTACTGCTGCTAGAGCCTGCAATTGTACCACCTGTATTGAGTTAGTATATATTTCAAGAAATTGGCTGAAGGATTGCCATACCAGTTGCGAAAACAGTGATATTTGGCAGGCTTGCATTCATCTGAGTGAAGTTAAGTCCATTGGAGTTGGTGAAGACAAATGGACTTGTATCACGCTGGTAAACCACTGGGGAAGCAGAGGCAAATGCTGCGAGAGCAGTAAGAGACAAGAAACGTGAGAACATGATGAATTGGAGGATGTTCTTCTGGATAAGGACGGATGAGGTACTGACTACAAAAGGAAAACCATGATCTCTTTATACTCATCGCCAATACATCACGATATCTCACCGGGTAGAATACTCTTACTGGCTGCCAAGTATTTTACATGATAGTTTAGTGCATCATTGCCAGACTTAGCTACCAAGTGTTTATCTTTATCAAACTAATCCTCCAACGCCAATGACATTATCAAATCATGCGTCCGATCATTATCCAACCGGTATCGCTGGGATACGAATTGACTCTCGGTCGTAGACAAAAAGGCTCATTGTATATAAATCGTGGGGTTGGTACCTGGTCCTGATGTTCAGGGAAAACGAAGGAGTGGAACAGTGGAATGCGGGTAGATAGTCTAGTGACTAGCGGAGAGGGGCATTTTCAGGGGATAAGCCAACAACTCACTCAACTACCGACGAATAACCTTGCCAAGTCAATCTTCCCTATCGGATCTCGGACGTCCCTAAAATATCCGGCGCTCGATCCATGATGATGGGTAGAGTTGGGCGATTTGATGATATATAATATCGTATATTACTCAGTTAAATATAATATATAATATCACTCAGATTGTGTTTTTTTTAATACAGAAAATAAGAATTTTGAAAATTTTTTAAAACTATTTTAAAAAAAAAGCTTTGAATTTAATTAGATTATATAAAATTAATAAAATCCAATTAAAAATTATTTATTAAAAGATTTATATTCTTAAGATTTTCAATAATTTTATTAATTTTAGAGCCCAAATTAGTATTACAAATAATATCATTTTTTAAATTAAAAGCTATATTTCCTTTCATTTTCTTATATATTTTAAAAAGAAAATTAACCTTCTTTTATGTAGAATGTAATATTTGTAAATTTATATATATAAACACTAATTTATCCATCATTTCAATAAAAAATTGATTTTGTAACTTGATTTAAATAAAATTCATACAAAAAAATGCTTTTTCTGATGGTATACTATTTGTAGTAATAATTAATAAATCAAGAATTAACTTTAAAAGAAATAATGTATTATACCTCTATATATAAATAATTAAATATTAATAAAGATTCTCAAAATACAAAAAAAAAGTTTCAAAATACAAAAAAAAAATCTCAACTTACTACAATTTCCCAAAATATATTTAAATTTATTGTTTTCTAGTAAAATTTAATAATATTAAATTAATCAGATTATCAATAGAATACTAGGAAATTAATAAATTTCAGTTTTCTAAGTAATTTTTTAATATAAGCTTCAAGCTTTTATTCAAAAAAGGAAATAAAAGAAACATTAAAATTTAAAGGATTAAAAATATATATAGTAATATAAATAAATTATAATTGTGTATTCATATACAGATTTCACTCTCCTCTACTAGTTCTTGAGTAATAATTCTTAATATTATAAGAAAAAGGAAAGGTGCCTTTCATTCTAAAATGTTGAAAATGAGTATTAATATTAATTCAATAGGGGTAAATATAAATTAATAAAGCTTTATTAAATTCTAATATTTTTTGAATTTTATAAATAAATTATAGAATAAAATGAACTACTTGTAACTTTTACTAGAACATAATATTAGAAAGAATATAATCGAGCTAGTATATAGTATTAGGGTGACAAGTATAGTTTTGGAGAGTAAGCTGAATTCTTTGAATTGATTCAAGTATACGAACTTGTGTACTCTATTTTGTAGGTATTATTTTAATTAAAGCAAAGATTTTTTTATAATTTAGAATTATAATAGATCTTAAAAGAAAGAGCTCTTTAAATGATTTTATGAAATAAATAATAATATTGTTAGTTTCTTTAAAAAAAAATCCAAGAGTTATTTCAATAAAAGCACTATATTGATTTTTGCTAGGAAATAAAAAATCTTTGAATATAAGCTGTAAATTATATAAATTGTAAAGAATAGAATGAATATATTTCAATTCAGGATTATTTTTTATTAAAGCCTAGTACTTGTATTATGTAGAATATATATTAGATAAGAAAACATGTTATTTAGATAGATCACTTTTGGTAATCTTTTGAGCAGTAGTAGTGATATGGTTGAAAGTAAACTCTATATTTTGAGATTTATTGTCAATAGTAGTATTCCTCTAATAGTATGATTATATATTAATTATAAAAGAAATATTTTCGATACGAATCTTTATAATATTCGTATTACTATTATTAATAAATTGAATCCAAAAGGTAATATTAGTAAGAGTATTAATCTATTTTTTAATATTCAAATAGATAATATCAAACAGCTTATTACTCAAAACCTTATGATTGGGTAGAATGAATTTGATATATTGAAAGAATACTTTTTATTCGAATGTTTTATAGAATGATAGATTCGAAATTAAAATAAAAATAGTTTTGGCGAATAGGATTTCGACAGGAATATCATCGTTTTTAAAGAAATCGGTAAGGGGAGCGGTCGTACGAGGTTGTTTTGCCTTCCAACTGAGGTATTCGGAGTATCTTTCGATATGTCGGCTTTGAAATTGAGTAGTATTTCAAGATTTCGTTATTTTATAGAATTTGTATTTGGCTTGATTGATTTTATATTCTTTATTAGCTTTTATACAATCGAAATGACAATTGCATTAAAATGTTTTTGTAGGATCTAGCTTATTGTAAGCCATTATACTAATCAGATAAGTAAATATAAATAAATAAAGTATAAAACAACAACAATACTATTATCGAAAAAATATAAAAGAGATTTAGAAATGAAATTTTGAAAAAGATTTTGAATATATCAATAGAAATAAATAAATTTAATTGGTTGAATTATTTGTTTAATCTTTTAGTAATCTAGAATTTTAGAATCTATTTCTTATAATAATCTTTTTAATTATTTATTTAAAAACTTTTTGAAATTAGCTTTATTTTCATTCATCCTATAGATTTAATTAATTCAAAAAACATATATATAATCTTAGCATAATATTTTATAACACTCAAAAAGCGTAATAATATGAAATTATATAATCATCCCTCAGATTATATAATTCACCCAACCCTAATGATGGGCGGGGCGGTATTCTTCTCAACCTTGATGTTCAGGCTGCTGGTCATCGCTGCCCGTTGCACGCATTGATCTCGCTTCTTCGACAGTGTACGATCAGACGCGATCATCCAAACTTTACATCTGGGGACGAGGGAAAGGAACGGAAAGATGTGGAGAATCCTCAATATGTTGTGCTAACATTTAATACTTTTACATCGGCAGACCTGTCAGTGTTCAAATTGAATTTCCCAGACGTCATCGGCGTCTTATCATTTTGAAAAAACGACCATTTTCATAGTTGGGGTCATGTTCATCCCCACGAGCTTCAATGAGAACCCGGAACGGTTAGATAACGCATAGTTTGGTCGTATCCTTATCGAAGTTGGTAATCATGATGTGAGGAATCCGAAGTCCTATCATGATACCGACGAAATAACAAATTGGTCAGTAGAATAAATAATCAGTTCATTATTAGACTGAAAGTGGGAGTGAGAATGAAATTCTTATCGTGCCAATAGCGTGGCTGGCTTTGGGGGTTATGGACGGAGCTAGATAAAGAATATAAGCCACCTTGTGAACTATATGAACTATACGATGAGAACATAGATACCTCATCCCAATATCCAAGGTTGATGCTGTTGGATTGTTGAAGCTTCAATTTATATTATGTAATGCCGCTCTCAAGACTCGGCTTCTAAGATGCTTCCAGACAAATTTAAGAATCTGCCAATACTTAACCCAATTTGAACAGGCTAGGCAAATCTAAATGACGATAATTGATGAGGCTGTACTACTCATGATTCGTCAGTAGATTTGTCTTGGCCGAGAAAAAATCTTCTGGGCGAGGGAGCCTCAAAGAAGAGCAGTGTTTTGAGCAATGGAACAGTTTTGAGACGTCTATTCTTCTCGACCCGCGTAGAAGTCTGAGATGACGAGCTTCACATCTGATTGTGAGAACTAGATGTACGGTGCCGTCTACTTCGTGAGGACCTGAGCTCTGCTGGTGGCATCTTTTGTCGGCGTGAGCTTAGCTCGTCGCGTTCTCAATCGACATAACACAGTTCTATAATCCAGCTGGTCGCTTTGATAATTCCTTAGTTTCGCATGTATCAAGGTTAATGGTGAAAGAAACATCAGAACTGAAGAGAGTGACCTCGGGATTGCATGTTGTTGATGGAAGCTATTGATTTCTGTTGGATTAGTCATCCTAGTACCACCCCGCCGAGGACATGGAAAGTTCACTGGGGAAAGATACTGCGAGACATAAGCATGAAATTAGGATCAGCAGAATGGATTATTGAAGGCAGTCCTTGCAATTGGTACGATGATACTCTTCAATAGCTTCGCGTTTCTCACGGTCAAAAAGCGATGGTGGATTTGGATGTAGCTTATTTATGTCTGCAGATTTCTACCCTAGCGGATGGATGGAGAACGACCGTCTGCAACCAAGTCTTTCATCACGAATTCCAACCCTCAAGGCAAACAGCCACGAATGATATCCCTCGTTCCTGAATTCGAATGCACCATCCTTGGTACCCTTTGACTGTGAGATCATGTGTTTCCATAACTGAGGCTCATTTACCGAAGAAAGACGAACAACTCCATGTGCAGAAGCTGTGTAAGATAAGATCCGTTCCCGTATCTCTGTCTCGATTCGATACCTAATTAACAAGAATTAGTATAAAACCTGGTACCCAATCGCAAGAACGAACCCGTACCAATCTTCTAGCTTGACATTTGCTTTTTCCTCGGGAATGCCAACTCGATTCGCGGAATTTTCACCTCTGGATGCATCTCTTTCCACTCCTCGAAACCACTGCGAATATCATTGATCGTGTGTTCATGATTACTCTTCGCGACCATGTTCCAGTACTTCCACTCACCCGATCGATGCTCGCCGAACTCTTTTAGCGTCTTAACCAACCTCATCCCAGGGTATAATCTAGCAGTCTTGCGAATCGTCTGCCTTCCGACCAGATAGGTAACAAATTCAACTACAGGATTGTTATAGAGGAAATGCTCGTAGACATACTTCCAGACTCCAAATCCAAATTCTGGTGATATAGCCAATGGCCTATACCTGGGATTGTGCAATGTAGGCGATCTGTATGAAGGATAACATTCTCGACCAGCTACAAAGGCGATGTAACGAGCTTGAGAGAGCAAGTCACTTTCTGCGCTACAACATCCACTGATTTCTTGAAGTAAGAGGTGATCCGTACATGTGTATACAAGTGTATCCTTTATAGGGTTGTAGAACGAACGGTAAGTTTTTCCTTTGGTCCCCACAAAAGGGCAGGTTCGATCGTGAAGGTAGAGTTGCTTATAATGTTTAAGATAGACCTCGCGAGAATCGAGACAGGCGTAGTATAGCGCGGAGGGCTTTGGTGGTTGGAATGGCCCTTTAGAATCCTGGTAGACGAGTTGTCCCTCTGGAAGCGCGTGGAACCAAATTTTAAGCTGTATCTCTTCAGGAAAGAGAGAAAAGCTCGTAAAGTACAAAGCTACGTTGGCTTGGGGCTTTGATGAATCCATCGTACACCAAGGTTGTTGTTGGCGGTCTTTCCTTGGTGATGGAAGCTCAAAGAAGCTAAAGAATGGTATATCTTAAGAGCTGTTTATTTTTTCTTCAATGATAAACAATCTCGGCTCGGAACGGGTATTTCCGACTGTCATTGACCACATATTGTTAGGGTTGATTATGATTTGCTCAACCGACTATGTCTTTAAGCCTACTTTTGAATTGTCCTCAGTTATGAATTAGCTAATCATCAAACTACTACAACCGAGTCTCACGTCTATCCTAGATCTTCTAGAGTCCGTGAGAGGAATTTTTACAAATCGAAAACAATGATCTTTTTTTTCTTATGTAAAGTGCTGCACACTTGTCTTATAATACATGATCGTATAAGTGATTTTGATTTTGGGGTTCGAACCTCTGCCAGACACACGTCCTTCTCAGATTGCTCAGAAGTCAAGACTAGGGGACTGAATGAGAAACTCTACGTTTCAAAGCAGTTCACTACTCGAGATTGGTGTAATATTTCAATCAATTTGAAGATTGAAATGGTACCAGGGGTGTGGGGTGCCTCATTATCAGACTGCAACTGGGGACCACTGGGAGCCCTGGCTCATGTCCCGAATCATGGAAAGTAAGAGTGTAGAGGAGTGTCTTAGCAGACTCTGAGAAGTCTTCTGGGGCGCACATCCAAACATACAATGGGTGCCACTCCATGCAAAAATGTATTCGATTGCCTGCTCCATACCACAACAAATGATGAGTTCATTCGGGCGAGCATTTTGATGTCCTCTGACAAACTCAGCAATCTGGCAAAGCCATCTAAATGATGGTGAATGGGATGGTTTATATCACCTCTTGCACTCTGATGGAAAACCCGGCTCATTCAATGTGCCAGCACTCAACTTATCCTGAAAACTACCAGGGCATGTCTCACTAGACGTTAGCTCACCTCAAGGAACCAGAAATAATCACTAGAGTCATATGATGCCTAGAAACTGACCGCGGCAATATCATACAGATTCCTGTTCAAGCTTACAATTTCTGGTAATCGATACTGGGGGATAATTATTATCTAAAGTGCATATACTTGTTTGGAGCATGAGAACCCTTGGGTTATGCCATGTGCAACTTCATCATAACAACCAATTGTCGATCATCTAGGGTATCCTATACCGCCGGGTAAATGTGCCGAACCTTGCAGATGTGCTTATTTTTGGAGTCCCATCTCGGCGGCTATTTCGAGATTCTCAGCTACCGTAAATCCCTGCCTGCACGGCTATCTCAATCGCAATTGGAGCGTTTTTTATTACAAGGGGAACACTTCGAAATACTCTTATGATTCGCTCGTATATTTTATTACTTCATCGACTCGGTTCTTATGACCCTGGTGGAGATCTTTCTCGGGACTCGACTATCGTATCTTCAGACAACTTACGTCTCAGCCCATATCCTGACCATGATATCGAGTGGTTATTTCACATCTAGTGATGAGATTAGATAAAGTCCTTTTTATCTTCATCAATTAACCTTAACTCGATTTGATGTATGGCATACACACTTGACAATAATGTAAATTCTTGGCATCTGCCTTTCGTTTGTTTATGGAAGTACATTGAGATGCCAAGTCCACCAGTGTATTCAAGCTAGGACGAACAAGTGAATCCTAGTTTTATTCCTACATTGATTGAATGATCCCATTGGGGTTTGTCGTTTTGAGAGCTTGAGGTCAGAGCCCTCCCGGAGCCAGGGTCAGTACCTCCAAGTGCTGGTGTAGAGGTAAATGTTCAAGGTCTGCTCAATCTGGTTGACATGTAGTCTCACAAAAAGCCCATAGTTGGGCCACTTGTGGATAGCTATTGATTTTTCACACAAAACAAATGCTCCTTGGCAAGTGTACACCCTTTCAACACTTCATTTAAACCCCAAATTTTCAGATCCACATTCGCATTCCCGGCACCTAATATCCAATAGAGCTATCGCTTAAACAGTTCGCGAACGCTCAGGAGTTTCAATTTGTATCCTCTGTATCTTTTTGATATCATCTAGGCGACCTGCGACATCATTTAGCGTACTCTATTACCGCTGGTGTTAGCAGGAGACCTGCAGACCGATAGTAGGTCTCTCTTCTAACGGTGGCATGCTTGCAAGTTTTTTATAAGATAAAAAGGAATCCCTCCAATTATTGCCATCTAACAATTCAGTCCTTCCCATCTTATCAACACAGCAGGCTGTGTCTCTTTCTCTTCGAGTGCTTATCTGTATTACTATTGTTTTCCAGAACTTTTCTTCTCAGCATCCATAATACCTTATCTAACCCTTCAACAAAATCATTGTCATATTTCGTATCCACCCATCATCATGTACACACCATTCATTATCATTGGCCTCCTTGCCCTAAGCCCTCTTGTGGCGGCCCACGGAAAAATTGCAGTTGTTACCGGAAACCTTGGTGGAAACGGTACTGCGCTAGGAATTAAAGGAGCTGTTGTTGCAGATACTGGGTCAAACTCCAAGACAGAACTCGATGCTACGGTATTCGACATTGGTAGTAACAATTGTGGACAAACAGAGGTATTGATACTACTTGCCACCCCGTACGTCAACTATCAATTAACAATTCCAAGGCTGCAGGAAGAAACAAAGCAGAGTCCGGTGTGACTAAGTCAATGGCTCTTTCGGGCAACACACTTCCACAGATAAGTACCGATAATGCATCTATCTCGGGTACTTTCCATATTGTGACTTCCGACGGTGCAGGTGTATGTATACAATTTTCCTTATTACTGAGAAATTTAGTCGCTGATATGTGCGTAGCCTCTTACAGCGATGGTTGATACTACCGGAAGAGGTGATTTTTCGGATGCAGTCAAGGCAGTCGTTACTACTCAAATACCAGGAAAAAAGGGCAACATAAAAAAGACTAAGCAAACAAGATGGGAGCGAGTTATGAGAAGCATTGGTTTGATGAAAAGAGCCTCTAATATCAACGAAGACTATGTGAGATACTTGGTTCCTATCATTCCTTTTCTCAATATTTGCTAATCAAGTATGCAGCCATTCAGTGTAGATATTCCGGCTGGTATAACTTGCACTGGTACTGTAGCGGGACAATCCAATGTCTGTATGGTCAAGGTTGTGAACCCATCGAATGCGGGACCTTTCGGGGGATGCGTTGCTGTTCAGCAATCCACGGGTACGAATACAACAGCTTCTGCCAGGAGAAATCTGAAGCCCATGAAATTTTCCGTTTGATAATAAGTGGTATTGTGTAGCATGTATGCAACCTCAAGGAACCAGAGTCTTCGAAGAAAAAGACCCGTTAGTGGAGGCTCTACCCCGGATTAGTCAGGTGGAGCTAAAGTTTGGGGGCTAAAGCGGGGAACGGTTTCGTAGGGCTGTACAAGTCAGATAAGGTTATCTTGTGTGTATTTGAATCGATGTGTCAATGAAATGACTATGCTCTACTTCCATGACCTCAGCTATGTTGAAGATTAATGTTGTGATTGAAGCCATGAATTATTCATGCAGCGGACCTCAATATACCACCAATGTACTCATTCAGTGGGAATGAACCTAATTTGATTGGAGCGGAGTATTCATGGACTTTGATATCGATAACAGTGGTGGATCCAAGGATGTTACACTCTGTGCTTGAGCCTTGAGTACCGTTCGAAGCGAGGTGAGCGGAAACGCGATCACAATCTGTAGATATCCGCCTGGAGTTCATGTCCTATATGTTCCTCTAATAAGATTTTGGGTTCATCAGGTCCAATTTAATCTATCGCTGGATCTAGTTCCTTTTAGCCCTCGGAATTTGTCAATACAGAAAGTCAGCATAATCTTTTTCAATACGTTATCGCCGGCTCATCACGTGCAAAGCTCTGATGAAGCTATTACGAGAAGCGACAAGATAACAGCTGCAATCCTTCTTCCATGGCCAGATAAGAATTCCTCTACTCATTCGACACTCAATCTATATGCATCTTCACGTCAACCAACAAATTTCCTTGATTTCCTTTTGCATGTCTATCTATGGATTTCACAAATGCCTCAACGGCATCTTTCAAGCTTGCTCATGCATTTTTGGCGTCAAACGAAGCTGCAAGAAGCCTCAGCAATGCATATTTCCGTCCCCGTGTTCCATTACTTGTATGTCTTTGGTTTAAAACCTTTGACAAATCTATGATGGATAAGTTTTGATCCCCTCGGCCTTTGAGTACAGCTCATAGATGAAGTGCTGCTTACGTCCGATAATTTGTCAATTGGTAATGATGTACCTGCATATCTGTGTAGGTTGATCTATACAGTATCTTCTCTCCTCCTCTTGCCCGATGTTCTGATGCAAATGTTCTGTCATTGTATCTTGTTAATCGGTGGCAATCCTGATATCAAACATGCATTTCATTCCCACACAAAATAGGCAGTGATGCTCAGTGGTTATTCCTCATCCCACCTTCTCATTTATCTCATATTTTATCTTCACTTTCGTGAAATGGGCCAGTAGTAAAGTTGTTCTTCATTTGCTTTTTTCCGATTGATTTACTGGTACTCAATAAGGTGGCTATATACAATGAGTGACCAAAACGATTCCAAGTCATCATGGCTTCCGAAAGTTTGCCGACCTTCAGCCAACACCCCGCCAACGTCCACCCCCCCAAACGAACAATCTTCACTTCTCCCTCGATCTACCGACGCAGGAGAGACTTACGAGCTTGAAGACGATGGTACAACTCCAGCCAAAAGATGGCTTGCCGAATTCCTCCTCCTATTACGAGGTTCGGTTCCTGTAATCCTCGCATACGCATTGCAGAACTCTCTCCAAACGATATCAGTTCTGATAGTTGGTCGACTAAGTCCTGAAGCTCTGGCGACTGCAGCTTTCAGTTACATGTTTGCAATGTCTACAGCATGGCTTATCGCGCTTGGTGGAACTACTGCTTTAGATACATTGGCATCGTCTTCGTTTACTGGAAGTAAAAACCCGCACGATTTGGGTATATTGTTACAGCGAGGTTTCTTTGTTTTAACTGCGTTTTACATACCAGTTGCTATACTATGGGCTTGCTCCGCTCCCATTTTTAGATTGTTGGGACAGGAAGAATACATTTGTGTGGATAGTGCTAGGTTCTTGACTGCGTTGATTCCAGGTGGATTAGGATATATCTACTTCGAAGCTATGAAGAAGTATCTACAAGCACAAGGTATTACTTACTACTCTCTTATCTTCAATATTACCGGTATCTAATACTTTGTACAGAGATCATGCGGCCAGGCACTTACGTCCTTCTAATAACCTCCCCCGTCTCCGCCGGTCTCAATTACCTCTTCATTCACACCTTCAACCTAGGTCTTATTGGCGCTCCCCTCGCTACTGGTCTCTCCTATTGGCTCTCGTTTCTCCTTCTAGTCCTCTACTCCCGCTTCATAACCGGATACCAATGCTGGGGCGGCTTCACCATCCAATCACTTCATAATCTCGGAACATTTTCCCGTCTTGCACTTCTTGGAGTTATCCACGTCGGCACCGAATGGTGGGCCTTTGAAATTGTCGCGTTGGCTGCCGGTCGATTAGGTACCATTCCCCTGGCTGCCCAAAGTGTCATTATGACGACCGATCAAGTAATGAACACAATACCCTTTGGTATCGGTGTAGCAGCCAGTTCACGCGTTGGAAATTTGCTAGGAGCAAGGAACGCAAAAGGAGCAGCCAGAGCGGCGAATGTGGCGGCTTGGCTAAGTATGATTATGGGATTGTTAGTTTTGATTGTTCTTATGAGTGTGAAGAATTTCTACGCCAGGATATTTAATGATGATTTGAGAGTTGTCAAGTTAACGGCGGAAGTCATGCCATATGTTGCTTTGTTTCAGATAGCAGATGGGCTTAATGGGAGTTGTGGAGGAAGTTTGAGAGGTATGGGGAGACAGCATGTTGGTGCCGCAGTCAATTTTGTTAGTTATTATTGCGGTGCGCTGCCATTGGGTATCTGGCTGGCGTTTCATGGATGGGGATTGGGAGGACTATGGGTGGGTCAGTGTATCGCGCTTTATATTGTTGGGGCACTGGAATGGATTATTGTTGCGTGGAGTGACTGGGAAGGAGAGGTCAAGAGGGCGTTTGGAAGAATGGAGGTAGACGACCGGATTGAGGCCGGGATCGGGGGATTGGACGAGACGGAGGAAATATAATCAATATTCAATTATGTGAGATTGACGAGCTTGTGAACAGCATCACGAACATTGTTATGTTAGCTTTAGATAGAGATTTCGTATCATATATAAATACTTTCAAAAGCGTAAGCAATCCAATGGTATCTCATCAGAGATTGTTTTCGTCTCTGGCAATATGCAACAGCAGCTGCTTAGAGGAAGGGCGTCATGGATAGGTGATTTCAACCACTGGTTCAATTTCATATTGTACTCCTCTGGTGAAAAACTCTCTCTTTATATGGTTTCAAGGGTCGTTACTGGGCTGTATCTTGAAAATGTTGTTGACAAGTATTTTTGTGTTGGAGCGCAGAAATGTTATCATCATACCGGTATCTCCTTCGGTGATTACATGCTTTAGGCTTATTAGCCTTGAATTCGAGGCACATAACTTCTTTCGATCATCAATGACGACTCCTCGATTCTGATTGGCTTAAACAATTAACAAGTAGCATTAGCTCGTTCAGATTTCTCCACATCACGTGATCGTTATCAATCCAGCCGATAAGGCGATGAACAAATTTATTTTGCCAAAATTTACATTTCGATTATCATCTCCTCACCACAAACCTTCAACATGCCTAAAGCAAAGACTGGTAAGCGCAATGCTGCCGCTGCTGGTACACCTTACGAAAAGGCTGCTGCATTAACCAATTCGTTCAAGCACAACAAAGACTATGGACAACACATTCTTAAAAATCCTGGTGTCGCAGAAGCTATCGTGAAGAAGGCGAATCTCAAACCTACAGATACAGTCCTCGAAGTCGGTCCAGGTACAGGAAATTTGACTGTAAGGATATTGGAAAGCGCAAAGAAAGTCATAGCTGTGGAAGTAGATCCTAGAATGGCTGCAGAAGTCACAAAGAGAGTACAAGGAAAGCCAGAACAGAAAAGATTGGAAGTCCTTTTGGGTGATGTGATTAAGACTGAACTGCCACATTTTGATGTGTGCATCAGTAACACTCCTTATCAGGTATGTAAACCTCCATTTTTTTCTTTTACTTTGGGTGAAGATCTAACCCTCGAACAGATTTCATCACCACTTGTCTTCAAACTCCTCTCCTTGCCAAACCCACCCCGATGCAGTGTTCTCATGTTCCAGCGCGAATTCGCTCTCCGTCTTACTGCACGCCCAGGTGATTCACTTTACTGCCGATTGTCTGTCAATGCCCAATTTTTCGCCAAAATTACACACATTATGAAGGTTGGCAAAAATAATTTCAGACCACCCCCACAGGTCGAGTCTTCTGTTGTTCGAATCGAGCCCAAAACAGGCAAAGAGCGTCCAGGAGTTAGTTGGGAAGAATGGGATGGCATGCTGAGAATATGCTTTGTTAGAAAGAACAGAACTATGAGGGCTAGTTGGCTCGGAATGAAGCAAGTACTTGCAATGTGTGAGAGGAATTATCGAGTTTATTGCTCGACGAACAATATCGCTCTTGACGAAACCCCAGTCGAAGATGAAGACGAGGACATGGATCTGGATGATGCCCCAATTGCCGAGGAGGGAGAAGAAGAATGGGGAGGAATGGATGTGGAGAAAGGCGAGGAGGTTTTCGATGAAGAAATGCCATCTTTCTTTCAGGAACTCAAGGGAACTAATAAGCCTAAAACCAAGAGCAAAGTACCCAAAACTCGAGTAGCAGAGCTCGTTCGAGAGAAGATACGCAAGGTTCTAGAGGATGTGACTGAATTGGCTGACACCCGTGCCGGAAAATGCGATGAGAACGACTTCCTCAGATTGCTGTTTGCATTCAATGAGGAAGGATTACACTTTTCATAATTACAATTTAGATATTTAGGGATGGGTAAAATGGTGTTTATATTGTATGTAGGCATGGAGTTGGTGGAAGGTTTACATGGTTCACATATGATTCCCTACAAAGTTGGGATTACTGAATTTATGACTATCTTTATTTTTTGCTTCTCCATTGTCTCCGAGAGTGCGGACTGTAGTACGACTGCTAAGAGGTTTGGACCTCAGAATCCAATTAAACGATTTGAAATTCTTGAAATCCTCAATGCACTTTGAATGCTGCAGTGTTTGAAACTATGTAGGGCTTACATCCAAACTGCCAGTCAGAATTTTTATACTTACTATGCGGAAGCAAGTTTTCCGGTGCCTGAATAATGCTTTACATACACATACCTAGGTACGACATGTCTGCGTGAATGCTTCTTAGCCGATCTATGCATCTGTCCACCAAACCCTCTGGTGGGTATCTTAGAGACATACTATGAACTTCACATCAAATATTGCATCGCGGGGAAAGATGGGCACGGGGTATTCTTTTCATTAAGTCTTGCATTATCCTAATTTATCTCTCTCATGCAAACTCGCACATCCCTTTCCTCCTTCTAATTGTACATATAACGTCCTGTTAACAGGTTCCAACAGAGAGCTTAGTATTAAACCACCATTTCACAAGGACAAACAAATTTCCCTCCTAATGGATAACGCCACTGCCAGTGCATTCTGGGAGTGGGTAAGTGTCTCCGGTGCAAAGACTGATAGTTCCAGAAACCCAGCTCAATCCTCCATAAGCCTGGCTTGTGTAGCTATCGGCTTGGTAAGTACTGGTCTCTGCGGCGGCACCAACGCATCCAGAATCAACGTAGCCAGATTTTCTGAGAGTGTAAGGGTTGGAAACGACGGCTCCATATTTGCCAGCTGGGACGGTGTATGTGTAGGCAGCAGTGTAGGTGGAAGTCCATGTCTCTGTGTAGGTAATGCCATAATTTGTCTGGAGGAAATCTTTGACGAGGGTGAAAGTGGCGCCAGCAGTGACGGAGATAGAATTTGCGATTGAGTATCCTTCTGTGACGGCAACGGTGGCAGTGGTTGTTCCTGCCTTGACGACAGAGGACATAGGCACGTCCCAGTTCAAGAATGTCTGGTCAGGGTTCTCGCGAATGACGGTTGCTGTCTTGCAACGTTTGTCTAATGCGGACGATGCGAAGTGGCCGCCTGAGGTTGTGTTGGAGGCCGAGGTTCCATTGTGGCCTACAAGAGGACCAGGTGATTGAGTGATGTTGGAACCATGGTGGTGCTTCCAGAATTCGGCTTTGTCCATGACTTCTGTGCGGCCATTCTCGCCGAAGAGAATGATCTTGGACTCATCCAAGTTGCGGGGGATTGTAGCTGCACCCACGATGGTGGAGCTCAACAAGAGGCTAGAAAGAAGGGAGGTAATATACATTTTGAAGTTTTGTTGGTATTAATTGAGGACTTGAGAAGTGTCAATGAGATAGAAAGAGAGAGGCTGAGGCTGGATGGTTTTCTAAGTCATTGATGCGAAGTTGAAGACTTCATATACTCTTTCTCCGTGGAGATATCCCGAATCTCTTCCTCGACACAATTGACATATGGATAATTCAATCCACTTGGAAAACCTTCAAACTTTCAAGGTAGATTGGGATGAACACCCAAGATAGGAGAATTACATATCCCCCGTATTCCTCAATTCTCACAGTGTCACCAATCATCATCAACGTGCCCGTCCATGGACCAATAAAAGTTTTCTCGGGGACGAGCAAGCTTTTCCCAAGAAGCGTCCGAATAATCTCCATAATGCAAAGTTCATGTTAAGATGACCGCATGATATGGCAATTTTACGGCAGCAACCGAAAATAGCGTGATCGTCCCCTTCACCGTTTCATAACTTATGAATTCACGATGATCTTCATTTATGGGGAACAATTCCAAACTTTAATTTTCTGAGCCTCATGTTCCGCCCTGTGAACCGAAGTTTATTCTCTTGGCAAATAATCAATTAGAGTTTGTGATGAAACTTGGAATATACTTCTTCATAATTAAACTATTCTGGGGAAATTTTGACAGCGATCTTGTCCTCTTTGTAATTAGATGGCGTTATTTGGGTCAGTTTCTTCTCAATTAGGCATTCCGCTTCATACTTTTGTCTTGATAAAGTTAAAGTCTGCCAGCAATATTGATAGGGATGAGTAACGCAATCACGTTTCTATCATGTAATCATACCCGCCAAATGCAAGTGCCATCAGGGTACCAAGGATGCCGTCATGACAGATGGTCGATCGGTACCGAACTGGGGATTTGGCGCATGATTTTCTGGTAAAACCCCATCAATGTCATTTCGGAATAACCCCGCCGAAGTTGTTCCAGATATGTTCAGCCTCTTGGAAAGCTTAAACCTCGTGGTGACGCAGCAAATAGAGTATTGTGATACCTTTGACGGTATACAGGTATCTATCTATCTTGGGACGGATTGTATACCGTAAGGTTTAATGTCGGTCTATCTGCGTAACGCTCGTTGCGCCAGTAGATATCCCAGCCCTGATATGTCTATATATCTCATACTCCAGTAACTGCGAAAGACTTCTCTCCAGCTTTCTATTCCATCAATCTTTCAACCATCTCTACTTCTTAATCAGATATCCAACCCTCACTCTTTATTTCACATTTTTACCAATCTCACTACTCTACAATCAACATGCCTTCCATCCTCCTCAAGACCATTGCTCTCCTCTCCCTTGTCAGCTTCACGCTCGCTGACCTTCACACCAATGGCATCTGCATAGACAGCAAAGAAGGTTTCGTATGTTCCAATCTCCTCACCCCATCCCCCACAATCTATATCCATAAATAGAACTAACCAATAACCTAGGATGTATACAACGCTGATGCTACCGCCAAAGCCTGCACAAACTACAAGAACAGAAACACTGGTTCAGAACAATGGGACACATGCCCAGATTGCACCATGATTACAACTGGTATTCCACATTGTGAATCCGCTGATTCGCATATTGGTGGTGATGAGGTGAGCTTCAATCCAAGTTTCCCCTTTCCCATGAAAAATATGATGAAACTGCCCTTAGTTTGGGAAATATACAATAAGTCACTAATTTCTATGTTTAGATGGAATACTACTGCCAGCTGAATGGAGCAGGTGGCTCTTTGGCAAACTAAGCGCCTGAGGGACGTTCATGGGAGAAGGAAGTGTACTTTTATTTTAGGAATTCTTGGCGAGCTTTTTGGGGAAGAAGATCTTGGTAAATACTTGTTCAGCGAAGCGAAATTTGAAGGATTCATGGCAAGAAGCTGTGTGTTTGATTCATTCACATACCCTACGATCTAATCGGTAATAGAGTATAACTATCCTAAGAGATGGTGATTCAAATGATATACTTTTGATCAACCGAGAGATAAGCCTGATTATTCAAGTGCTTCTCCAACAACCAGCTACAAATCGTAGCTCACTAATGCCCTGACTTTCACTCTCCTTGTATGCCATGTCTGATTAATCCCTCCAATACGTACCTAAGCTGAAGCCAATAACTGCCCATGATACCCTAGCATATTCTCCACAAATCTGAACGTCGCACGTACTCTTAATCTCGATAATCGTATGATTCTGGCCATAGCACTCAAGTGCTCCTCTTACCGATGAGCCCCTGAATTCACAAAGGTAACGAAATGTCCTTGGCAAGTAGTCGCAATTCTATGCAATACTGCACTAAAAGTATTATTTTTGTGCAGTATTGTCTCTGAAATTTTATAGACTGTATCAAATCGATAAATACCCAAAGGGATTAAAACAAGATATGCGTATGAAGAGAACAAAAGTCAATATGAAGATGACGACTAAGCAGATTGATTCTCTTTTAACCTGAGATTTTAAGAATGTAGAGCAAAGAAGAGAAGTATTGCATGTTGGAATAGTCAATGGCGAAGTATTTGATTCCCTCTTTCTCATTCTCTTGGCTTATCACTATGAGCCTTGCCAGTTTTCATTCGAAATCTCACTGCTAGAAACGTAACCACCTCTATGATTCCAGACTAGCACAGGCGCATCGCTTTCATTATCTAGAGTAATGTCCCTTATCAGCTTCAAAAAAACAGGCAGAGAATCTTTGTGCTTAATAATAGCATTATACATCAAACTTTTCGAGATCCTGCATTAGAAGTCTTCTGGGGCACAATAACAACAAGAAAAGAACAATGTTCACTTTAACATATATCAATAACCTCCAGCTGCCGTACAAATCGCAACCGTTCTTTGTGCTAGACGTGTCGAAATTACTGATATCTCAGCTGGTCAAATAGTCTCTGCATTCAAAAGCCAAGCTGGGCGTAATCAGTTGGAGAGAGAGAAAGCTGCCCGTGAAGATTTTGGACATGGCTTACTGACAAAAAGAACCACAATGTCCATTATCAAAAACGGGATTTCGATCTATAGATGCAAATTCAAGATCAATGATGGGTATCTCGTGATACCATACGTTTCTAAGTTGAAGTAATGGTGCTGGCCGAAAACTACTTATTGGCCAATATAAACTATGAAAGAGTAGCGCCAGGACGAGAAGCTTTTCGAAATCTTGAGCTCAGATTAATAAGTATTGATTCAAAGCCTTACAATAGAGGTAAGATGGGAATTGTACGCACATTTTAAGTTTCTTGATGTATCTTATAAGACATCCCGGATCAATCTCAACTTTCGAAATCGCATCCACAAGAAGCATGAATAGCTCCTTCATGATTGTGATGTAATACTAAGAACGAGATTGTCAAATCGACATGGTTGTATACATTTCCAAAAATGTAAATGAAAAAAATTCTTCGCAATATGTATCACAAGTACATAAGCTCACAATAGAACAGTAAATCATTAGACACACTTTCTCCTGAATCCTGATCACTAGTCTTCTTAATTCTCGGTGCCGGTGGTTTCAGTTTACCATTACTGTAAGTCATTTCTTCCAAAGTCCCAAGTATGGCTCCGCGATATGAGCCTGAAGACTACCATACATACACTAATATATATGACTGTTAACGATATCTACGTCTATAGATATTATATGAATGAGACTGTACTACAGATATAACACAGGAATTTCTGTATTTGAAGCTGAAATTTAAATATTTCGAGTCCCCCTTTCCTTATCAGGTATGTGGTTAATTTAAAATATATAGATTCCTATACTATTTAGCGTATTTCAATATTTTATTAGCACTATTCAATGGTATTAAGATATGAAATGTTCTCAGTGAAGTACAATTCAATAATGAATATTGGAATATCTTCATGGATACCAAACTGCCCCGCTGAATTGAGGCGTAATTGAGATACGGAAAATAATAATCACAACACTGATGGACAAACTAATGCACAATTTCTAGGGAAGATTCTTTTCTATTCAAACAGGTCTTCTATAATGGTAATCTATGTTCAAAAAAGCTCCGACATCAAAAGGATATCTGAAGCAAGTAAAGCTTAAAGAGAAGCCGACATGGCAATAGTATAATTTAAGTGTCATTGGACAGTACTGTACTAACAGTAATGGATGTCGAGGAACTGACCTCTATCAATGGAGAAGAAATAACCCCGCACCAAGCACCACGAACTCCATGTCAACCATATACCAAATCATAAATCATCTAATCATGTATCCCAAAACCTCTATTCTATACTCCAATTTTCTATCCGGTCTACACGAGCGAATGGGCCTCGATCTTGGCATCATCCTTTTTATCTCCCATGTAATCTATTTTCTCCTGGTGAAATTCAGGATCAGCCAGTATTTCTCTCGAACTTCTGTACTCGATTTCATTGTGGTTCATAATTTTTGGGGTCGGACTATTTTTTACTTCGATGTATGGTTTGGGAGCTGTTCGGAAGAGGGGTCGGAGGAATGGTATTGAGGATGTTATAATGACAGTGCAGTTTTCTACTGCGCACCATACGATATAGGTAACCGAAGTAACTATTATATTGATTAGATTTGACTATTCAATGTATACAGGCTATTTAGACTTACAGGTGATATCATCGTTATTGTCCATTGTGCAGTAGGTCCTAACGACTGCCGCGATAAAGGCACTAAGATGATTAGCTAAGTTTTGATAAATCGGAGAAGAATCTTACAAAAGGCTGACTCCCAACAGAAATGATAAGAGAAACTTCAAATGCAAGGAAATATGAAGATTGATAACCATTGCAACCGGTAGAATTGTGAGAGCAAGATCTGTTAAGGAACTGGATGATCCTTGAAAATAGCCAATAGCTGCTTGTGTTCTCATGCTCCAACATTGGTCTTCATGTCCAATACGATCCCAATTGTAAGAAATATTGGAACACTCGAAGAATATTTGGATGAGTGCCATTAGATTTATAATGGCATTTTGAGCAATGAGAAAGTAGAGGAATCGTCTTATATTCTGCTGGTGTCCAAGTATTCGTAAGAGGTAAACAGCGAACGATATTCTACCGAGTGTTGGTGATATGATACCTGCAAATGAGTTAATGATGGGTCAACTCGACAATTTGAAGAAGACTTACCGAAAGGCTCTCCAATAAATTCAGCTCTTATAGCCATCGCGGCTTGGGTCTCCGTAAGAAACATAATATGTCTTCCTAATCCGAAGGTTATACCCCAAGTATTAAGTGATATATGACAAATTCCAGAAATCTTAGGATTTTGTTAGTGTAGTACTAGAGAAAGGGAATTGATCACATACCATAGCAAGTATGACCAAGAGGTCCTCAAGAGCAAATGCGAGATGGTACTTGGCTTTGGCAATTAATCTCAGCATTATTAATATTCCAGAAATCCCGTATAGAGGCCAACATATTAGGAGTAATCGGGATGCTAAAATTGGTAAGTGCTTTGTACAAATTGATGGCATTCAAGACAATTACCTATGGAAACATCCTCAAGGCTCCCTGTCGACTCCATGAGGAAAGTGTATTATCAGGAGATAGAGGAATATTATTTTATCGTAACGCGGATGCCAATTGAAGCGTGTTAGCAAGCAGACATGGTAGATAGAGAGTGAGACAATATCACGATAAGATCAAATAGGTATGGGGATTGAGATGTACTTAGATGCAATGCCAATATTTGCCAACAATTTAGGGCGGTTCTACTAAGACGTGAAATAAAATCAAATTCCTATGCCAAACCATCCATGAAACACGTAGAATCTTCCAAGAAAAATCATAAGGCTGCTTAGCTGGAGGAAACCTTATGTAATTATTGTTCATGTGAGACAATTAAGAGACCAATATAGCTTGAGACGATCAACGTTGCACAGGTCTGAGCGCAATTAATTATGCTATCCAGGCCCATCCTAATTGTTTCCCCGCGAAAACAAACTTTCAGATAAAGACCCAAATTTGCAGAGCATAATGACGTTCCAAAGTACAGATAGAGAGCATTAGCTATCTGGACTAAATCGCTTGCAAAATTTACAAAGTAGGGTCGGAATTTCGTGTGTGATATCTTTTTGCATGAAATGACGAGAGAGGCGTAGCATGGCTACTAAGTAAGATTTCTGTTAGAAAGATCTCGAGTTCATGCCAGTGAGATATCATAAACAACAGCAAATAGCAAGAGCGCAAACGAGACTTCTTGTTTAGCATAAATGAATTGAATTAATTGGACACCCCGAGGTGACGCCCTAAGTTGTATATCAGTCAGGCTATGCTGTTGCTCAATCAGGAAGATTCGTGAGGATGGACTTATTGGATGAGACTATGTTGTCGATCATCAACTGGAACAATCATCCCAAGTATATTTTGACAAGGTCATTTGAATACTGGTCAAAGATTTAAAGTTGCATAGAGTGCTTGGACAGGTGTTTAGATCGAAGAATTCGGAACATTTTCTGCATCTGGACAAGCTCGAAGAAGACATGAAAAACTTTATATATACCTAGAAACAGAATGAAAACACAGTGAGAGATCTAGATGTCTGTTGCCGATGAGAACAAATCTGAAGTGCTGCAACTAGTACACTCGCCTACTAAGACTCGTGTTTCATATATTGTGTGAGTACTTCGCAGGCTCTTCTTGTTACCAGCAAAGAGAAGACGAAAACACGATCTTGACCGAGTAATAGATTAACGCAGTAATGATAATCAATGAGAGGAATCTTCAGATGACATATGTAAGTGCTGCCAACTCCCTCATAGAACCAATCAGTTGATGATCGATCAGCATTAGATCAGAGCTTCACGTTATTGCCACGTCTGAAGAGTTTCCAGGGGTATCGAACTGAGAACCTAAGTTTGAGAGCTGCACTGATGCAGTCAAATTTTAGGCAAGGACCTTCAAGAATTACAGCCTTTGGAAAGTTGGAAGAAATTGTGTTGGGAAGAATCAACAACAATTTGCAAGCAAGATAATCACGAGCCAACGCCACGATTCCGAAACCGACTGATCACGTGATTCAAGCGTCGATTCTCTCCAAACGCTATCCTCCAGACCCTGACCTACAGTACAGCCAAAGAGCACGTAGGACGACTTCAAGGTCATCCAGATGGCATTAAACTATGCGAACATAGCCATGGATGATTTATGCCACACTCTTTGAGCGATAATGCAATCGCTCAATTGCTAACAACGCGACATCACATGTTGCATTCCCAAAGCAAAGAGGCGTGCATACGATTTATCGACATGAGATGCGACACTGTTTCTATCATCTTACTTGAAGATGGAAGATGCCGTTTGATAAACACGTGCTTTAGCATGCGATTGGCTTGCTAATTCCCTATCATCCTTCAGACGTCATGCTTTCGACATACTTCAAAGGGATTTCAACATTGGTCTTGGAATGGGGTGATTGTGTCCAAGTGTCCACTTAGGTAACCTTTAATAAGATTTGCACAGCCACATTTGCTAGTGACAAATTTTGAAGCTACCAATCGACAGATCTAAGCTAATGATTGGTTGGTCTTACAGCCACATGATTTAATGACGTTAGAGTAATTTGCGCCACATATGCTATGACGACTTTAGATTAGGTTGGCATTTATGGGGCATTGCTTCGTACGACCTGACCTACCAAGTTCATTCAAGGAAGAATCCAGACGAGAAAAGTTGGTTTGAGGTTGGAGATGTGTAAGTTCCCCGGGTTGGTAGTTGTGGCACTGACACTGGCAGGTGTGGCTCTGTGGGATGATGGGATGGCGGGAATACTGGACTGGGTGAGTAGTGGGATTCAAAATCAAGAAGCACGGTAGGTATATGAAAAAGGATTTCAGGTAATTTCCAGCTTTACAAACTCTAACAATATACGATAATCTCATAAAGGTTTCTACGGGTCGTCCATTTCTTGCGCGGCTACTCAGCTACCAAGTACTCTACTTTTTTTGACAGTGTGGGATGGCCCACTTTGACTAACTGAGATATTTGATAGGTCACAATCTGCGAGAGTTAATCAATTTAGCTTGGCCCCTTACAGAAAACCTGAAAGTTTGTTTAAAAACGGGGATTTGCGGGGTACGGAGGTCAGGAACAGGTCAATATGCTTACTTGCATGCTTTGGTACAACTATTCCTTGTTATGACGGCAGCAAGATGGTCTCACAATTCCCATTCCCTTTGCCTTTGCCTTTCAAACGGGGAAGTGGAAGTGGGAGTGAATTCTTTGTTGGATTGGAACTCTCCCATACCTGGGTATCTCCCTCAATATGACGTCACAAACAGGTTTATTGCCTCTTCAGTCATCGGCCCTGAAGCATTTGAGGTCTTTAGTCTATTATATAAGGATTACCTTCTACCTCTCAAATCCTCTTTCTTTCTTCCATCATCAACAAACATACTAACCAACAGAAAACAACTTCAAGTCAAAACAAACCACAACTAGTTCTTACTTTAAACCTTCAAACAATACTACATTCAAAATGACTGGAGAATCTACTGTACAAAAGGTCAAGGATGTCCTTCACATCGGTATGTATTCCCTCTCTTCTCTCATCTAGGATACCTCAATCTAACAACTTCAGGTTCCCACAAGGACAAGGACCACACCACCTCTAGCACAACACACAACACCACCGGTACTACTGGCACACACGTTCCAGGTACCACTCACAACACTACCGGTACTACTGGCACACACATCCCAGGTACCACTCACAACACTACCGGTACTACTGGCACACACATCCCAGGCACAACACACACTGGCCATGCTGAGGGTTCTCACGGACCTCACAGCTCTGCTGCTGCCAATGCCGCTGATCCAAGAGTCGACTCTGATCTAGACGGAAACCGTCTTCCAAACAAGACCTCTGCCGGTTATGGTACTCAAGATGCAGCCTATGGCACAACTGGTACTCACACCGGTACTCACACTGGCACTCACACTGGTGCACATGTCCCAGGCACTACTGGCCACCAAGCTTATGGACACACTGGAACAACCGGCACCACCGGCACCCACATCCCAGGTACAACTCACACTGGACACTCTGAGGGTTCCCACGGACCTCACAGCTCATCTCTCGCCAATGCTGCTGATCCAAGAGTCGACTCAGACTTGGATGGAAACCGTCTTCCTAACAAGACTTCAGCTGGTTACGGCACTCAAGATACTTACGGCAGTGGTCTTACTGGCTCAACCGGTACTCACCACCAAGGTACAACCGCTGGCAACACTGTCGGAGGAACTGGTTTCGGTGGAGGAATCTCTCACAGCACCAATGCTGGTCCTCACAACTCCAACATTGCCAACGCTGCTGACCCAAGAGTCGACAGCGATTTGAGCAACACTGGTAACCGCCACGGAGCTTCCACTGGTCACTCCGCATTCGGTGTTTCCGGTTCCCACGCCACTCCCGGCTCAGGAACTGCTCAGAACACTGCTGGTCCACACAACAGCGACTTGTTGAACAAGTAAGCACATTTCTACCCCATAGTATTCTTGAACATACACTAACAATACTCCACAGGGCTGATCCAAGAGTTGATGCCGACCTTGATGGTTCCAAGACCTTGGGAGGAAACAAGACCTACCAGTAAACCACATGTACAATAATACCCCTTGCTGAACGCGGCATGAATTTGCGATACCCGAGGATTGAGCATACCCGCGTAACTGGGGGAGCTTCTATTATCTTCACACGATTGTCAGTTTAGGCTTTGGGTTTTCTTTTGTCTGCATATGATGGATGGAGGGATGGGATAGGATGATGGCATGGGAAACTTAATAGTTTTACGCATGATTTTACGAGTTACGAAATGATAATAATCACTTCTTAGTATTCTTCTTTTGTCATGTGATTGTGAACTTGAGTGGATCAACATGTTCTTTTTATGATTGTTGGGTGAATATGAAGCAGTCGATAGAACAGTTATTGACAACTAGGTAACCGATGGAATTATCTATCAGTCAATTCCCTTTTCACTTTTCCAACCACATCACTCTACCCTCTCACTAACATATCCATATCAAACACCTCCAGACTGCACCTTCACAATAACGAGCTTTTATTCTTTCCGCTCAAGAAGCTTCTGTTGCAACAATATCCCTCAACCATTCGCGGATAAAAGGTTTGTTATCGCGATCGCTTCTTTATTCGGAAAGATTGAGATTGCAGTCAGTATCCTACAAACGGCATTACCGATCATATCGAGTATCTAAACCGAAAAATATCTATACTTTTGCCTGAATTTAAACACGGTGAAAGTAATAAGTGAGTGAAAGAAATCGGTTAAAGTTACAACTGATAAGGGGGAATTAACATCATTTAGTCTCCGACTAAGAAAAAGCCGGACAATTTACTAATTAATGACAGGTAGCGAAACTTTTTGAAGTTATACTAGTAGTTAGTTAGCTGACTGTGGCTGGAGACTTAGTTTTAGTCTGAGGAAGAAAAACGTGCGAGCTAATGTTAGTGAGGACGCTAGAAGGGTAGGGTTGAGGCTAAGTGTGCAGATGGAGCTAGTAACTTTTGGGAGGATGGGAGAGAATGGGGAGTACAGAGATGTTTTGACGTTTGTGATGGGGAGGTCAAGGAAGTACCAGGTTGGAATTGAGGAGATATTGTTCTGGTAGGTTTGCTGATGAAAGTGGTACTTAAAGTACACTCGCTGGAAGCTCATTTCGGCTTGTGATGAATGGTGCTAGTGACCAGGTATCACTTTGAGGTAGAGCAATGTGGTGTAATAAATTCTTTTGATAAAGCTCAGAGGAATTCGATAGTTGGTGATAGATTTGATGGATTCAAGGAATCAGACAAATCTGCGAAAGTCTACCTCCAATTGTATGTATGGTCTTTGTGATTCCCCTGCTAGCTGATCCATAGATTTCAGTAACAGCCTTAAGGATCTAGGATCGAAAAGTGACTTTATCGTTTATCAATCTAGAACAAACCGATGTCTTGCTTATATCTGGGACGAAAAAGACTCATAATCTTGCCAGAACGAAAGAGTATGCAATTTCCATACTCCCGAACACAGGTTACATCGGGATCGAAAGGAAATGGTTGGAAGACTTAACGCAACAGTCTCGAAGCAAACGCAATATTGCATGGGAATATAATAGTAATCTCCTGACATTTTTTTTTTTCAGGGTGTAATCACGAAAAATTGAGAATTTGAGACAGAGTGAGTAGGATTCCAGAAGCGATGAACTTCGCCATCACAACGTGTCTAACAAAATCAGCGCCTGTTTGATCATATCCAATTCGCCTTGATTACATAGACAACATGATATATTGCGGGGTATTCATATACTAAGTATGACCTAGATTAGTGCCGAGAACCTCGAATCAGAGTTTAACCAGATTTTCTGATGCCAACCCTATCGACTACCTACCTAGCATTCAACAACAGTCCCTCATTTTAATCGCCTAAACACAAATGAACTTCAACTTCTCTTCCTCTGATTTCTCCATACACCAGTACTACCATCTTCGTTCCGCGCTCTGGATTGGGCGATCACTTTGATGTTTTTCAATTTCATTTACTCATTAAACTTTTGATCACCTCCTACTACGCACACCGAGATTCAAAAAGTGCTCGCGAGCAGTCTGATCCACGCTGTTGTGTATACGCTACGAACAGAATGCACTGCTTAATATCAGGACTGTTAGGAAACTGTTACATTACATCTAAGGATGAATTTATATGGCCTAATCATTGCATATGTATTATTATACAATAATCCTAGACTCGTTTTCTGCATAGGGGCAGAAGGGTGGGAGAATTCTCTTCACTAAGTAAGCGAAAGATACACAATGAGGAGAGAGAAGGGAAAGGGAATTCCATGATAGGTTCTGAAGTAACCTGTGCAACGCGCTTCATGTTGAAATATTCAAAGTTTTAAGTTCGGGAGGTAGTTGTTCCCTCGTTGGTGATTGATATATCTCCAAATCGCCAAATTTATTTTTTCGATTTCGTTCATATTTTGAATCTTGATATTTTTTGATACACTGACTGAGTGTCCTCATGTTATTCTCTGACTGTGAGGAGAACATACACTTGTATAATTTCATCTCATCGTTACGTTCTTTCCATAATGAGATGAAAAGGATTGCAGGTTAGTTCCTACCTTGAGATCGTTGTAAACAGTATCCATATCGAATCCCTCTCACTTCTCGTTAATGCTACAATCAATGTGTAATCACAAAAATAATACTACATCAGTACGTTAGTAGCATTAATTACATTCTACAACATTCATTCGATCATTCATATCATAATAACGATAAGTAGGTGAGATCCGATTATCCAGTCTCTAGGATGATAGATTATACTATTGCTGATCAAGAAAGCAGCAATTACTACATCTCTACACACTGAAAAAATGGTACTTTTCAAGTCTTCCAATAGGTACGTCATCTGTATTCGACGCTCGAACAAGGGGATTCATTTTCAGGACTTAAAGTATCTACCTATACATACACATTTCCTAATCTCCACATACAGATTCTCCATCCTTGCCGTTAAACACACACACGACATCGAAGACGAAAGCGATTCGACCAACGAGCCCGCATCCCCAATTTTGTTACCATTGAAACATAAGAATGAATCAAGAAACACCTATTCCCACCATTCTACACACAAGCCATTCCACACCAAACTCCCACCATTTCTGAGAATACCCCGCGAACTACGATGGACAATTTTCGACGCCCTCGTAGCGTCACTTAGCGAAATCGAAATCAGTCCTTCGTTTATCGATACATTCCATGCTCTCCGTCTCAGCACCAAAGGTCTCCGAGAAGAGGTTATCGGATGGCAAAGGAAGAGACCCGATGTTATGAATATATTCCCCTACGGCTGTTTTCTCCCCCAGCACACGACATTTATTCTGAAGATCGATCATCGCTGGAAAAAATTCGTCAAGCACAAGACGGTTTCCGGATCCCACGTGACGTTTAAGAGCGGCCCCAAGTCTAAAAAGCTAAATGAAGGGCTTTCCCCCAAAACAAAAGCTATCAAATACATGACGCGAGAACAAGCATGGTATAGTTTCTGTCGCGCAGTAACAGCACCACACATGGCAAAAATCCATCTCAAATTTGAGATTTCGTTACCCGAAGAATTTGGACCCATCAGTCAGGGGAACGGATTAAGTCCCATTCCGCGCGAAGAATTATTCCAAGCGCTAGCTGCTTCGAGATATCAAGAAGGCTCATGGGCATCCCAGCACTTGTATCTGCGCGGGACAATGGATCAACTGGCTAGCATGTACAAAACAGACACGCTTGCGCAAATTGGAGATATGGTGCAAATTGTACAGAAAGCGCAATTTGACGCGGAAACATGGACTATGTTTCGGGATGATCGGTGGGGGGTGGAGGATTACGAGACGCTTTCGTATCCGTTCGATGCGACGTATTGGGAAGATGAGAAATATAAGGTATGTGAGAAGGGGGGAGAGGGGAAGGATGTGTATGAGTATGGGGGGAGAGTGATGGAGGCGGTGATTGAATGTGCGCAGGATATACGGAGGGGTCCGCCGTTTGTGGTGGCGTCTTCGATTTCGCCTCCGGGGAATGAGGAGGATGCTTTTGTTTTTACGAGGGGTTGGTTGCAGGGGACTACGGCTTGTTTGTGAAAGGGTTGTGGGTTTGGGTTTGGGTTTGGGTGGAATAATTAGTAATAACTCAACAACTCAGTCGTGGAATTAGAATGAGGAACAGCGTTGAGGGTTCAACTTTCAAGCGAAGATTTGGGATCTTGTAAGAGGGGTGAATGAATGAATACCTACTTTATACTACAGCTTAATGATCAATGGTTAGATACTAGATAGATACCTAGTTTAATGAAATCATAAACTTGGGTACGATTCGTCTGAGATGAAATTTATGTGATACTTTCTGAAGAGATGGGTATATGATCGTCTATTTCATCTATCTACATAATTGATATAAGATTTTGAATGGAATTTGCAGGACGGGTATAAATGCAAATCCAGATCCAAAGAATCCAAATCCGAATCCTCACACAAACAATCCAATATCCTTAATCCACCATACTCTCCTCTCTGACCCTCCCCATACTCTCCTCTCCAATCCTCCCTATACCCCAGCAATCACCCAGCAATCATCTAACAATTATTTAGCAATCATCTAACAATTACCCAACAATCACCTAAAAATCACCTAACAATCACCCAACAATCACTTAACAATCATTCAGTAATCATCATCACCTAACATAACAATCATATACATACATCCCAACTCCAACTCTAACTCCAACAGCACTCAATACAGATTATCTACCTATCTATCTACCTACCCACCCCCTAGATAACATCAGCAGTAATATGATAAAAAATTCGAATACCTATAAGAGGTAACTACCTAATAGATAGCGACAACAGAGAACGACAACACTCAGAAACCCCACAAAATATCCCAAAACATTTCAAAAGACAACAAGCGAGAACTAAAATGCAAAAAAATCAGGATATCTCAATCACCTTCCCTATAATATAACATAACATAACAAACAAATCAAAACTCACCCACTCACTCACTCACTCACATGTACCAGCTCCAAAGGCCCTTTAATTTTGATTCCCCAGAATCCCCGAGATGAGCACTCAAAACCAAAATCAAAACCAAAACCAAAACATGACTGAACAAAAATGGTATTTATCACTGCAAAACTAATTTTTCCTTCATGACGACATAAGCCATCCATCTTCCAAGTAACCTATTTACCTCATCACTTCATCTCACGCCACCAATCACCCCGATTCTTTTCTACTCCATCCTCCCCAAGCCCTTCTATATACAACGCATTCATCCATAGCTCTTCCCCACTTGCTTCACCCAGCATCAACTTGATTCCAAAAGTCCCTTCCTTCTTCTCCTGTCCTCCCCGTCTTTTATCAACATTTTTTTAATCTTCGGGCGCAAAAACACACGGAATTCAAACTACCTGTATGCATTTACTCAAAGGACCTGGGCGTTTGCATTTAATCAAGTGGGATGCCTTCATATTCCGCGAATCCTAATGCGAGGTTCATGTTTTCTATTACAAAGTTAGCTCCAAATGCTTTCATATCAATGCAAAACATCATTAAGAAAGTTTTAAGAAAAAGATAAAACTTACGCAAACATTGAGTTGCAGCCCCCTTCAACAAATTATCAATGGTTGCACAAACAACCACTCTCTTGCCACTGCTGTGTACTCCAAAGCCACCAATTTCTACACCATGCTTTCCACTAATATTCTTGACACTAGGTGCTTCACCAGTAATCTTAACCAATTTCTCTCCAGCATATCGCTCTTGGTAAAGATTTCTAATATCTCTACTAGTCATCTTCTCCTTCAAAGGAATCGAGATAGAGTGATGAATACCCTGGAACCAGACTGCAACGTGAGGAATGAATGCAACTTCAACACCCAATTGGTTGCTGATTTCGCGTTCGTGAATGTGATCAGTGAGAGAGTAAGGAATAATGTTACCAGTAAGGTTCTCGACATCATTCTTTGGGGATGGTTTGGTACCTGCTCCAGAGTAACCTGATACACCAAAGATGGTTGGTTGACCACCAAGGAATGGTACCAATGGAGCAATTCCAAGTTGAGCGGCTGTAGCATAACAACCTGGGTTGGAGATTCGAGTTGCCTTGGCAATATCGGATCTGTTGACTAATTCTGGAAGACCATATGTCCATTTGCTGTCAAATCGATAGTCGGCAGAAAGATCAACAATGACACTGTTTTGAGGACCCTTGCCCTCGTTAACTGCATCAACGAAAGGCTTGCAGACACCGTTTGGTAGTGCCATAACCCAACAGTCAATTTCACCATTCTCTTCCATTCTGCGAACATCTTCTGGAGAAAGATTTTCATAGGTAATATCTCTCTTCTCATAGCCCTTCAACTTTTGTCCAGCGAGTTCTCTTGATGAGACATGTCTGAGATCCATATTTGGGTGAGCATTAAGAAGACTAATCAAAGCTTGTCCAGTGTATCCTCTGGCACCAATCAAAGCAACCTTGGCAGGTTGAGTGTTGGATGAGTTTTGCTTGCCGAAAGGAGGGTTAGGATTGGTAGTAGTAGCATATCCGCGCCCTGATGTAGGGAAGCGGGAAGTTCGGGAAGATTTGACGGCAGGTCTACGAGCAGAAGTAGAGAAAGCTCGGGCTTGTTGCCTGATACCACCCTGACCAGACATGGCAGCACTCATTCCAGTAGCTGCTCTAGCAGCACGGTGAAGTCGTGCCTCAAGGTTAGCATCTCCGAGCATAGATCTACCGTGAGTGGCAAACTCAGTCATGAGATCCTTGACTTCATTACCATCCGTAATTCCATACCAGAACATAACCTCTCCATTCTTAGACAAGCTACCATCAGCCTTATCAAAGAACCAAGTCAAATTTTCATCATCCTCCTTGACAGTCCAAACCAACTTGCTGTGATCCTTCTTGATAGCAGCGAAAACATTATCAGCAACGTTGGTCAACCATCCAGCCTTGGTAATAGTAAAGGTAGCCAAATTAGAAAGAGAACTTGGAGACTTTGGAGGAAGAACAATTGCAAGAGCATCCATAGGCTCATCGAAATAGGCCTTGAATTCCTTGTTCTTGAGTCCGTCAACATATCTGTCAACAGTAGCTCGTGCATCCAAACCTTCACGATCCCGTACAAGAACATCCTTCAATTTCTGGATATCCTCAAACTCGGAAAGAGCGCTGACAGTAGCTAATTTGTTGCCTCTTCGGATCAAGGTTCCCGCTCCGGTATCGGTGAATAGCTCTTTTTGAAGATCAGCTGGGTGAATAATAGCAACGCTGGAAGATCTTGGGAGGAGATCAAGCAATTGCTTAGTCTCCTTGATCTTCAATCTGGTACCATATCGGCACCACCATTGTGACATCAAAGAATCATATTCCTCATCGAGGTTGATGGCAGAAATCTTCTCGTTGGTATCGGCATTGAAAAGTCCTCCCTTCTCAGACAAGTAAACAATCTTCAATGGTTGTAATTCCCTGGCAAGTTCTCCAGCCGCAACATCAGCATTGACGTTCAAGACTTGACCCTCAGGAGTCTCAGCCATAGAAGTTAAAATGGGCAGACATCCCGCATTGATAGCAGCTTCAATTGGACCCTTGTTAACCTTGTTGATTTTGCCAACCAAATTGTATTTCTCCTTGTCCAAATAATCCGCACCGAAAACACCAGAAGTGATTGGTCTCGCTCTGACTCCCATCTCCTCCAACTTCTCCACCAACTTCAAGTTCTCCTCCAAGAACAGCTTGCGCGCAACTGCCAAGGTCTTTCCATCTGTAACGCGAATGCCCTCTTCAAATTGTGGTTCCACGCCCGCGTCTTCCAATAACTTATTCAATTGTGGTCCTGCACCGTGTACAACAACTGGGAATAGACCCACATGGTTGAGGAACGCAAGGGCCGAGGTGAGAGATTCGAGATGTTCAGTAATAATCGCACCGCCAACCTTGATAACTGCGAATTGCTGAGAAGACACGGAGCTGAAATGTGAGAGATATTGCTGAACCTCGCGCTTGGAGCCAATGTTGCTGAGGAGTTGAACAACAGTCGAACGGGTTGAAAAACTATCTGTAGCAGGCGCAGAGTATTGACGTCTGGATGAGAGAGCTACGGCGGTGGTAGCTTGTGGGAGGGATCTCACAGTGGAAGAGGAAGGGAATTTGCTAGTAGCAGTGCGTGCTCTTCTAGCAACAACAGCTGCTCGAGATCGAAGTGCCAACATGATTGGTGGGGGTTAGAATCGAGATGGAGTGGAGAGATTACTCAAAGTGAAATTTGTTGAGGACAACAAACTCTGCCGTCTTATAACTTCTTCTGTGCAGAGCTGATGAAAGAGAAATTCAATGCAATTCAATGCCAAACAAACGTTTGATCCGAGAGTTATCTCATGCGAGGCGGGAAGGATTCGAAGATGTTGGTTGGGAGAGGGTGCTATGAACTGAAAATAACGCAGACTAGAGGGATATAAAGTGTGAGTGAGACAATTTCTTCAATTGTTTTGTGAATAAACCTCTCGCAGTATTCTTCCAAAGAAAGAATGAAAGAAAGCAATCAAGATGAACGTGAAGACGAATAAAACTTATATATCATACCTTTCCTCAACTTTCTTCACAATTTCAACTTCAATGAAAATGTAAGTGGAAGTAGATAATACTCATCAGCTATCAAAAATGACAGTCATAGTTCCTAAATGCTCTGGTAATAAATTCAATCTGGATTTAACCCCTCAGGGATTGACTGACCTTGTGCCTTGTGAAAATATAATGTGGAGAAGCGCCGATGTTCTACGATTGGTTGAATGGTTTGGAATGGGTTGGATTTTCAGATTGTGGAATGTGATTGGATGGATATGGATTCTTGGCATGAAGAAATACCCCACATCGAGAAGTTTTTATTCCATTTTATCTTGTCAAACTTTTCTCCCAAAGCTTCAGACTTCACTTGATACACACGTCCCATCCATACCTACCTTGGTATACGAGTGGGAAACGAAGGTGCGGAATATTCCCTTTGTTGTCTTTGGGTTGAAATCTGGAGGTGCGTGGGAGGAAGGGGAAAAGTCTTCAACGTGCAGACTGCAGCTAGTAAGGTAAGAAGTATGTAGTAGTAGTGGTAGGTAGATAAGAAGAAACATATTAGTCTGTTTTGATCAGTAGTGAAAGTCAATGGGAAAGTAAATATCAACATCAATGTCAACATCAATATCAACATCAACCACAACACTAACAACTAGAAATCCTCAAGAAGCAGGAACTCAACAACATCTTAATACATACATACATACATACATACATACATACATACATACATACATACATACATACATACATACATACATACATACACACATCAAAATCTCCTCAATCCCCAATCATCAATCCTCACAATCAATCATCAACCAAACCATCCATCGGATCCATCCATCAATAACGGAAGCAAATATCCATCCCATCCCATCCCATCCATCCCATCCCCTCCCTCCCTTCCCAGCACCCAAAATCCACTCACCAACTAGTAACCAATCCAACCAATCCAACCAATCCAACCAATCCATCTCCCACCATCTCCTCATCTCCCATCTCCCACCATCACAATCTTATCAGATCAGATCAGATCAGATGCGCTCCGAATCTCCGATCTCTGATCTCGGTCCTATGACACCAAAAATGATGCTTGCTACTCACCTTACTCACCCTACCTACTCACCCTACTCACCCTACTCACCCTACTCACCCTACTCACTCTACTCACCCTACTCACCCTATTCACCCTACTCACCCTACCTACTCACCCTACTCACCCTATCCACATCCCAACTCTCACGTAACCAATTCGTAACGGATATCTAGGTATGATCTGATACCGGTATCCAAGTCCCACACCTACTTTGTACATACAGTAGTAACTTAATACATACATATCCTTTCCATTCCATCCATTCCATTCCATGTACTTCGTATAATATATTCCAATTCCATACATCCTCGCGGCCATTCAAAACGGTTATTCAAAACTGCTATGGTATGCACTACGAGTATACATTATAGAATAGATATCTACCTACCTCCCTACCTCCCTACTTTCTAGCAGCATAATATCATCCATCATCCATCATCCATTATCCATTATTAACATCTCACTACCGACCTTCCACATTCCACATTCCAATCAGCATTACAATACACTACATCTCACTTACTCACTCACACTCACTCACAATCCACAGATACAGATATAAAAAGTCATAATCTCTCCATTCATTCAATTACCATCCACCAAATACTACAAGATACAAATCCCCCTTTCGAGCTGAATATCCCACTCATCCATGTTCGTAGTCTGTTTGAAGATCGTTGACCAGAAGCCAAACCAAGTTAGATCATAAGAAATGGATTAGTGGTTCATCAAGTCAAACGATATCAAAGTGACGCCGTCATGAAAAAAAAGGAAGAACCGATCATGTAAAAAATCTCAAAAATCTCAACTCCTGAATCGTTAAAAAGCCCCTTCGTTGCCCTCCTAGCTTTGCAGGTCCCCCCATGCAAAAGCCCAGGAGAATCTGGCGTCAAGTGTTTCGTTCCATGAAAGTCCGTACAAACGTTCATGTATCTTTTCTTTCATAATCTCTGTACCCAAGTATCCCGTCATTCAAGTCCATTTTCCCATTCTTCATTCGTACTTAATTTAATGCTTGGAAGCAACAACTGGAATGTCATTAGTTGTGAACCCATAAATTGGGTTAGAGAAACTCACCAGCAGGAACTACGATGATAATGATTAAGATGATAATGCCTGCAATCAAGCACATCCTCATCTTCATATCCTATTGTCCCAAATATTAGCCCAGCCCCCTTAATTTTTACTAGAGATCGTCATTTACCTTCCACCACATTTGTTTGCGGACTCTGTTAGCTCCACGACGGAAACCTTGCGCTGAAACTGCGAGACTATCGGTTTTGTCTTGAAGAGAATCTAAATGGGCACCACGTTCCGAGACCTTGTTGATGTTCTCGCGCATTACACCAACGGTATCATCGATAGTCTAGAAGGAAATAGAGGTCAGTCAAAGCTCTGCAACATAAATCAAAATGCCCTCGAGTTGTCAAAGTTGTCTGGTAAATTTGGAGCCCCTTTGTGATTGTAAAAGTTTTGCCAATTACACATCGTTCTCAGTATCTGAGAAATCGTTGCCCATAGGTATAGTCGCAACCACCATGACTCCGAAGTTGTTGTCGGCAAGATATGATATACATCGGAACTCGTGTTCAGGCGGCTAAAACACATGCGCAGCAAAACCAACACCATGTAATTTATCGATGCCAGCACAATCTACGCCTCTTCTCAATCTCGCATTTTGAGAAGATATCTCCAAATCGTAACTATCGTGCGCAATTTCTTTGTTCTGTGGGTTGTTGATGCTTATCGCATGGTCGGTCGGTCGCAAAATCGTCATATGCATGATGATGACAGGGTGACAAAACTCTCCATCAACTCCCGAGACTCAAAATCCATCGACAGACAACTTCTCGACCCGTCGGAAGATTGTATATCACTTACAGCTTGTAATGCCGCCGTCCTCTGGTTACCTCCTGCTTGCTGGGATCCGGCACCTGCACCAGCAGCTCCTCCGCTGGGGATATAAGGATCATATTGAGGTTCTCGGTGGTCCGCCATTGTGATGTGTTTGTGGGTGTGGGTATTAATTTGATCGTCGAGAGGTCGTCAATTTTACTTTCGCTGTGATTGAAATGATGAATAGCTCAGCAAGAGTTCGTGTCGTAAATAAATCGAGTTGCGTGGGTATTTGTTGTTATTGTTTTGGTAGAGATGGAGGAAGATGTGAGTGATGGAATAATGGGTTGAATAAAGTTCGGGTTCTGGAGCACGTTTAGAAGCGAAACAACAGAAGGCCCAAACGTGATTGATCTTTGCCAAGGGGCTCTTCAAGGTTAATGGTTAATACTTGCTTTCTTTGAACAGCAGTGAATCAAACTCAATAGTCAATTAAATTCAATTGAGCATCTAAAGAGAAAATATAAATGAAACAATAAACAGAACAGAACAGAACAAAAATAAGAGGGAAAGGCGTCCAATTTATTTGAGTTCGAGTTATTGAAATACGAACGGCTTCATCGGAATCCGTTCTAATTCCAGTTGCTTGCCAACCCATCTGTCTACGCAATTCATCATGAGCGCCAGCCATCCAACCCATCCTGCGCCTACTCAATCTACACGTGATCCTCCATCAAAACCCTGTCGTTGTCAATTCCGGTGGCTCTCAAGAGTCAAAAAAAGATGGCTGTGTCACAGTGGCGAAACATTGAAGATTTCACAAAGTCCTCAAAGAAACGAATGCGGAACGTACTTGAATCTGATAATACGTTGGTGCTGCTATCAATGCTGTCAATCTTGCCAATGCGATGCGACTCGTCCTGTCGGGGTTATATTATTTTGGCTTGACATGTTGATTTGCACATATTTGTAAATTTATTGTGGACAAGTTTGACAGACCCTTCCCCCCGGATTTTGAATCATTTGTAACGTGGGCTTTAATTTGTAATCATTATGTTGGTTTGGCAGATAAATCAAGATTCAAGATTCATATATTTCAAGTGATTAATGGGAAGCATAATAGAAGCTAAATTTCATGAGCATCAATTGAACTATCATATAGATAATCTAGACGCCCGCCTACGTTCATCTACTCGTAAAAGGTATCAAAAATAAAACATCAAAGAAGTTGGTAAAACTTCGAATCACCAAACCACCCAATTCACATACACCTCCTTGAACACCATATCTCCAATCTCGTTGCCGCTCCATAAAAAGTAGAAATGCAGTAGTAAAATCCAAATACTTTTATCGTAACTCCCGTATGCCCCCAAACCCCAAAAATATCAAGTATCCCACAATCCATTCTCCCCCCAGTTGTAAGTTGTGTAAGATGTAAAAGAGAAAGCTAAATTTGGTATCAGGAGACAAAGAAATGTCATCAACTGAAAGATGAAAAATATGAACACGAGAATGTCAGAACAAAGAGAATAAATGTCATCGTTTTTCGTCAGAATTCGAGGAAAAGAAGATAAAGAAGTTGTAGTAGAAGAGGAAGAGGAAGGAGAAGAAGAAGGAATAAATAAATAGAAAATCAATAGATCAAAATAAAAAGACGTAATGAATAGAATAAAGTGCGCTGAAACATCAGCATGGGGATAGCGAGTTATACCGCGAATTAGCTGATTGAGTGGTGGTTTTCGATATGATGAGACGAAAATACAGAAACCTATGTATGGTTAGATAAATGAAACTTAGACATGAAATTAGTGAAATCAACGTACCATTGGAAGTATGAAAGGACTTCGTATCAATCCGATAGCCTTGAGAAGGAAAGTCACAAGAAGATGATGGAAAAAAGCATCGAGATGTCGAAGAAAATAACCCCCTCCCCCCTCTGCAAGAAAAGCGGTCCATACCAAAAAGACTTGCAACTCAGCGTTGGATCTTAACACACTGTTAAAGACCTTTAGATTGGGCTTCGAGTGAACTCAAGACGAATTCATGACAAACCCTCGCTCTGAACCACGTTCCCACAGAGGTGGTGAAACAAGAAGAGACCTTCGTCTTGGTCGTGGAGATTGAAGTATGGGTGTTTGAATCTCCTCGTATACTGTTGGCGACATCAAGTTTATATCATTCAATGGCAAAAATGTCGATTTCGTCTTAATTGGCCCTATTTCCTCGGAATCTAATAGCATTTGTCCAATACTAGCAATTTTTAAAGCATCCCATGTGCCTTCACGTCTAGGGCCTGCTTCCCTTAAGATCGTGACCGCATCTCTCCGTATTTTTTGATCAGGACACGCGTATATCACAACGAAAAGAGAAGGAATAATCCCCGCATCAAAGACGAATGTCTTCAAGAATCGAGGATCGGAAACAAGCTTTTGACTGAGAGAGATGATTTGACGAAAGATGGGAAGGAAGTGATCGGAAATCCTGTAATCAAGGAAAACTCCTTGACCCATGAGTCCTATCCCGAGAGCTTTAATCTGAAGAGTGGTGGCAGCAATATAATCTGCATTACCCGAAGGAGATTGTGCATAAGAAATGATTGGCTGAAATGCTCTTTGCCAATCTTGAAAGCTAGAACTGAACTTAGGAAACTCGAATCCTGTGAGGATAGGAGATGATGCTTCTGGGTGAAGCTTCTGAATTCTTGAAAAGCTGATTGCCAAACCTTGAGGAGAAAGATCCGGTGATGCCAGGCGCCTTTGTAGGTCTGCCCGTGGTATCTTCGGGAGAGAGTGGTATAGCACATGTTCTAAATGAACTTCGGCTTCTGCAAGATTGTCAAGTTGTCGAGGAATGTCCGGTTTGGGTATATCGTTTGAAATGAGGTCAAGGACCTTATCGCTCAAAGAATCTGGATCATCTGGTCGTGTCACGATCGCCAGAGCAAGGTGGAGATACGCGGTGACAATCTCATTTTCTACCAAATCTGGCGCAGGAGAGCTCAATAATGGATTGTGATGGGGATGACTTGAAATTGCTTCATGATGGTGCATCATCTTAAGTGCACTATAAATGTGTTTGTCGGCCAACTGAGTGTTGCCATCTATCAGATGTTGGGATCAGTAATTGTGTAGCAGAAAGGCTCAAAGAGAGAATGGAGCTTACGAAAATTCTCAAAGCAAAATATAATGAGAGACACAAGTAAAGGTATGCGAAGAGAATTTTGAGTCGTTCGAATAAGGTTACGAAGATACCGAATGGATCTTCCATATTGCTTCAGAGCGTATCGACGGTGCATCTCTACTTGATCGGCTATACCATAAGGCGATTAGCACTACATCGTTAAGTAATCCTTGAGACTTACAAATCCGCTTGAACCCGGCTTCACCTTCTTTCGGGTCTATGCATTTCGAGACTTTCATTGCTTTGCTCAAAGCAGCGATTGCGGTGGCAGCATGTCGGACAGAGGTATCAGTATGACAAGATTGAAGGATGATGACGTTGAATAGTTTCTTTTTAAACCCTCCGGCGAGCTCAAAGACGGTCTCTTTACAGAAGAAATCAAAGTATTGAGCCTCTTGCTCGTTACCGAAGTTCAACACGGAGATACTGGGTGGTATTGAAAAGGGCGGAGATTCTACGACTTCTTGTGATATGCCAGTGGATATAGTTGGGCCCATCAGCCAAGCCGGTTTATCCTGAAATTAGTGTTAGCACTGCCAGATTAGAGGATAGATTGAAGATATACCTTAGGACTGTACTCGTAGCCATCACACTTCCTCCCGAAGTTTATACATCGCATGCACGATGGTTTGGTCTCATCACATTTGACCCTTCGCAGCCTACAATTCAACGAACTATTAGTAAATGATCGAATGGTTTTCTTTCAACATAAGAAAGTTCAGTATGATGGAAGAAACCACAAACTTCATACTATCAACATTCATTCGATCCACATGATCGATTGAACATTCTAGTCACCACTTTTACTCACTTGCAAGTGGTACACCCAGTCTTTGACTTCTGCCTGCACGCACGTGTCTTCCTAAAAGACAGTGGAGATGGCCCTGCTAACGTGATATCTGAAGAGAAACTCATTGCCATCTTGAGAATATGGCAATGATGAGAAGTGAAATGCGAGAATATGAAAGAGCCAATTAGGAAAGACGAATGGTGTGAAACAATATGCTAGCCCAAGAAACAGGGCTAGGATAGGAGAGAAGGGGAGTAACAGTGAGAGAGGAAGACTGGGGAGACCCGAGACTTCTAAACGCGCGCAAGATTGAAAAGGAGAGTAAGAGATTGAAGTCAGCGTTAGGAGATCCGGCTCCTTGATGAGGAAATCAACTACGTGTATAAGTCTGCGGCGGTAAAGATAACAGCGGTAAAGATAAAAATGATTCTTCCATTGCTATATAGGGCTGGTGATGGAGATAAAGTACTCCACGCGGATGTGTATTAAAAGGAGTAATCATGGTGCTCATTGTTGATGATACAAACAAGGTGATGTTGTTGGAGTGTGGATCCCAAGTGTTATATTTTTTGATACTATATTTAAAAATAGAAGTGACAGAAATGTAAAGACAAGGTTGCCATTGGTTGAATTAATTTTCAATAATTAGTGACCAATATATCTTCCAATCAGCGGAGGTGATTCTATTTCGAAAGTGTCGTAATCCTTGACTTATGCCTCATTAATCCTTGCTCCGATCTTATCTTCTCATCAAATCCCAAGGTTTCCTTAAACGCGCGACGGTGAGGATAGACGATTCCGTGTGCGTGCCTTGCATGAGATATTTGCAGAATCCTTCGAACATCCGTAAGGTTATTATGTGATCTGTGCCGAATCACCCAATACCACTCGATGGGGATGGGGAGATTAAATCCCATTTCTATTTGAAGATACTTACTTCGTCCTCACTCATGAGAGACGAGGCTGAAGAATCCCTTATTTGGGATTTGGCGCGCCGAGAAGTTGAGAATCATCGTGTGTAGACGCATCAATCATCCGTATTAAGGTCATGCATGGTCCAGGGAATTGGGAGTTTTTGAAGGATGCAAAGGACCCGAATACGTACGGGAAATGGCGATACCAGGAAACGGCAGATCTTGCAGGATTTCTTCATGCCATTCTTCGCTTTGCCCACATAAGAATAGAGACTGATTGTATATTACTCCGTATGTCTTTGCGTGCCTAGGCAATCCGTAGGGCTTTCTATCCAAGAGTCCTGGAAGAGATTAGGTGCCGCATGACTGAACAACTCTTCAACGGGTATGATGAATAAGCTGAGGATGTAATAAGGCGATCTATATTTATATCAACACTTTATCTCATTTCCGTTCTCTTAAATGTCAGCTCCTGCTCATCGACCATGGTTGTCTTTCTTTCTTTCTTAATTTTGGTGTGTTGGCTGTTGGCCGTGGCTACATCCGACACAAATCCACCATGAGTTCCATATGATTGTATGCCAATAGGACTAGCAAAATGGGCTCCACCGTGAAAAATGATGATCAAGTATTGAAAGAGTCGTGCGAACTTGAGATGTCAATTTGAGAGGTATGAAGGAAGCTCGCTAACTAATAACAAAGCCACCTCGCTGCCGCCCGAAGATTGGATTCATATTTGATCACATGATCAATCACGGTATGGAACCAATCAACCAATGAACGCACAACAGTTGAGCACAGAGGCTGCCATCTCATTTATGCTCCACTAAGTTTCCATACAGAAATTACGAAATCCAAACAGAACTTTATTTCGACCTTCTGGGTAGGTACCTAGGGTAGATAGGTAGGCTTGGAAGCAAAAAGGACTCTTCTCTTCTAGCTGAGACAATACGACAGCCACATCACGTTGACTTGGCGACAAATCTATTGGAAAAAGAATCAAGGCTGGAAGTTCTTGGAATCAGCATCATTCTGTCCATGCCAAGTCGAGCGATATTTATTTGCCTAGGCATTATGCAAAGTCCACCTGCACCTGCACTGGTTGTCTGACCAAAGTCGGTTTTTCGTGGTCATGGAAATGGTATGAATGATTTGGAGTGTTGAATTGAGCGAATCACTATCACTGGATGGTTATGGTAGGCTAAATCGATGAATTACCTAGGTAGGTAGGTAGGGTATGGAGAGAAGACAGAAACAATTCATTCATGTCATGATCGGAATAATTGCAACAAGGCTGATGAGTGAGCGATGGACTTTTATTCCCTAGGAGGTAGATAGCTAGGTAGTAGGTACTTTCTTTCGTTTTTTTATAGACACGGTCCCTCCTAGATAGTACCATGATAGATGTAGATATGCATTCATCCATTTCATCCATTTCATCTTATTTTCTTTTCTTCCCTTAACCTTACCAAGAAACCAAATACGAGGCTTTGGATTGAATTTCTTTCAAACCTTCCGGACTGATCGGAACATCTTTTTCTTTCATGGAAAACACAAGTCTCGGCTCTCCACAAACCTTCTTCTTATTCTATTTTGGAAGTGTACCGTACTACGAGACTACCCAGGTACTCTCGTCGAATCGGATTCAATATTGTACTATGGATGCCAACTCTACTGCACGGTACTTGATTCAACCCAACCCCGACGAAAGTTCGTTCCTCGCTCCTCGTCTCGTTCCTCGTTCTTCCTTCCTCGATTGCTTTTGGCATTCTTGGTCTGGAATTCCAAGACTACTCCGCCTCATTATCCTTGCTTCTCTTTATAAATCTGCATTCCCCGCAAGATCATCATCTAGGATTCTACCTCCACTCCCGCGCCTTCCATCAATACGAGAGAATTCCAAAGATTCGTCACTACCTACGATACCGTGTACAACAAACACAACCAGCCGTTACTTGACTTTCCATCAACCTCTTCACTCTACAACCACCAACTTCATCAAAACAACACAACTTTTATTTCCATAACAATCATCCTATTATGGTGTTGCTCCCGGTTTTGCTACAATCGAATCGCTCTTTGGCTTAATTTTTGGGACTGCTGCTCACTCTCCCCCTCAGAAATTAATTTGGTCGTTCAATTGTTCGTTGTTGATCTTGGTTCTTGGGAAAACATAGGGCATAGAAAGTTCGAGAAGAACAATTCAATCGTTTATCCCATCCCGTTTGGAACCATTCTCTGCATATAATTTAATTGAAGGGATTTCCTACGGTCGTTTTCGAGGTTGTTTCTGAATATTTCGTCATATCCATCTCTGGTGTGCTTTGGTGTATAGACGTCATTGACCCCGGCGCTTTTTCAACCTCAACACCACACCTAGTTTATATCTATTACACGAAACTACACAAAATTGCACAAACACAAATACCATACTCTTAATCATGAAGGTCTCGAAGTCTTTATCGACTTTTGCTACAGCTTTCATAGCTGGGAGTCATGTCGTTAATGCGATAGAAGTCGATCTTGATTCTCCGGGTATGTATTTCGCTCTCTATGTCAAATTTTATATACTGACTACAAATTCAGATTCTATCAAGTCCGCGGCGAGTACGATTGCGTACGATATGATGTCCTATTACACAGGAAACCGAACGGGGGGCATACCCGGGAATCTACCGGCTCCATATTATTGGTGGGAGGCCGGAGCAATGTTTGGCTCACTGATTGACTATTGGTATTATACAGGCGATTCGTCATATAACGATGTTACTACGGAAGCGATGCTGTGGCAGACGGGACCAGATAATGACTATATGACCCCGAATCAAACTAAAACGGAGGGAAATGATGATCAGGGATTTTGGGGATTGGCGGCTATGTCTGCAGCCGAAGTGAATTTTCCAAATCCTCCCTCAAATAGGCCCCAATGGCTCGCTCTCGCGCAAGCAGTTTTCAATACTCAAGCTCCCCGGTGGGACGATAGTACTTGTGCTGGAGGACTACGATGGCAAATTTTTACCTTCAACAATGGTTACAATTACAAAAACTCAATCTCTAATGGTTGCTTTTTTAATTTGGGTGCGCGCCTTGCGAAATACACCGGCAACGATACATATGCACAGTGGGCAGATAAAACCTGGGATTGGATGGAGCATGTGGGGCTTATGGATGAAAAGTACTACGTTTACGATGGTTCTGACGACACTCTTAATTGTACCAAGCTCAACCATATACAGTGGACTTATAATGCTGGAGCTTTCCTTCTCGGCGCGGCAAATATGTATAACTATACCAATGGAAGCGATATCTGGCGTGGACGTGTCGAAGGTTTACTAAATGCTACCCATGTTTTCTTTGAGGATAATGTCATGATGGAGGTAGCTTGTGAGAATAACGGAAAATGCAATGTTGATCAACAATCATTTAAAGCATACCTTGCTCGCTGGCTCGCGGCTACAACGAAAATGGCACCTTTTACCTACGATTCTGTTATGGAATTACTACGCCCTTCAGCTAAAGGGGCTGCCGCATCATGCGTTGGAGGCGACAATGGACGCACTTGCGGGCTCAATTGGAGAACGGGACAATTCGATGGATTTTATGGAGTGGGCGAACAGATGTCAGCTTTAGAGGTCATTCAAAGTAATCTCATTGCGCAGGTAGCGGGACCAGTCACTAATACCACGGGTGGAACAAGTAAAGGTGATCCCACTGCTGGATCTGGGAAGAGCCCGAGTAACTATCAGGCGACACAACCAGTTACGACGGCTGATAGGGTTGGAGCAGGAATTCTTACGACAGTGGTATTGCTGGTTCTTCTTGGAAGTATCTGGTGGATGATTGTGGATTAAAGAAAGAAACTCATGAGGGTATTCTTGTATATATATTGGTGCTTGGAACGGACACGAAATCTCCTACAATTATGGGTATTCGCTGCGCCAAATTTGGGATTTCTCTGTAATTTTGGGCGGTAGATGGGATACGGAATCGAAATCTTGGAGTTTTGGGGCGTTCAGTAGGGATTGGAGTGGCACGGGTCTGATTAGGGTATCGATCTGATGACGGTCTACGTGATAAATGAAGATATTGGGGAAAGGAAATACGCGGCCGCGCATAATACTTACGTGCATGGACTAGGATTAGGAATCGGAAGTAGATGGTAATACTGCATGAGGCTTTTGGGGGGTAGGTGGATTAAATGATCAAATTTAGTTTGAGCATAGTTTGGTGGGATGTGGAGTGAGGAGTAAAAAGGAATTCTTGTAATCTTTTTGATTCTTGTAACTTGTAAGAAGAGAAATTGAAAGGGAAATCAAAATAAATGAAAGATAGTGAATTTTTTACTTTGGTGTGATGTGATAGATGTAGAGGTTGGGTGGGTATGAGATGGTGAGATGGTGGAAATAAGATGGTGGGTATAAAATGGTGGGTATAAGATGGTGGGTATGATATGGTGGGTATGATATGCTGGGTATAAGATGGTAGTAGGTGAGGTGAGATGTTTGGTTGTTTAGTAGGTAGTAGATGATATTGAGAAGTGATATGATGTAATGTAATGTAATATGATATATATACTAGGTAGATACCTAGATATTTATAAATAGTTATGTTTATTATATTATTTATGCTATAGATAGATAGGTAAATAAGTAGGTAGGTAGGTAGGTAGATTAGGGCGGGGGGAGGGGGGGGGGTTGAGATTATGGGAGGGTTTGAGATTGGATTAGAGAGAGTGGGATTGGAGAGAGTGACTGGAGAGAGTGATTGGAGAGAGTATTGGAGAGATGATTAGGTGAGTGCTGGGTAATCGGGGTGAGTGATTTTTGATATAGGATAGAGAGTGTGGGATAGAGAGTGTGGGATTAGAGGAGTATAAGGAGAAAAAGGAAGGGGGGTTGGAGATAAGGGAGTGGAAGTGAGGGGGATTGAAGAATATATGATTAATGATATTTGATGGAGGAGGATGGATGTTGTAAGAATATATAGTATAGTAGAATTTGAGACTTTGAGACTTTTGAGAATTTGAGGAGGTGGGGATAGAGATAGTGAAGAGGTAGAGGTGAAGGAGGGGGTAGGTATAGATAAAATAAAGTGAAATAAAATGAGAGGAAAGGAAAAGGAGAGGAAAGAACAAGGAGTAGGAAAGGAGAGAGGATAAGGTAAATTAATGTTTGAGTGTGAGTGTAAGTGAATCTGCGTCTGAGTATGTTTGCGTTAGCGTGTAAGTTGAGTATGAGTTAAGTGTGAATTGAAAATAAGTATAAATGTGAGTGAGTATATAAATAGAAAATGGAAATTAATATAATACAAGATGAGATGAGTATGAGTGTGAGTTGAATATAAATATATATTGAGTATAAATATAAGTTAAATATAAGTGTAAGTTGAGTATAAGTGTGAGATGAGTATAAGTTGAGTATGAATATAAGTTGAATATAAGTATGAGTGTGAGTTGAGTGTAAGTTGAGTATAAATTGAGTATAAATTGAGTGTAAGTTGAATATAAATTGAGTGTGAGTTGAGTATAAGTTGAGTGTGAGTTGAGTGCGAGTTGAATATAAGTATGAGTTGAATATAAATGTGAGTTGAGTATGAGTTGAATATAAGTATGAGTATTACTTGTCGGCTATTAGAAAAATTCTGCCAACCACCCCTAGGTGGTTGGTAGCACCAACTCCGACATGCAGCAACTCCGACACGGTCGATTTTTTCAAAAATTAATATCAATTCAACTACACAATTAATTTCATATCTAAATATATGAAAATGATTATTGAGGTTGCCTCAATATAGTTACTAGATTTTCTTCTTATTATTTTGCTTCTAATTGTGAAACTTTTAAGGGTCGAGTTTTGAGGTTATATTATTAGCCTTAGATTCGAAGTTTATGCGACTGATTATGTAAGCATAACACTTTTCTCAATTGAAAAGATTTATTAGATTATTCGAGAAACCGACCTTACAATAATAATAAACCAACAATATTTGAAATGAAAAGCTTTAATACAAATGAAAAAGGCAATCAAGGGCTATAACTCTATATAAAATTTATTATTCTACAATAAGTAGTTGAATTGATATTAATTATTGAAAAAATCGAGCGTGTCGGAGTTGCTGCATGTCGGAGTTGGTGCTACCAACCACCTAGGGTGGTTGGCCATGAGGATAATTAGCCGACAAGTAGTGTGAATTGAGTATGAGTGTGAATTGAAGATAAGTATAAGTGTGAGTTGAGTATATAAGCAGAGGGTGGAAATTGATATGATATAACGTGAGATGAGTATGTAAGTATAAATATAAGATGTGATGAAAGGAGATAAAGTCAAGTATTCGAGTTGAGTTGATTATGAGTATGAGCTGGATGTGTAAGTTGAAGATGGAAGTTGAATATGTAAGTTGATATATTATATTATATATTACGTATTATATATTATATATTGTGTATTGCGTATTATATATTATATACGATATCCACACAATTCGTTTAATATTGATATTATTTCAAAGCGAGTAAAAAGAGGGGAGAGATGTATGAGAGAAAAAGAGAAAAATACATATAAGGGGTAAGTAGGTAGATAGCTAGCTAGATAGGAACTAGCAACCCTCTATTATAAATTCAAAATCCTACGAGTATACTTAAGAAGATAGACGAACAGAACGAAGAATACAGTCACAGGCTCCTGCAAAAGAGGATAGGAGTTGAAATTAATCATGTAAATCTTTCATTAGTTGAGTTTAAATCATCGGTATATACATTCATGGTATATGTTTGAGAGATTGAAAGGGATGTTGAGTTTTGATTGTTTGAATGATATTTGAAAGTTTACTTTGTAGGAGATGTGAGGGAGGGAATTGAGGTATTGGAGGTGTTGAAGATGTTGAGAAGTGGGAAAATCGGTTCTCTTTGTAGGGGAGATGGGAATGTGCATGGAGTCGCTCTTGTAAAGATAGACGAGCGAGGGAATATAGAATTGTTCATGCTGTGAATTGAGATTAATTATTGATCTATTTTAATTTGTAGTCGTGGATTTGATATTTATTCCTGATAATGGGATGGGGATGGGGTAGTTCGTTGCGGTTACAGTAAGTCGACGTATTAGTATGAGAAATTTTTTATGCGAATTGAGTAGGTATAGAGGGATCGGTAAGGATAAAGTGATTATAGATACAATCAATTAATAAGATAATTAAAAATTTGACTTGTATTTACTTTGAATTTGTGATGCGATGTGATGTGTTCTTGAAAGGTGGAACGTGAGTTCATTGTGCTTGATTTTGGTGACTTGTTTCGCTTAGCTATATAGAACGTAACTAGGTACGGAAAGATATTGAGATGCGTAACTATCAAAATCAGGGGATGTGGGGTAAGGGCAGAAAAATCCTTTTGAGAGGAGGGTTATGTGTACAGGGGTTTTGGGAATAGGGAGGGTTGGATGGATTATGGTATTGGGGTTGGTATTGGGGTTGATTTTGATATTGATTTGTTTTTGATGGGGTAGGGGAGGAGAGGGTAGGGTGGAGTGGTGTAATTAAAAGAGAATAGAGAGGGTGATGTTATGATGACATGGCTTGATGAACTTTATGGCGGTGCGGCGGGTGGGTAGAGAGATTTAGAGTATTGGGTATTGGGGGCAGTAATGTATTGAATGGTTAAGGATTGAGAGATGGCAGGGTGGAAAAAGCGATTCAGGATGCTAGCTGGAGCTCGAGGGATTCTATAGAACTGGATTGAAGGGTTAGAGATTGGGAGACAGCGAGGTAAGACAATATGCACAGGATTTAGGGATGGGGGTAAGAAGAGTTGAAAGAGGATGAGGAAGATGTTATCAGTGGAGTGTTGGTAAGCGCAAGTGCGTTTATGGATTTGCAATTTTCGTATCTTGGATGCAAAAGCAGTGGTTAGGTTGAGATCATTCATTGCAATATCTGCCCTCCAGCTGTCACCATTCACATCGATATATATCGCAAGTGCAAAAAAGAGATTCTGAGGCAAAAAAAGCTCCTATTTCCTAAGTACATAACCAGTTCCATCAGTCGTTGACATATCTTTCCATGGCATATGTACATTTATTTCTCTAAAAAGAAATTCTAAAGCAAATATTCACATATATTTTTGAAAAAAAAAAAAAATTCCTAGAACAAAGGATTAGCAAGTCTGCTGCAATCAGATGGTTTACTAGGAGTCTATGACTTACTTGCATCTGCTATCAGTCCAAGCAGATAGCTTCGTCAATCGATGTACCACTTGCCTGGTAACTAGCGATTCTTCTCTCCCTTTCCTCTCTTTCTGCTTTTTCTCTTCTCTCTTGCCAGACTCGTGCCCTTGCTCGCATTTCGGCGGTGGTAAGCTTTGATCGCCTGTGGATATGTGTTAGCAGATGAGACATGATGATTTTCATTCTGTGCAATCAACTTCTGATTCTATATTAAAAGAATGTACGAAACGAATTCAACAATTCAAATAATCTGAATCTTCAAATTGGATCAAGGGATTCAAGCACCATCATTGTGGGACTGCAGTACGGACTATTGGGATCTCTGATTGTTCAAAAGGGGGAGAGACTTACACAAGTCCGTGTTTGTTGACAATAATGCCCAAGCTTTTGACAAGCGCATCGTTCGCTTTTCGCTTAGGTGCCGGGGCGACAGGGGCAACGGCACCAGCGGCGGCATTTCTCTGCTCCTCTTCATATGCTTCATCATATTCAGCATTGAAGTCAGCATCGAATTCAGCATCGAAGCCGTTACCCTCTGCGTCCTCGTCAACCTGGCCATTTTCAGCTTGTGGCTCAGGTGCGAGGACAGCAGGGGCAACAGCTTCTTGCGCTATCTCGATGTCCATCTCGAAGTCGTAGTAGAAACCGTCAACTTCGGAGGTCTCGTCCACCTGGCCGTTTTCAGCAAGCGGCGCGCCCGCTTGAGGCTCGGAAGCGAGGGAGGGGGCAGCGGCGGCGGCTGCTTCGACTTTTTCATATTCTTTATTGAAGAGTTCATCGAACTCTTCAAAAAAGCCGTTCTCCTGGGAGGCCTCGGTGACCTGGATGTTGTGTTCTGATTGTTGGGACATTGTTCAATTTGGAAGAATGTTTAGTATGGGAAGGATGTCTGATATGGGAAGAATGTCTGGTTTGAAAAGATTATTTGAGATTTGGTTGATGTAGGACTAATGGAATCATGAAGAATTCTTATATACCATATTTACATCTGGACCAGCTAAATTACCCCAGACTCTGTTCTGGTGCCGGCTCTGAGCTAAGACCTTGTAGTTATGTCTAGTGGTGAACTGGCGTCCCTGAGAAAACTATAGTAGCGGTTAATGGCTCATATGAAGTCACTAATTAGTAGCCAGAACTCAATGAGCATTAGAAGATATCTGCCAAGGGCTCAAGGGACCAATGTTTACAGCGACGGGTTTAAATCATATAATGGCTCACTTTTTGAGGTCAGAAATCATAATCTTCCGAAGGAAGGTACGTGTACATTGCAAGATGATTCAAAGATGATACTGTGTGTTTTATTTGACTTAATTACATATGGTTATCCTTCAGAAATGAATTTTCAGTAAATTGCAGCTTCTAAGCGACATATTTGTTCAATACCTCATCATGAATCACAGCGGGGATTTCGAGTTCGATCAAAGTATCAAAAACAGTTGAACTTTCATACTTTAATTTGGCATCACACACCAATAATTAGAAAGATGTATTGGTCTGGTGCTAGCTTCGAAGCTAGTCTTTCTGGCTTCGCACACTAAATCATAGTTTATAGTTTATCACGTGTACACAGTTATTTACAAACAATCGCATACGTATGCAATTTCACCTTTGACCGATTAAGAAATTCGAATGATGCAATTCAATTACTGCAATTTGGTTTCTCTTTGATCTAACAGTAGTCAAGTATACGATTTCGCATGTCATAACTGTCTTGAAGAGATTTTGCATCTCGCTTTTCTTTAGCGAACATAATATTCCAGAGCATTCTCCTATCCAAAAAAGGGGAGAAAAGAGGTGCGCATGATGAAGTCGACCCTGAGTAATAGAATATGACATGTGATCTTTAAAACTAGAAACATACAATCCGCTGATAGTCTCTTCTGAACGGTCTGCTACTTCCTATTCTGGAAATCAAATGACCCGCTAGAGTTTTTAGTGTTCATTCCACTAAAACGCAAAATAATTGCGAAGAGTCCCTCTTCTTTAGTATAGAGCTAGTGATATCTAGTTTAAGATAGATTATGTCATTAGACTCGGTATGTTGAAGTAATTCAACAATATATCACATTCATATTTTCCTACAATTTTGATCAATTCCATGTCATAGAATAGCAATGTAGACAATCGCTTTCCCCAATTATGAATTATCCGAATATTTGAGAGAGCCGAATACATTCTGGAGCGTCTCGGCAGCTTGTCAAGATGAGTACTCAGAGAGCTCTCCCAACATATTCGGATTTCGAAGAGCTTCCAGGAGATGAACAAATTCTCACTACGCTGACCATAAGCCTCTTAAGTCGTGAGAGAAACCTCAATCCACGTTTTAGAAGGGACCTCGCTATAGAACTACATGGGAGATGCTCAATTATTCTTCTTACCGTACCGCCTGTGGCTGTATTGCCTCCTCCACTTCTTGGCCGTTTTTTGCATTTCAGGTTTTCGACTTCCAGAACAATGCTGGAAGGGCTATCAAATTCTAGAAGGAAACTGAAACGTCGTTTGAAAATTGGTTTCTAGGTGGCTTTCAAATTATTATGATTTTGGGGTTTGGATTTGAATGCATATTGTACAAAGCTGGAGCTGTTAGCATGATTTTGAGATGTAGATCTTGTTGTTGTGGGCAGTGAAGGAAAATGATATATCGGTCGACATCATTCACATCTTACGTTTTTGATTCTGGCAATGACCATCTAGATCTCTATACCGCGATGTAAAGTAAAATTTCGCTTAGTAGGCTGTGTCAACTGATGATCAAGCTCCGCTGAAGCTATAACGTTCGATTGTCTTCAACCATCCACGATTTCTTGGATTGAGAAATTTTCTTGTCATTAAGTAAGAGCATCCGCGTTTCGAGTTTATGTTGCACCCCATAAAACAATGTTTGTATTGACAATCATCTCTTGCTGTGTGTTAGAAAGTTGCTAAGCTCGCCGATATAGCCATCATTTATCTCAGAAGAATAAGATTAACCCTTTCAGACCTCTATCCCAGACTTAGAGGCCAAGATGTAGCTATTTTTAAATCTCTATTCGAAGAGTGGAATTTCCATACAGGGCTGAAGAAGGTGATAGGCTGTGCATCAGAAATATTGAGAATCAGCTGGGTTTCTATGACGTTTACAATTGCGAACCGCCTCCAACATCTAATGTAAGATTTTACGATATAGACTGAGAATTGATATGGTGTATTATTGGAAGGGTGGTAAGAATAGGTTATCAATAATTTTTGGAAATCAGCTGTGAGTATACGACAACTTTGGAATATTGCTTTGCAGCGTCGGGATGAAAGTTCTATGGTTGCGGACGAGTCAATTTCTATTATTGGTTGAGATGAAACATTAGCCTTACCAACCTATTACTGTGACTATGGATTAGCTCGAACTAAACTCCTTCCCCGGATATCCGTGCAACATCTACCACACTACTACATGGTCATGTGATCATCGTAAAAGCTTGGAACTCAAAATAGGTTTGCAACTGGTGTTCGCATGTTGAGAGTCGAACGATGGAATCTTTGAGTTTGAAGTATATTGTATATCCGGACTGTTGGTAATACCTGGCCCTGTTGAGAAAATGATCTACGCAAGGATCACGAGAGGGTTTGCATATACGGAGACGGTCCAGCAGCCGAAATATCACAACCTCACAGAATATCTGTTTTCTGCTTACCACCCACGTCCAGAGAGACGTTGTGTGTGAATACGCTATCATGCCAATGGAACACCAGAAAGATACGAACATCAAATCAGCTGATAGTGACCAGCTGCACGCCAATGATTTGCTGCAATTTGGGTATTCGAGGTTGTACAAACTCTACACCTTTTGAATCCATCCCCTGCCGACGTGGGACAACACGACGGGAAAGCATGTGTAAACATGCAGGCAAATCCCAGAAGAAAATCCCATGCGGACAAATCTTAATCGCCCAGCCAACCTTTAATAGAGATGAATCTCAACAATTTTGGATCTCGCATAGTTGCGATAGCAACAGATTTGAGTATAGAGATGTCCTTAAAGCCCGAAGCCAAGATTCCGGGATGTAACTTCATTTCTGCACGACTAATTATTTCCACAATCAAATTTGAGGATTTTTGAGAGTTCTTTCAATCCCTCAGCTACGCACCGAGTTGAAACATTCATTGGGTCGTTTGACTCCCGAAAACGCAAACGGACTCAGTTTGCTACCGCCACCAACAATTGCATGACAATATTCTCGTCATCGGGGACCACCAGACTTCAATATTCCAAGGTATTGGAATTGGGTTGGCAGAAAAATAGTTTCAAAGTTGTAATTGGAAATGTTTCACAAAAGCGGCTGTGAAACCGACGAAATGTGCCAACGAAAAGCAGTAATATAATGAAATTAGAAATGCCGTGAATTTTTCAAGACTCAGTCAGCCTTGCATGATCTACAGCGTGGCTTTAATGGCTTTCCGGCTTTTAAATCTTTCGCCCAGGCTACCATGTAGTATCTGAGAATAGCAACTCTATTCTCAACTACATTGGTTTGCTCAACGCAATCTTGTCGATATTGTTTACTATTGTTTGAGTTCAAATTAGTGGAGGAGAGACATATATCTACGGTACATCGAAAACGAATTCGAAGCCATAGCCATAGCCAAGTTATCCATTCTTAATTTTATTTGAAATTATTCCCTTTTTGACCCTCCAACGGGCTCAGGTCCAACGCCGAGCTGAATTCTCAACCTCCAGATTTCCTATAATATCTATGACACTTCGAGACTACCGTTCTGTTATAAATTCTCCCTCTCCCCTTCATCATTTCACTTCGTTGGACAGCCACAGGTTAATCGTTACACAGCATTTGTTTATCATCGTTGTTACACTCCAAAATGGCATGGATGAAGGGACTACTTACTAGAGCGGCTTCGTTACATGCTTCGTTATCTCAATATTCTACTAATGGTCAGTGATCTATAGCTACTACAATTGAACTTACTGACTTCTATTGTAGGGCTATCTACATATGGGTGTTTGAACGCCTCCACACTTCCTCCATTCTTGAAAGATGGTGGTGTATGTTCACTTGGCGTCAAGCACATAAGTTGGTCTCCAGCTAACATGTTAAAAGTCATATTACGGACACCCTTGGGGAAACGCCAAGCCAGGCCCACACCTACCACCCAACACTGGAAAGACTCGGCACTATGATCTCACAGTATCCAGATCTATCAAAGCACCAGATGGGTATCAAAAAAGTGTTATCTTAATTAATGATCAATTCCCTGGACCACTCATCGAAGCAAATTGGGGAGACACGATTAGCGTCAGAGTCACAAACAATATTACTGATAATGGAAAAGAAGGGCTGAGTCTTCATTGGCATGGTCAACCGCAGAAGTTGACTCCTTGGGCGGATGGTGTACCCTCTGTGTCCCAATGCCCCATTGCCCCTGGAAGTAGTTTCACATACGAGTTTCGAGCCGAGTCTTTTGGAACCAGCTGGTATCATTCTCATTTTAGCGCTCAGTACAATGATGGCCTTTTTGGGCCATTGGTGATTTATGGGTAAGAGAGCCATCATCAAAAATTTAAGTCGCTTACTGAAATCTCAAAGTCCCAATCACGTGGATTATGATATTGATCTTGGTCCTGTCATGCTGGTTAGTTATTTTGCTTTTCAATTTTGTTTTCGCACTGATTTTTTATAGTCTGACTATCTTCATCAATCATATCGTAGCATGGTTGCAGGCGTCGCGACAAAAGTTCCGAACGGTCCAATATTCCCACACGTTGACAATAACCTAATTAATGGAAAAGGGTCATTGAATTGCAATTCTACCTTGGGTGGGACTTGTACACCGGATGCGGGGCTCTCCAAATTTAAGTTTACCAAAGGCAAGATACACCGTCTCCGACTCATCAACTCTGGGAGTGCAGGTACACAAAAATTCTCAATTGATGGACACCAACTTCAGGTTACGACAGTCGATTATGTTCCAATCGTTCCTTATACGACTAACGTGGTAACTCTTGGTATTGGACAAAGAGCTGATGTCCTGGTTCATGCAACGGGAGAATTGACCGATGCTGTCTGGATGCGATCTGATCTAGATGTTGCATGCATGCTTCTGACTTGCACGAATCCTCATGGTTTAGCGGCAATTTATTATGACAATGCGAATACAACACTTGCGCCGACAACAACAGGCGTGTCATGGGACAGTAATGATTGTGCCAATGTCAGACCTCTCACCCCGTGCTGATGACTGAACATGCTGACACAAATCACAGGACCCGTTACATTTAACCATTCCATACAACGAAATAAGCCCACCTGAGAACCCGTCTATTACACAGGACATGGAGATAAATGTTGGTGTGAATGGATCTGGCAGTGCCCTCTTCACTGTGAACAATTCGACCTTCCGAGCTGACTACAAGTAAGCTTTACGTTCTCACACACCTCTTCATACAATGACTAACCAACAACCTAGCTCACCACTCCTCCTCCTCGCCAGCCAAGGAACTCCCGTCTCAACTCTTCCTCACGATTGGAATATCTACAACTTTTCAAGTCATCCTTCTATCCGCATCCACGTTACCAATATCTGGGATACTCCTCACCCTATGCATCTCCACGGGCACGATTTCTTCGTCCTCGCCGAAGGAAAGGGAACTTGGGACGGCACCATCACAAACCCATCTAATCCCGTTCGACGCGACACAGCACTTATGAGACCTGGTTCGCCATCCGATCCCAGTTTCCTAGTGGTAGAATTCTTCGCAGATAATCCTGGAGTTTGGCCATTCCATTGTCATACGAGTACGCATGTTAGTGCGGGGCTTTTGGTTAATATTTTTGAGAGACCGGATTTGGTGGCGGAAGGGAGAGATCAGAGAGGTATGATTCCACAGGTGGTGAAGGAAACTTGCGATGCGTGGAATGCGTATACTAGTGCTGGAGGGGAAGTTGATGAGATTGATTCGGGATTGCGTCGTCGAAGATATTAAGGTGGTAGATGATGGGCGCTTGCATTTTCTTTTTTCAATCATGGCGTGCCACGAAGCGTGGTTTTTCTTCTTCTTCTTCGATTCTTAAATGAGAGTGTTTTCATGAGATAATAGTACTGATTGCGCCGCAGGAATATAATGGGTAAAGATAGTTTATTTGAACATTTTTTTTCTCGTAATTAGAAATATGGTATATAGGAAGAAAACTACCTACTGTCCTTAAAATGTCCATATTTTCTTAGCTTGTGGATGGATATAGTATGAGTGTTTTGAAATCTTAGGACTGCAGATCTAATGTTTTCAATAATCTAAACCACGGTTCAACAAAAGACTTTTGAATACTTACCTATTCATTGTAGAAACTGAGTGGATTTGGACAACTGACTTCACTTTGACATCGAATCTGTTCGAACAAAGTTTATCAATTCAGTTTTTGGATGAGTCACAAATATTATTCTCGCCTGGCGAATAGCAATTCTGTTTTTCATCGATCAATTCATTCGGTCGTTATCTTAATGGGAAAACGTACATGTTCGATATCTACACTTTCTTCGAGAAAAATAAGCCCATTCTATTCTCCATGCTCATTGCAAACGTATCCCCATTGCCTCATCCAGTTATTTACACAATTTCCGTCGATCGGATCCATACTCTTCAAGGTTGCGCTTCCTTCCACGGCCTTCTCCGTATCAAGCCAGACCTGTGACCTACCTTTCTTCTGTTTTTCGACTAGACCCTCATAGAACCCACGTATTTTTACTGCTGGATTATCATTTATATCTATATCCTGCATATTCGCTGCACTATCACATAGACGCTGTACCCATTCTTCGAAGGGTATAGTGGGAAGGTCTAGAATCGATTGTAGTCGAGGAAGAATAACATCTGAATATGTTGTTCGTTTAAGATTCACGAGATGGTAGACTCCGGGTGATCCAGAAAAGGACTCGATTGTTGAATCCGTCTCCAGTATATCGTGATTGGAAGATGTTACAAGTTCGTAAACGACTTTCCCAAGTATATCAACGGGGATCCAGTCAACAGCTTCCAATGGACCCAACGACGAAGGTAAAACCTTCAGATACGTGGAAGACTTTAAAATCAAGGGAAACCGTTCCTGTTCGTTCCACTTTCCACTTCTGCTTTTTGGACCGGCAATTTGACCCACTCGGTAGATCGAAGCAGGAATATTGGCAATCTTACAGGCAGTAGTAATCAGCCGCTCTGCAACAAATTTTGGTTGGCCATAACCCAAGCCTTGTGGCAGCGACCAATCCTCGTACAGAATCTTCGGAACACGGGGTTGCATTAACATGGGTTCCGTTTCTGATTGCGATGGCGTAAAATAGCCGGAGGAGCTGGGTGTATTTGATCCATTGAGGTCCCAATTTCCAACAGTGCTAATACTGGAGATGAAGTGAATGGAAGCACCAAATCTTGAGTGAGCGGAGAAATCAATCAACTGACGAACACGACGAATATGCGTTGCACCCATTTGGCTAAAAGACAAGTTGAAGTCAACTTGCCAAGCATTGTGGATGATGTGCGTTACTTCATTGAGTAGCTCCTTGTATTGGTCAAGCTTTATACCTAGCCATCCTTCCGTAACACCAGTAGCCATGCTGAGAAACTGGACACGGCTAAAATCTGTTGAAAGGCCCGTAGACGAGCTGGAATTTAGCTGACGTTTCTCGGTATCTTTCCTCTATTGAGGCAATAAACCTTGCATGTCTTGTCTTCTTCAAGTAGTTTGCTCAATATGTATGAGCCCAAAGATACAGTAGACCCAGTCGATAAAAATACTTTGGGTCCAGTGACTGGTGCTGATGGCCTAGCAATAATAGGCAAGTCAGAAACGAAACGTTCATATTCTTCCTGTATTTCAGCAAAATTTTCATTTTTGTCTTTGGCAGAATTTGAGAGGGCGCGTGCTAGTTTTTCTGGACTTGGATATGCATATATCATTGACTCGCGTATCAAATCCCGTGGAGGATCTTGTGATTCGAACGCCGAATTCACTGCCCTTGTTAATGAGATCACGCCTAGAGAGTCCAGCCTATGCTCAAAGAAATTTTCAGACGCAGAGAAGTTTTCGAATCCTTGAAAATTCGAAATGGTTCTAATGATGGTACCTTGTACGTCAAAGCTCGCCCCCTTATCCAAAGAGCTCATCTCGTTTATATTTTCCTTGTTGAATACCTGTCCATTGATACTTGTTTCATAAAGACTATTGAGCTCTGTTTCATATAATTTTTCGACTTGTCTTCGTTGTACTGTACCTTTCCCAGCTCTGGGAAATGGTTTATCAGGTTTGGTGAATGCGACGAAGTCCTTGCTCATTATCCGCGCATGCGCGGGACAAGTAATATTTGCAGTCTTTATTGTTGGCCATAATGCATCTAATAGGACATCCTTGGAGCCCTCGGGATTGGTTGGTTCAATCAGCACGGACGACTGGAATTTCTCAGTACCATAAACTATGGCAGATCTAACCTTAGGATGAGAGTTCAAAGCATTTTCCATGCTAATTGGATTGAACTTCTCCCCTGTAGAGTAGACGATAATATCATCAGAACGACCTTCATGGCGCCAGAGATTATGCTTGTTAGGGTGCTTGGAAAATAGATCCCGAGTTTTGTATTCTGAAAGATCTGGAAATGTATAGAAAATGCCCTGATATGCTTCTATCGATGGATCACGAACAATCACAAGCTCATAGATTTCGCCTGAGCAATGCCGCATTTCAACACCAAATGATGTAGAAAAGTCAAAGTAGTCCCACTAGTTCGTGACAGGCATACAATCAAGGTTAACTGAAAGATATCCATGAAAACAAGTTTCGGTGTAATATGCTTACATTCTCTTCAGGTGGTAAAGCCGCTTGAATATGTCCTGTCTCTGTTGACCCAAACCCCGCAAACAATTGAGTATGAGAATTGATGATATCTCCAGGGCCATTGGGTAATGGGCCACCTCCAGTCATGATATATTTGACAGGACGAAGGTTCTTTAAATACTCAGGGAACTTCGATATTTCCACTAACACGGCAGGGGGAAGATCCGAGACCTGCACTTTACCATGTATATGAACCTCATTTGCTAACTCTGCGGTCAATGGGATAGGCGGTGGAAGCACCGCTATCTGTTTGAAGTACAGAGCAGTCCCGCTATCTGTTTGAAGTACAGAGCAGTCATTATTCTGTAGACTCCAGTGGCATCTGTTCATGATAATTTGTGAGTAATATATTCTTTGAAACTCTTGAAATTGGAAAGTACGTGTTAAATATCAAACATGGATCTAGAGTCTAGTCTGAAGCTGAGCACCCAGAAGGGAGAAGGCTACGTACGAAATAGTGGGAACGCTAAGAAGCACCGTAAGCCTCGCCAATAATCGGATGTTGTGGCAACACCATAAAGTGAAATAGCCTTTTGAGAGGCATCTAGACTTGTGATAACACCTTGTGGTATTACGATAGGCTTGGGTGTTCCTGTAGTTCCGGATGTATGCATTGCAGCGAGCGGCTAAAATCTCGCCTCTTCATATGTTGCGGTATACTTATAGTGAGGTACATCAAATCCAGGATGAAAAAAGTAATCTAACGTGGGAACAGCTACGGTTTGAAGGTCAACCTTAGTTTGAATGTCATTGACAATCTTCCGAGATATCGGGGAATCCTTTGCAAATAGAAACTTTTCGCATTTATAATCTTGTAGTAGTTTGGTATGTGCTTCTAAGCTATTCCGTGGGGATGGCACAAAAAGCTACCAAAAGTAAGTCGGCGTGAACGAGGTGTCAGTAGGGCGACAGACCTTGTGTCCAGTTTTGATCGCCGCTATCATCGGGAGTATATACTGCAGATCATGGGGACCGATATAGGCAATGCAGTCAAAGTCTTTCCCAATGCCAGTGTGTTTTTCAAACCAATTTGACGCGAAATCTATGGCTTTGTCTAATTGACTGAATGTGATGTCCTCGAATCCATCACGTGGCTCGGAAGTCAAGGGCCTAGAAATGCACACTCGATGAGGCTCATCGATGGCAGTTTGATGTATATAATGAGCAATCAATTGCTTTCCACAATCCCGAGGCAGTTCTGAAATTGCAATGTCTATCGCCATGTCTATTCCAGGTAGCAGAAGATGGTCAAACTTTAATCTTGTGAAGCTATTTCGCACAAGTTAGAATTCGTGTAGCTAGTAAGTTCGGTCTGTGTCAGTCTACCTATATAATGTTTAAGGTCTTTCCGAAAGGATGAGCTTTCGAGCGCTTACTATTGTCGTTTGGCACTCTCGATCTAAGTATCTTTTTTCAACAATTAGCTTGACAATTGTATGATCCCATAAAAGCATCCTAGAGTGTAAACTCAAGAACTAAGTGTAAAGCGAAGGAGGTTTTAAAATAACAAGGAATTTATCCTGGGTAATTCATACATGAGTAACAGAATGCTTCAAGTAATTGAAAGGCTAGCGAGTTACAATTATCCAAGGGCGGAGATGAATTGACAGTCGCTATCATCAAATAGTCTCTCAGCTCACCTCCCAAAGGTGATTTGGACAAATTGGGATAAGCTTGCATAGGTGCGATTTCATGCGCGTGGGAACATATGCTGAGACTGCATCACCTTGCATGACTATTGAGCTTGAGATGATCTGTAGAAATCAGTCTCAAACCTCAGTCAATGTTAAACTAGGAAGCTTTAGATGCAATCGTATTCGAGATTTCACTGAAAACTACAACGAAAATGTAATCGTTCATGTTATTCGGACTTCTGTCAAATGATGGAAAATGATCTATTTGAAAAATCCCTGCTTGAAAAGTACAGAACCAATTTTGAGGGATAAGATATGGCCTTGCAGGGCTAGCTGCATCGACTGAGGAGCGGCGATCTAAATGGGAATCTTCTCGACTCAAGTAGCGGAAAAGACTGAAATGCATCTCGTATAAAGTGAGGCAGAAACTAGATTATAAGTCACCACACAGAAGAAGACACCGGTTCCAGGACAATTTATGGTGTTCGCTTGAAACATGTTGGCAACACAAGAGCGTAAAGAAATCTTGGAAGACGCGAATTTCCCGAAAGACACGTCTTGGGACGAAGAGATCTTCATATGACGACAAAATCCTGTGAATGGAGTACTATTGATACAAAACTATCATAAGAAGTAAGTATTCTTGAAATGATAATCGAGAGTTCTTATCTCGTGAACTACCTCTTGCATAATCATTTGTGGTATTGTTGAAAACCAAGTTTGCAAAACAAGTGAGCATAATTTGTTGCTTCATTGATGTGAATAAAGGCTTCTTGTAGAATAAAATGGCTTGTAAAAATGGGAAGTTGGGTATTATATGATTTGAGAGCTGATCGATGTGTTTGATCTGCTCGAGATGTGGAAAGTGTCATGAAGAGGAGAGCGGATACCGCTAACGTTCACCGCCACGTGGCAGTAATTTCAGCCTTCTCAGTTGAGCTCATCGATCTTGTCCACGTTTGACAAATGTTATATACCACAAAATATCGATACAAGTACCAAATTCGCTTGTAGATTGTAAAATGTCGGGAGTTCTTCTAGTTTCTGGTAGGAACAGTTTTCATCACCGCCTTATGATTAAGCTCCAACCTAATATATGCAAATATACGACGTGGCTTGCAATTGCATCATATAAGATTTCTTCTTCGGTGAGTATAGGGCAGGTCCTCGCGCATTCTGTGGACCATTCATCCCAAGGAATAATGCCAGAAACTTCGATAATAAAGCAAGACATTAACCACATAAGCTGAGGTCGACTGATGGCGATACATCCGTTATTGTTGCCCGAATGAACATTGTCGTCGAGGAATTTGGTATATTGCAATCAATACCATGCTTAGGAATATAAAGCAAATGTAAGGTGATCTGTGAGAACAGAAATGTCAGCACTAATTCGAATGGACACGGCAATCGCCATACACCATTAATATCCTGGTCGGAACGAAATTTTCAGCAGCGCCGCGTGAACTCACGGAGCTGAGAAGAGGATACACGCTCTCCTAAGAATTCTAATAACTGGTTCTATGAGGAGTCACTACGACGAATATAGCAGGTGTCATCGATAAGTTACTGCCGGCAGTAAGAGTTAATTCTCTCAGCTGGGGTTATTAAGACATAGGGCCGCTAGTGTCTCCAGTTTTTGAGATTATAATGACGTAAACAGATACCGCTCTTCCCGAGATTTTCTTCTCTTCAGATCTCGGTAATTTTGTAAGCGATCTTTCGTTGTGTGTGTAAACTTGAAGCAAGGATAAATTCTTTGATCGACCACCACGCGAGAGCTACATCCGTACCAGATTTTTTTACTTACATTGAGGTTGAAAGTTACTCCTTGGTTGACACAACTCTTTGGGCCCAATTGGATCCTTCTAGAAAGTTTATCACATTATTCGGTCTATAATGAATCATTATTAAAACTCTCAAGTTGTTCAAGGAAGTAGCTACGTAATCAACATGTACCATTCGGCTAAACTTCTTCAACGTTCATAAGTCCATGCACCCACCGTCGCCATATCAGAGCGAGACGATCGTAGAAGATTTTCGCTGACATTGATCAGGTCCTTATCTCCACTGATATTGTCCACGTTATATATACCTATCAAGTTAACCGAATCAAGCCATTCTATTTCCATTTTCCCTTGCAAAAACCGCATGAGAGAAGCTTTGTCTTAAACTATAGAACCATTTTCCTCCTCCCATTTTCCCCCTCCTATTTTCCCTCGGATTTATCTGCAAACCAAACCAAAAGTTCTTCTTCAGATCTGATATCTAGAGAAGCTCAACAGCCAATTTCTCTCCAGACAAGTGTATGGAGAGGGCAGTATTCCGTAGTTGGTAATACCAAGGCTTCTGACGAGACCATACTTTGTCCTCAGCCTGCTCGTGTACCCCGGAATAGCATTACACGTTGAAAAGGTTCTCAATAAACAAGTATGTCTCTGTGTCTTAGAAGTGCTGATACCGACGGTACACAACCCTGCTGTCTCTCGAATAATAACAAGCAATGGCATGTACGAGGTATCTCATACGAGGGCTGCAACTCAGGCCATAGAAGATCAGAATATGGGGATCTGGCCATGATCTATAAATATCGATCCGACTGTTGGGCTCAGGGCATCACATGCCGCCTCGAGTTCTACGGTGCAGTGCGTAACTCTTTCTCGTCTCATGTGAAGCCATTCTAGACTGCAGATGAGTGTTCGTCCAAGTATCACCATATATCATCAGGATTCACCATATGGTTATCGTATCTATCCGCACGTCTTTGTCCTAAAGAATAAGGATTAGCTTAATGACACCCAAAAAACCGCCTTCTCGCGGTAGCTTGTATTGGCCATCTCAATTCCGTATCAAAAATTTGCATCTGCCACCCATTCATTCTCGGGCTTCAGCCCAAGTTGTTATACACACAACCTTTGAACAACCGACAACAGTTCTCTGAACCAGATTATCAATAAGAAAGAAAATACTTACTCGCTTCTTCAGCATCTCTTCTCCACTTTTTGAAATCATGCCAAAATTCCCACACCCTCCCAAACACCCTTCCCAATCTCGATCGAATTTTCGCCATAGTATTTCTCTTTTTGAATTTCTTCTCTCTCCGACTTTTTGCTGCTTGTCCGGCACATCTCATTGTTTCTAATCAATACATCGATTAGAAAGCACTTCTTGCACAACATTGAAGTTTTCACATACCAGGTATTTGCAATCCAAAAGTCGAACTCCTAATAGAAGACATCGATATCACCTCTCCGACTCATCAATTAGACAATTGACAAGCAAGCAATGAAGCAACAAAAACAAGAAATATAAGAAGTAATCAAGCTTTTTCTTCCACCACTCTAATCAACGCCACCAACTCGTTAAAAAATGATGGGGATAAGCACAGGAGAAGAAGGCGTCATGAAAGCTTAGCCAACAATCTGATAAGATTCGTACAACTGTTATATAAACAACAAACACAGAGGCGTGGCTTCGGTACGATGTAACGGAAGAATCAAACAGTTAAATAAGCTTATTGTAACGGTTGGTGTAACATTGATAAAATAGATAAGGCTGAATCCGACTGTATCTACCCCGCTAGATCATAGACGATCGGACATGAGGTAGATGAGGGAGGCTTTCTTCTCGGTCAAGTACGCCTCGATATTGCGTTAGAAGGCCAGCATTGAAAGCAGCAGAGCGTACTGAAAAAAGCAAAAGAATCAGTCAAAACGAATGACAGAATTAACACCCATCTTTACAGCCCCCTCTATTTATTAAACATTCCTTCGCAGAGCCTCGGCGATGCATTTCATTCCCTCTCCCTCTTTTAACCTTTCCAACACCGCCAACCCCCATGCCAACGCATAAAACCCATTCAAACGGTTCGAAAACCCATACAAAATTACTCGCGATCGCCTAAACTACTCCCAAAACACACAATAGGCGTGTAACGTCGTACGACTGAACCCCGCTCGCCCAACCATTTTTACCCTGCCCCATTTAAACACCAGGGCATTTCTGCATCCGCGCCGCATTATTGCAGAAGACTTGATTGAAAATTCGTTCTATCGCCGAGTCCATTTAGCCGGTTCGCCAACCAACATGAGTGGTACCGAGCTGTCGGGTCGATGGATCGGGTTGAGCCGCCCTTTGAGTACCGAAAGTCCGGGCTTGAGCTCATGAGCCCTGCTTTCCGTGATGATGGAATGAAATGGCATAATAATGTTTGAAACAAGATGAAAATTCTCAAATAAGACTCTGATTTAAAGCACCAATAAGGAAAATGTACATCTCAACAGACATTGACACTTGAGGGGCTAAGTAGAGCAACCAAATGAGTACTCTCAATTTTTTATTTTGTCTGATAAGAATAAGACGATATGAACCCCGCTTCCCGTCGAGCGTGCTTGCTCTCGAAAATTAAACATGAGAAACTTTTATGAGATATATTATATTCGAAGTATTATTACAGCATTCGCGTGTGCATTGTGTCAGGTTCATGCTAACAATCAATAATTAACCCCCACTTGTATGCATTATCATGTAACAAACAAAAAAACTCCAGAAACGAGCGCGATAAGCAAATGCCGCGAGAACCGCGGAGAGACCAGGAAGAGTTTTACAGTGTAAAGTCAAGCAATGCTGACTCTCAACGCCGCAGATATGCCTTGTTATAACCGCTACTCCGCAATCCCATCCTTCCGTCCATAATAGCCACTTCCAGTGTTTCCAGTCCTGCCCCTTTCCATTCCAGCCCACCATTTTCATCTCCCTATGTCATAAATTGAATGTCGAAAATCATCAAGATCATAATGTGCTTATAGCATAGTGCCAAAAGTGCCATCGGTTGGAATGGCCTTTCTTGGGCTAGACTTCTCATCATCGTCTGTGTTTGGCTTACGATGTCTGAATGTAAATCCGACGAACAAACTCTTGCTCATAGCATCTTCTCGATCGGCCATATTCTCCAAAGCCGTTTGCTTGTCATGGACTTCTTTGTATTTAGCCATATCAGCTTCGTTGCTGAAGTCATCAAAGTAGCCTGCATCAGTTTCAGAGTCCAGCTCTGGTACGAATGGAGCACGTTGCGAACGAAGAGTATTCCAGTCAACCTCGGCAAAGTATTGATGTCCATAGACTTCTGAGATAGTGGAGAAACGCTTAACCTTAGATGTAATGCAGCTATTTCTGTTAGCAAATGCTTGTCTAGTATCAAGGATTATAATTACCTAGTGATGAAGTTCCAAGTACGATTACTAATAAAGTAATTTGGATCCTCCCAAACTGGCCTCTTCAACACTTCTCTCCAATGCTTCAAATTCTTCCAGGTTTCATCGACGGTAGCACCAGCAAATGGAGGAAATCCTGTCAAAGCCTCAAAGTGCATACACCCCAAGCTCCAATAATCCACTGTGAAGTCATACTCATCGCCTTTCAACACTTCAGGGGCCATGTAATCAGGTGATCCAACAATCGACTTGGCATAATTAACGTCTTTGTTTCTCAAGGATCTGTAACCTTCTCGGCGTTCCGCAACAGTACGCTCTTCGATAGGCTTGCCAAATGGAACATATGTCTCTCCAACCTTTTCAAGCTTCACTCGCATGGACTCAATCTTGCCTGGAGCAAGGAATCCTGCAGCAAGTCCAAAATCCGTGAGCTTGACATGTCCCGTAGAATCAATCAAGAAATTTTCGGGTTTCAGATCTCTGTGAATATAACCGAGCTGGTGCAAAGCATCCACACAACAAAACATTTCGGCAATGTAGAATCGAGCATGCCTGTTGGCAAGAACACCAGTGTTGTTCAGTAAAGTTCGGAAATCTCCACCTGGGACATATTCCTAAAAATAGTTAGCTTTGTGCACACATATGAAAAGGAGCAAAGTCCTACCATAGCTAAATATATACTCTTCTCATCCTGGAATGAGTAGAGCAATCTAACCAGCCATTCGCTTTTGGCATTGGTCAAAATATCACGTTCCGTGAGAACATGTCTAATCTCATCCAGCTTGAACAATAGTTTCTTACTCATAACCTTCAAGGCACAAACTTCCCTAGTATCCTTCTTCTGAGCAAGGAAGACTTGTCCATAACCACCTTGTCCAACTTGTGTCAAAATTTGGAAATCGCCCTGGCGTAGACGAACTCGACGTTTTCGCAAATTGGCACGCTCTCTACCAGCGTATTTTGACCAAACTGGAATATATTCTTCTTCGGGAGTTTCTGGGGGAGCGGGATATTCTGCCTTGAAATGATTGAGTCGATTTTGACGCGATCCGACGTAACTCAAGAGGTCATAATAGTAATCAAGGAAGTCTGCTTATAATTAGTAGTGCTGCTATAGAACGACAACTAAATACTCACAAAGTTGAGTCACATTGGCCAGGCGTTTCACATTTGGCTTGTGCAAAATCTCCAATTCCTCTGCAGTCAATCCACGTTGCGTGTTGTATTTTCTAGTCGGTGGTGGTGGAATTTCCCGAGTTTGATAGAGCTCCTGACGCGAAATCGCTGCTTGGTTTAGGGAAGGAGAATCGCGAGCGATCGCTGCTGGATTGAGCGATGGAGAATCTGTCTGTCTTGCGGCTTGAGGGGTATTGTTCTCTTTACCTTGTCGTCGTACAGGGCTTCCTGAGGGGATTGATGATTTTTGGATGATACTCTCATCAGTATTACCGGTCGAATTGCCAAAGAACTCATCGACTGCGTTGGCATTCGCTCCCTTTCCTGGAGTTAATGGGTTGCCAATCGGAACGCGACCAGTCTTTGTTGGACTGCTCAAATTGGCAGGAGTAAGCTTCATAGCAGAATCGAAAGCTGTAGGCAATTCGTTGGCTCCAGGTGGATTGCGGTTCTTGCTTGGACTTCCTTGGGGTGTTGAGACTGGATTTATGAAGTTGCTTCTATTGACAGGAGTACTGGGCCGATCACCAAAACTTTCATTTTGACTAGAGCGAGTATGCAAAGGTGGTGGGGGAACTGGCAAGATATTATCATGTTTCCCAGCTTGTGTGGAGGGGAAAAGATTGGTTATGAAGCTGGACATTGTTCGACTTCTACTCGCGGATTGGTTGTTAAGACGAATAACTCTGCAGAATGACAACGCACTTCAGACTAATGAAGGAACGGAGCAATCACAAAACGTAAAGCTCGCAGAAGGTTGTATTAAAAAGAACAAGTGCGAGTGCAGAGTGGCGGGGCTCGAAACGATTGAATATGAAGCGTTGAATGTGAACGTCCTGGCTCCACGATTGCATAGAATTCCCCAAAATAAAGTGCTCTAAAGTACCTGTTCTTGCATAAGGTAGGTGGGGTCTTGGCAATTGATGTTTATTTGTGGGAAAGAGCGCTTGAGATGGGTTTGGAATGGTTGCGCAGAGCAACCAGTATCGTAGGTAGGAAGGTATTAATTCAAGACAAACAAACGATGACGTAAGCGATGGGTCAAAGAGATCACGTTTTTATTGTATGCATTTTGAAAGTCGACATTTGGAAACATGGATAATTACTAGGTAGGCGAGGTAGGTAGGCAATTGAGATAGGTAGATGAGGATTTATGATTTTACAATCAATTCGTGATAACTACCTACCTACTTCACAGCTTGATTCTTCTTTGCTTGATATCCAACATTTTCAAGCGTGGTCTCTCACATAGATACATACCTACGAAGGTAGATTGGCATTCAAACGTTCAAACATTCAGATACATATCGTACTAATGACAATCTAAATTCCTATCCTTCCCTTCACTTCCCCGCCACTAGATAAGATCGCCATCTTTCCAAACCTTAAATTGTTACTAGCCAGTCTAATTCTCACAAAAAGTATCGCACCACCAGCTTCAAAACACAATACAAGCCTCGCATTTCGATCGATATCCATATTGCCCACCATGTTCTACAATCTCAATCCTTTTTCATCTCCCTCCACCACTACCGAAATCACCGACCTTCTCATTTATCCTATAAAGTCTTGTCGAGGTATCTCACTTAAATCGTCCCGCCTTACCACTCATGGCCTCGACCTTGACAGACGCTGGATGTTCGTTTCCGGCGATGACCATAAGTTCATTACAATCCGCGACATCTCCTCCATGACCTTGATTGATACCGCTTTTGCCACAGCCAAATCTCCCTCTGAATGTGGCAGTGAAGATGCCGAATATCTGGTCATCAGTATTAAGAATACAGATAAGAAGGTCATGGTCCCCGCGCGACCTACAGAACAATGGTTGAAAGATAACACAAGCTTGACGCAAGTGGACATTTGGGATTACAAGACAGATGGATATGTATACAAGGATGAGATAAACAGCATATTCAACGATTTCTTTGAGAAAGATGTCAAGCTGGTATACAAGGGACCAACGCCCAGAATCTTGCGGGGCAACGGAGCACCAGAAATCTTGGGAAGAGAGGAGAGCACCAACTTCCCAGATGTGATGCCAGTTTTGATCGCAAATGAAGCTTCCCTTCAAGAGTTAAATCAAAGACTGGCGAAGAAAGGAGCGGATGAGATCACAATTGAAAGATTTCGTCCGAACATCATTGTGAGGGGTAAAGACGAGAAAAACACCGATGACACCGCACCCGCTGCATGGACAGAAGATAATTGGAAGCGAGTGAAAATAATCAACAAGCCAGACTCGGGACTTTTATCCACCGCAATGGGTTCAAATGGGTTAGATATTGATATCCAGGCTCGTTGTGCAAGATGCCAGGTTCCAAATGTGAACCCAGAAACTGCGGAAAAGAATAAACACGAGCCATGGGATACATTGGTGAGCTATAGACGTGTAGATGAAGGTATCAAATGGAAGCCATGCTTCGGAATGTTGGGTGTACCTAGGTCAGATGGTCCGATTACTGTGGGAATGAAATTCGAGGTTCTGGAAACCACAGAGGATCACAAATATCTGAAGGGATTCTAGTGCTTTTCTTTTTCGGTCTGGGAAATCAAAGATATCACGTTCGATAATCGTCGTCATGCCTAGACTGTGAACATGCTCATAGTAAACATTCCCAAGTATCCATCAAATAACCATGCTATTGTCCTTCTCATAATGTAGCCTCATGAGTTCCGAGAATTTTGATTGCCCGCAGAGAATGAACGGCTTTGCTTTGCAATGCTTTGAAACTGTAATTATACCGTTGTCCATATTTACCTTTCCCAGGATTTGTTTTCCAATCTTTACCCTCGCATTCTCTACCACCATGCCCCTCAGAATTACACATTTGATGCATCCCATTTGTACTCCACACCTGCGAAAACAACTCGATACATTCCCTCCCACACTGCTTATCCCCAGTCAACTCTATCTCCCCCACCAGCACATCCTAAATCTCCCCTTTCCCCAACACCCTCACTTCTTCAATATCTACTATTTAATTAAGCACAGCCTAAGCCTTCTTCAGACTGATGAGTGGGAGATATATTATACTTGTTCATCACAACCTAGAGCTTGGAAACTAGTTGAATGTGCCCACAACATACAAACCTTCATCCCCAATCCACAGCTCCTCAAGAGCCTAGAAGTAACTCAACTAGTCACAATACTTTTCGTGATTTTCCTTCTAAATCCCAAGATTTTTGATACTCCACGTTGTGGTACTCGACGTCAATATTCTAATATCTGCTACATAGTATCGGGACTATAACCTTATTTCCCCAACTTTCCAAAGGTCTAACGAGCATCCCCCACCCCTCTTCCCCCTCAGCTCCACCCCCTCAGCTCCTAATCAGAAAACTCACTGAATTCCAGTACTTACAACACCTCGCTTCTTCCAATATCCCGCCCTCCCGATAATTTTCCAACATTATAACTACTCATCAAACAAATCCTACGCGCCCCCCCTTCAAATCGCATTGTTATCAATATGAGGAGATCGAATAGCCCAAGTAGAAGATTGTATGGTGTAGAGGAAAAAACCGATAGTTGGGTTGATGGGTCTGTGGCTTCGATGCATAGGAAAAAGTATCTAAGGAGTGAGAAGCTAAGGTGAAATTGTGGAGGGAGAGGGGTTTCGGACAAGGGCGGTTGGTGAATATCTTTAGTCATCAGCAATCCACGAGAAACGTGTTGGATGCAAAAGGTAAGAATAGCTTCATTGTAGTGAAAGAAACGAGGACAACAAAAGTAGTCAAAGACACTTTAACTTACTCATGAATACCAATCACCAAAAAATACACGCTTCTCTTTCCAGGGAGTACTTTTTTTCTCAAGCACTAAGATCTGGAACAATGAGCTGATGTTATCAATCACTTTTTTCTTCTCCTTCTTTTTCATGAAAAGAAATACACCTTAAGTTGCTGGAACAAATACTGGAAATATTCTTCATTTTGATTATATCGCTTAGAGATCGCTCTCAAATTGTCTAACCATCAAGCCCTTCTCGGCAAGAGAATCTTTGACTTGCTTAACCGTGTATTCTCCTCTATGGAACATACCAGCTCCAAGAGCAGCATCCGTCGAAGTCTTCGAGAAAACTTCTTCAAAATGACCAGGGTTTCCAGCCCCACTGGAAGCAATGACTGGTATGCTCACCGCACTCTTTACTTGGTCAATGAGTTCTAAATCAAATCCGCTATTTGTTCCGTCTTTGTCTATACAATTCAAGAGAATCTCGCCTGTTCCCATTGCCTCAACAGCAGTCACAAGCTCAACAACATCCATATCTCGTGTCTCTCGGCCTCCTTTAATCGTGCATGCATACCAACAATATTCTTCACCATTTGGTCCTGGGCATCTTGTTCGAATAGTGTTATGTTTCGTTTCTTCGGGTTTCGATACGTAAACTCTCTTTGGATCCACACTCACAACCACTGCTTGGTTGCCATAAGCACCAGATATTTGCTCTATGGCTGTTGTTCCAGACAATTTCTTTCCTCTTGAATAGTACTCCTCTGCTGCCGTCACAGCGTCAGATCCAATGGATACTTTGTCTGCTCCACTCTGGAAATACATTGTTGCGATTTGCAGTGCTGAAATCTTTGTACCATCGGTGTCAATGGTGTCCCTAATGCCTCCTCCAATTGTTAATGGAACAAATACACTTTTTGACGTCTGTCGTAATATTTCGAGCATCGGTACATCTGCTACCGGGCAATCTCTGAAACTTGTGATATTGAGAAATGTAACTTCGTCGGCTCCTTGTTCGTAGTATTTTTTGGCCATCTCAACTGGCTTTCCCAGGTTTCGTACATTTCCACCATCAGTTTTTTCTCGCACATCGTATTGATCACCCTTCGTCACCACCAAATCTCCTTGGTCATTTGTTCGCACATCCAAACATGCGATAACTCTTCTAGTCAAGCCCTCTTTGGCAGCGACCAAGCCTTCAACTGCGCTACTACTGTTGTCTCCGTCTAAGAAAGCTTTGATCACCCTTAATCCAGCAACTCCACTCTTCTCTGGGTGAAATTGTGTCGCCAGTATGTTTCCCTTTGCAATCGCTCCAACAAATTCTTCATCCCCATAGCGTGCGGTTGCGACGGTCCAACCTTGGCTTTCCAACTCTCCTTGCTTATATGGAACCTTGTACGAATGAACGTAATAATACTTCGAGCTTGGTCTCAATCCAAAGACTTCCTTGCCTGATGTGTTCGCGCTGTTCCATCCAATGTGTGGTACTGATTTCGAGCTATCGTCGAATCGATCGAGCGTCGCCTTGACATACCCAAGCCCAGGAACTGCTGGATTTTCCGCAGAGCCCTCAAATAATGCCTGTAATCCAACACAGATACCCATGAAAGGTTTCCCTGAATCAATGTGTTTTTGTATCGCTGGAAGGTATCCGGCTTTGGAGAATTGTGTCATGCAGTGACCGAAATGGCCAACTCCAGGCAGAATGAGTTTCTGAATTGCAATTTATTAGAAATAGTAGGCAAAACGAAAGAAAAAGCTTGGATTCGTAAGAACGAACTCAAAAAAACGAGATAACCTACATCTGCCTTTGGCACATCTTCTGGAGACCTGATCCATTCAATAGTATAGCCCACCTTCTCGATGGCATTGACCAAGCTACGCACATTTCCAGCAACGTAATCAAGAAGATAGACTTTTGACATGGTGATATATGAGTTTATGAAAAGACTTATAACAAGAAGACTCAATATATACTTGAAGGTGACAGGTGAGTCATGTAGAAGTAGTATAAAACTGGGTGTTGAAACTGCCCCGCCAACAAAATATTCTGCCGTCAACTTTACCGCCTTGTGAAATGCGGCCGCATTGGATCTGGTACCAGCCCCATTATTGTTCGATTTGCTGGTAAGGCTACCCTAACCTCATTCATCACTTCTAAATTCCACATTGATATTTCTTTTAATCCTGACACGCAATCATGTGGAATTTCAATCATAGGCCTTGGTCATAAGTCTAAATAACCTTTACAGCTGCTTCACCCCGCTTTCGACTTCACCTATGTCCACTAATCATTGGTCACTTCTAGAATCTTGGACAGCGCCTCAAATCATAATGAACCTTTGTACCTACATATGCTAACGACAAAAGCTTGACATGATCTCTCTAGAGTCTCAAAGGACGGCGCAAGCATTTCTAGTTTGTTATAAAGAAACTGTCACAGCCTCAGAGATCGGCTGTTCGAATGACCCATTATGCTTCCATCAGCCCATCTTGGATCATATTTCTTCTTGGGAATGTTGGCAGAGAAACGTGATAGTATTAAAGCAAACACATCATTTCACTTTCTATAAATGATCGCCTTCCTGCAGTCTAGATTTTCTGTGTTGGTAAGATGTTCTTTGGCTTTCCGCGTTCGGGAAAACTCCTCACTATGAGACAGTCTAGCAGAAGCGAGCCCCTTTAACATTCATTATCGGGGAGAAGTGGATTGCTCGTTCAAATACCAGCAGGTATATCACAAATCTCCTTCTTCTGTATTGCTTATCATTCAGAACTTGATGGCCATCATACTCCTATCATGATCTTCTCGATGTCGTCACGAAACCTGCACATGCCTAAATACAGTATCGACTCATCAACAGCATTCTCTCTTACCCAAGAGTTCTGATAGCACAGGCAGCCAGATTGGATACAGCTTTACAACTTTTCAAGGGAGTGTAATCTTCAGGGAGAACACAATTTCTCGAGGTGTTTGACTGTGTTCTTAAGCCAAATACTCCTGGCTGGCACACTGTGAGCCTATTTATTAAAGACCCTTTGGTCATTTCCGGGTATAGACCCTGCGTGATTTTCCTGAAAAGAAAAATGACCATTTCCAAATGGGACACTTGGTATTCTGCTTTACCAACATATCAAAACTCTGAAGTCAGAAGCAACTCTTACAAATTCTATTGTCACCTAGGGAAGTTTCCAATATGACGGGTGATGCGACATAGTGCGTTTGCTAGGATGATTAAGACTCAATTACTATATATTTATACAGCTTCTAGGTCAAATCACTTTGAAATGAACAAAATTCATGTACCACAATCATAAATCATCATATCATTTAAAGTGAGCCGACATTTACGGATTTTGTTAATGAACTTGGAAGTAACTATCTATCTTCGAAATTCACTCTTCTTTCTTAACAATTTTGTTGAAGAATATTGTTTATTTATGAAATGTTAGTGTCCATCCAAGAGACTGATTGGAGAGGTCTTCATGATGCAAAAACTCTACGAGATTCTATGGGTAAACCCTTGGTCCACTCACATGTCTATTCATTACTACAGCGCCCGGTTTATTTTAGGGTTAGAGAACAAATATCAACAAATTTGTACTGATTAGGAATCGCGTCGTTCTTAGGTGATCTAGTAAGTTCCTTCAAGCCTTTGATGTCTATAAATCATTTCGTCTCGACTCTGTACATCCTATTTATGTTAAATCCAAAATATTTTCAAGGACCATAACAAAACTTCTTTCAAAATCTTTATCAAGTTTATTTGCTCATCCGTTTACTAGAGTTTTGTTATCACATACTGTTCGGGGTATCATTTGATTACAATCATATTTACCTCCTGGAATATCTGCTTCCTGTCTTCTTACCTTTCGTCATTGTGGCAACAATTTACAAGGCAAGTTGCATTTTCTTCATGATTGTGTTTTCTACTTACACTAATATGTGTAGAACTTTCAAAAATAAGCTTGACACAACAAGTAACCCAATAAAAGCTTCTAGTTATACCGTAGATCTGTAAGTCCATCTGAACCCTCTTTCTCTTCCAGTAGCCCTAACTTGAACAGAACTCTCACCATGACCCGCAGAAATCCTAAATCTCCCGAGGCTGGCTTCTATGCGCCAGCAACCAAAGCGACTATCCCAATTCGCAACGAGAGACGTAGGTCTCGGGATGCTCCTGGTGAAAACGTCCTCAACATTCTTCCAGATGACGTTCGAAAAATGATCTATAAGCTCTGCAAACCAGCCCCGCGTGTGATCGAAATTTATAACTCCAGCCTTGGAAATTGGGAGAACCTCGCTAGAAGAGCAATATCTGTATACCTGCCTTCGAACCTGTATGAATATCATTCCACCCAAGTAGCCAGATGCAAGGGTGTCACTGTTCCTGTGCTACTTCACATCAACCACGAGTCGAGAGCATATGCATTGCGCTTCTACACTGTCATCTTCACTGACCCAATTCGTGGTCAGCCAGTCTATTTTGACCTACGGCGAGATGTTTTAGAAATTCAAGGCATGGAAGCGGCATTCGTATTACTTGGTCGTGTCCCCTCCTTCACCTCTGAACAATATGAGTTTGCAAAGGGAGGCGATATGACTACGGCCATGATGAAAATACGAAATCTGTCCGTTGCATTAGGCGCTCGTCCCGACCAACTTCTTACGGAACCTTTCTCTGGGCTTAAAGAATTCACGAATACGGAATACCTGCAAACTCTTTATCTTCATTGCAGTTTCAAGACAGAGTATGAATTACATTGCCGCTATTCCAAGCCTCGTGACAATCTGACTGTGAAGGATCGGGATCAACTTTACAAGGACAAAAAGCCCAAGGTAAGTCAAGCTTTTCCAATCACGCAATTCAACCATTAACATGTATCAGAGGAAATTCCTTGTTACAAAAGCACCAAAGTCCATGTATGTGTTTGGACAGGCAAAGAGATGAATGTAGAATGAATCATGAATTGAATTGCTGGAGGAAACACTCCTGTCGCACGTTAGAGACAGAGAGTTTTGGATTAGGTGGTGATAAGTCCGGACGGGGTATGCAGCTATAATATTCCCGAATTTCTATCTAGAATGATCAATGGACGTATTGAATTACATTTTCCTGTTGATGAACTTGCAAAATAGTGAATTGTGATCATGTCTCTAGATTTTGATTTGATGTCCAACTATTTGCCAAACTAGCTCAGTGGGATAGGGTTCACGATGAACCGGACTTCAGTTAGACAATGAAAGGTCTTGAGGAACTATGCGGCTTTCTTTTCAGAGTATAGTAGAGATGATCCAGTATATGCAGCAGTGTCCATGAAGTAGAGCAAAATGTGTCACGGGAAGATATCGAAACGGCAGCCAAAAATTAGGAATTACTTTGAAATGCTGAGCTCATTTTGCGTAGCAAGCATTTGAAAGAAGTTCGAAGCTCTTCATGAAGAATCCCTACGAGCTATGAATGCCACATCCCATCGCAAATCATATCCTTCTTCGCAACAGTCCATTTCTGTATACCAAATTCATGGTGCCCCTCCTCATCTGGAGGACCATCACCAATCCTTCTCAGAACCATAACATCTTCCAAATCACTGCTTTCATCCGATTTTGAGATGGCGCATTGATTGCATAAGTATCAAATGTAATCTTTCCACAAGCTAATTCATCGAATCCGTACTCAATAACGGCACATAAAGTTTCTTTAGCATACCCCTTTCTCGCGAATCGGTAGTTAATGAACACTCCAGTATCACGAATGAGAATATTTTCAACTGTAGGATTTTGAATTTCTTCATCGGGAAAGAATTAAAGCCCATTATACCCATCAAAATACCATCATAAATTCTCAAATCTTCCAAACCATTAGTTCTTGACAATTCCCCACCGTCGTTAAGAATAACCACAAGCCAAACATTTTCCCCCGCAGCTGTTGATATCTTCCATGCCTCAAGTTGTTGGGTTTAGTCTTCAATAAATAAATCTGGATCCACGACTCCGCCAAAAGATTTATTCTGAGATTCATTCCTTATAGTAAGAGCTAATGGGCGGGCATCAGAAGTGGCGTGGTGAAGTTATGTGATTGTCATGCCCAATGAGGAGGTGGGGTTGTAGATTGTTGGGACATCATTCGACATATTTTGGATTTGCTGATCTTCCATGTTTTCGGAGGCCAGAAATGAGAGTATCAAATACTTCATATACGCATATCACTCTGCTTATGAGAGACTGTTGATGTGAGTCACATTTTCGTCAGAAATCAATGGCCAAAGGCATCTATGCATGTATCTATCTCACCCCGCACTTGCTTCCTTTCTCAATCACCGATAAGACGTGTGACTACCTAGTACATCATCTTATTTTGCTTTTATTCTCCATCGTCGCTGTTGAATTATTGAACCAATCTATTGAGCCCAGTGGATCAAGGAAGTCCTCAAATTGAATTGTCTGATACAGAGCCAGTCAGTGGTAACGATACAGCCGTGGCATTGAACCGTCTACAGGAAGATATCTCCACCACAATTCCGGTGAAGTCCATTCAACAACCTCGATTTTACAATAATGGATTCTTCTGTGATCCATCCTTCAATAGTCAAAATCGGCACAAATTCATACCTCCTCGGACATGGCGTGTCCACGAACATTAATGTTGAAACTACTGAAGGCCAGGTGCCGCTAACCATTCTTTCTGTCGATGTGGATAATGATCAAATCACCCAATCATGGTTGGATTCTAAATGGAAAGAATTTTCTAGAAAAGACGATGTATGGTGTGAAATCTTTGCTCGTAATGTTTTGGCGCAAGAGTCTCCAGGAGTGTTACGCCTCATAGCCAATTCTGGTCAATCACAAATCCTCACATTGAGATCTTTCGAATATGAAGGTTTTCTACCTGAGGGTCCTTATATTTTGAGTGGCTCAAAAATTTATAGAATTTATAAATTGTACCCAGACCCCCTCGGTGCATTCGTTTGTGGCGTTATACCAACTGCTCCCGGTAGCAATCGGTATGATGATATACCTAACATTCCTAACATTTAACTGTCAATACCTACTAATGGTGTTCACCAGCTACCAAAGAACACCTTTGAGTTACGTTCCAGTTCCATCTCGACTTTACTCTTCCCCTTCTCATCTTCAACCACTCTTAGGTAAACGCATAGCAGTAAAAGACATTATTGACCTCGAAGGTGTCAAAACTGCTGTCTGCAGCAAAGCATACGAAGCCCTTCGAGATGTATCAAGCACCACGGCTCCATCAATACAGAAACTAATCGATAAAGGAGCTGTAATCATCGGAAAAGTCAAGACAACCCCTTTTTCATCTGGAATGGGCCCAAGAGATTGGGTAGATTATCAAGCACCATTCAATCCACGGGGGTGTGGTTATCTAGATACTTCATGTAGCAGTGCCGGAAGTGGAGCTGCACTTGCTGGATATGAATGGTTGGACTTTACTATTGGCTCAGACTGTGAGTATGAGACTCCATGGAGATAGTTCCCGACTGACATATATGATAGCACTCGGAAGTATGGTCAGCCCCGCAGCGGACAATGGACTCTTTGGCATCAGGCCCACTCATGGTCGTATCTCCTGCGAGGGACTTGTTCCGGTTTCATCGTAAGTCATCTACTTTTAGTACCAGGGAGTTTTAAACTAATAATATAGACATCTTGATACACCTGGCATTTTCAGTCGGGATATATCAGATTTCCGTGCTGCCACGAAGTTATGGCTCGGAGCATCTGATGATTCCGATCCAAAATCTTCCTCTGTGGTAATATGTACCCTATAGAATTTGAAATTTCCGCTGAGACAGACGTACTTCCACAGATGCCCAAGAAATTGACAATCCTGTCGGAAAGATACGAGGGCTTGGCTCCGGAAATGAAAAAGGTCATGGAAGATTTCATACAAGATTTCGAGAAGGCCACCCAGCTTCAGCGTAAGACCACCACCATGGATGAGCTGTGGAAGTCGCATGCACCAAAAGACTCGTCTGAAAAGACTTTCGCGGAGACATTCCAAACTGTAAGTAGACTTTAGTACCAAACGATATCCTGTATTTTCTCTCTAATTGCAGTGTCTAGACATTGGCACATATCCAACTCTACGGACACTACAACAATACCATCTCATTCCGAGAAGATTATATGAAGAAATTTGGCACAGAGCCGTATGCAGAGCCATTACTCCGTTACAAATGGTATTTCGTTCTTTCCGAGGTATCAACATCTATGCTAACAAACCAATAGGGATCTCGGTGCAAAACTGACACAAGATCAACTCACTACAGCATTGAAAGAGAAAGAACTTTTTTCTAATTTCATGAAAGCGCATCTCTTCAATGATGGTGGAGTCATGCTACTGCCTTGCGCCCTACCAGATGTCCCTTATCGTGATGGGTATTTTGGGTCAGTTCTGAATTTCCCAGTCGCTGACACTCTCGAACTAATTTTGAAGTAGTTCTGTTGAAGAATCCGGCGCGCCGTGGCAAGGATTCAACGTTCCGATTACTGTATTCTCATCACTTGGTGGAGGACCGGCAGTCTCAATTCCTGGTATTCTCCCACCCTGATATTCAAGATGTTTGAGCTATTCTAACGCAAACCTATAGTGGGACAATCACTCTACGATTCGAAAGTGACGGGAGCAAAAGAATATCAACCAGTTGGCTTGGTGCTCTTAGGTGCTCCAGGTAAGATAATCCACAGAGCGAACGATTAAAAACTTCTCTGACAGACACCTCCAGGAACGGATGAGTATCTTATCGATTTGGTAAAACATGTTCTGCTAGCATCTCATCGACCACTCAGTGTTAAGACGGGGAAAGTCGCGTTTTGAGATTGGGAAATTGAAAATCCATCCATCCTCTGGAGACCTCGGGAGTTTCGCATCTTTGCTTAAAAATCAAAATATTCACTCTGAAAATCCTCTTTGCTCCTGAATTAAAAAATCGTAGTCTTTTTGCATATGCACACTCCCGAGGTCCTCATATTACTACCTACCTACATATACCCATTTACTCGCGACTAATCCCGCAAATAATTTTTCAAGTACCTTGACATACATGACTTGCTTTCCTTATCTCCTTCCCTCATTCATCTTTTTCATATTCATACAAGATGAACTTGACATGTAAGATACCTAGGTACATGAGGTTATATCCATCTATTCACAAAAAAAAAAAAAAAAAGTTTTCTCCCAACCTATTTCTCGAAATTCCTTCCCTCTTCCCCTCAAAAACATAATCTCATAACCCTATAACCCCATAACCCTATAATATCTCTCCCCACCCATTCATCCATTTACCCACTCATTTACCTACTACCTACCTACCTACCTACCTACCTACCTACCTATCTACCACCTACCAACCTATCTACCAACCTACCTACCCATCTATACACAAAATCCCTCAACTCATCTCCCAATCCCTCATCTCATCTCTCAATACCCTCATCACATCCCTATCCATCTCTCAATACCCTCATCTCATCCCTATCCATCTCTCATTACCCTCATTGCATCCCTATCCATCCCTATCCATCCTCTATGTAACAAATACACATACCTACCTACATATATATATCATACATAATACATATACCCACCTTACGATCAACCAACCAACCAACCAACCCAACACTCCTCAAATACCCCTTATCTCACCTCCTCATCTCACCTCCCTAACCTAATTTGTCTCACCTCAAGCTTAATTTTAACCATATATACTAAAAAATCATGCACACACACATTAACCATCTAAACGAATTGAATAATTCAATTTATAAATTTGATTAACTAACTAATGATAAACATAGCTATTAATCTACTTCTACCCACCTAGGTAGTGAAAGAGATTTCAAGGAGAAAGAAATAACATGATTAAATAAAATCCTACCCGATCTCTTTGACGATCTGACCCTATCAATCAAGACGATATATATCCCCAACCTGACGCCAGCTATATTGTACAACAATTTATTACAACAATTAACCTTCCTCCTCCTCCCCTGAAGAAAAAAAAGAACACTTAAAGGTCCTCAGTTCCATCACATTGTTGCCACATCTGTACTTTGCTAACCTCCATTTGGCCTTGATTATTATTGGCAGTCCAGGTAGGATACCAAGTATCTCTCGCATTCCAGAAATCATTCTTGGCAGTAGCAGAAGCATCAATCCAAGGCTTTCCACTCTTGCCATCAGCAAACCATCCATTGGTCCCACCAACTGCAACATTAAGAATGAGATAGAATCTCTGATCGAAAGGTGTGTTGTGACGACCGGTTTGAGACCAAACATCTGTAATTCTAGTTCCATTGCTGTTGGAATCGGGGAAATCACCACGTTGCCAGAGTGGTTCACTGAAGGTATTGTAAAGTACTTGAAGTAGCTTAGAGTCGATGTAGGTGTAAAGGTACTTCTCAGACCATTCAAGGCCAAATGTATGGAATCCATCAGAGTAAGTAGTATGGAGTGCAGTACGCTTGACATTTGTTCTCCAGTAACCATCATTAGCAGAATCGGGTCCCCAATGAAGAGTAGATGAGATGATGTTATTTCCTCCTTGTGCATAGGTGTGGTTGTTTCCTCGGGCTTCAACAATGTCAATTTCTCCAGATGCAGGCCAAGCTCCATAAGTGTTCTCAACTGGCAAGAGCCAGATCGCGGGCCACAACCAATCACCAGCGGGTAACTTGGCAGTTACTTCAACACGCCCATATTTGATAGTTGCACCTTTCTTGGTATTGATTCTTCCAGATCTGACAGGTTGAATGATTGTACCGGCGGTAGTATTGGTGACTGAAACACAGTTGGTGAGGACATCGGATGAACATGTTCCATCAGATGTAAGGTTGATAACCGTATTTGATTCAATGAGTTTTGCATCTTGTAATGTAGGTCTGATGACGAGCTTTCCATCCTTGATGAAAACATTTTCATCGTCAAGTGTAGTTTGTTCAAACTCTCCATTACTGTGAAGTGTGAGTCAGTAGATAATCGCCAAAATTTCGAAAGAAGCACATACCCAAAGCCACCAACTTCTGCTTCCTGAGTCCAAATATCGGTATTGAGTGTACCACTTGAGAAATCATCACTCATAACTGGACAGTATTTGTGGTGGGTGACAGAAGCTATTCCATCATAGATCAAAAATCCCGCAATTCCCAACCCTACGAGCATGCCAATGATTGGAATGATTGTAACCCATTTTTCCTTTGGGTCTTTAGTGGCTTTCCATGGTTGATCAACTTCTCCCTTCTTTACTCTTCTGGAATGAAAATATCGTGTGCCATATGTTCTTCCTACCGAAGATGATGCACCGAAAGTAGAGCCAGGTCTTGAAGCGAATGGGGAAGCGAAAGGATTGACTACTCTGTCTTGGGTTGGAGAAGGTTGAATACTGTCATCAGCACCGAATGGATTGATGTTTTCAGGTGTTCCAGGTCTTGGTGTTGTGGCAATGGATGATTGAGGTGCGTGACCTCTAAGTGTAGGTTGTTGATCCATCTTGTGTGTCAAGAGATGAAAAGAATTACTTGTGCAATATCAAGATTATGATATGGTAGGAAATGTTGTAATGATGATCGTGAGGCAATTGAACTGATTACTTTCAGAAACGAATGTGATCAAGGTTGAGAGAAGTAGAAGATGGATAGAAAGGAGAAATGAAGAGAGTACAGAAATAGAGGTTGAAAGATATGGAGGGGGAGAAATATTTTGTGGCCGAGCTATATTAAGGGAAACGAAGGATAAGCTTCTTATGGTATAGCTCCTTGGCTTCCGCCCTACTCCAAGCAGGTCCTTGAGAATTGAGAGGTAAAGAGAAGGATGATAGAAAGATAGTTTGAAATGATTGGATGGATTATCGACTGAAGTGTTTAGGTTCATCCAGCTTCATCTGGACCTTGCATTAGTTGACATGTAGCTTTGATGACTAGTAGGAAAAAGAGATAGTGGGAAGATCATAGCGGACTAGAGGTTATTTTTTTCCCATGATTTTTTTGGTGGCAGGACTAGATATGGTAGTGCGTAAGGGTAGTGCGTACGAAAATGATGGAAAAGATAGAAAAGATGGACAAGATGGACAAGATGGACAAGATGGACAAGATGGACAAGATGGATAAGATGAATTGAAGACTTGGAAGTATTGAGGCACTCCAGCTGGGTAGTCACTTTCAAAGTGGATGTTTCTAGGCCCGTGGGGTAACTAATACATCTCGCTCCATCGGTAGTTCTTACCCAAAAAGGGAAGGAGGGGAAGAGCGAAGAAAGCACGAACGCAAAAGGGAAGAGAAAATTCCTTCATGTTACTCTTAATTAAACTAATCGTGATATCTGGGCAAGTGAGTGAAAATGTGGAAATTTACCAGAGGGACGGTCACTTAAGGTGGTACGACGGATGGTTACTTACAGATTTTATATGTATGATGTTGCACAATATCAGACCTCACAGTAACCGACGGAGCAATACCCAGGTACCTTTTTTCAATACCTAATATCAATTGTATCAATGGTATCAAATGCTACCCAATATATCATCCAATGTCGAGTGTTCAAGGTAGGTAGGCACCGACTGTTACTCTCAATCTAAAATTAGTGATATTTCCCTTCTTGTAAGACTTACATCCATTTTTTTTTATCAGGGCTCTAGTATTTTCCCCAAAGGTACTACTAGGTAGATTCATTCAATGGTGACATAATCACACAGCTTCCTCAGCCAATAATAAAAGGCTTATCAAAACCCAAAAGGACACCAGTATATCAAGTTTTCATTGATCGACTCTAGAGAGTTTGTCTAGTACCTATCAAGTATCTCCCTAGTACTTCTTTCTTCCCACGTGATATCATTCCTCCGATGACCATCTCCTAAATCTCAGCTCAAATCTCGTAAAAACAAAATGACGATAAGAAAAGTCGACTTTGCACTTACAATAGACAATAAAGAAAAATTCATTCTCGTCAGCTACCTAGGTATCCTAGTACACAATAACAATATCAAACTTCAATTCATGAACCTCATAACTCAAATCCACAATCTGCCCCTCATTCGCATGCAGCTTCCCGTGTCGATCACCCATTTCATTGGATGAACGAGTATATAAAAAGATCTCTTCATGGATACCTAAGGTTAGCCAAGCAAATTCTTATCTGGCGAACGGAACTCTAACCCCTTTTCAACATTATCAGTTTCTTCAACCACTCCCTCCGCTTACGACTTCTCCCATTCTCTACTCTGAATACCTACCTACCTATCTACCGACCAATATTCATTTCAATAATCTCCATCAAGCAATGACGCTCCGCTGGCCCCCTGGGAGCCACTGCCGTGGAGGCTTTTCTCGCTTTGCTCGATTATTGATAAGCGTAGGAAGGTGAAATCTGTGAGTTATCACTACCTAGGTACCTTAGTAATTGACTAAGATCGAAAATCACGAAAATCATGAAAATCATACAATTTTATTCTCCGATGAACGATTCGATTTTATTATTCATTCAATACAAGTAGGCTCGTAGGTAAGCTGAAAGACTCAATACCGACCGAATCCAATATATTCGGTATCTGTTGCTAAAGTTAACCACATACTCCCTATTTGATGTTACTTATCGATCAAGTTAAAGTTAGAGTACACGTCAAGTCTTTCAACCAATTCAAACCAAAAATATACATTTCTTAAGTTTTACTTTAAAGAACCCTTTTCTGCCATTCTTTCACTCTTGAATCCATTCACATACACAGAAAAAATACATCGCATCGCTTGTGTACCAATCCAATATAGCTGCGAACACCCACCTACCTACTACAGAGTACTATAAATCCAATCCCCCTTTCGTATCCATCCCAATCCAATCTCAACCCATCCAATTCCACCCCGGCAAAATAATCAGCATTGACATTCCCCTTGACATTCCCCTTGACATCCCTTAACATCCAACCCTAACATCAAACCATACCATCCACCTAGCAACGCACGCCCAGACTCCCAAAAATATCTGACCGCACGCACCCCAAAATCGCGTTTCGAGATATATATCGACAAATCTCTACCCGTGGCTCGGACACCACAGTTCTCAAAACAGAATATCGATATCGCATTTCGGATTCGGATGGGGATTGAGAGGAAGAAAAAGGTGCGTAGAGGCGGGATGGGGATAGGGGATGGGTGAGGAGGAATAAATGAATGAATGGATGGATGGATGGAAATTAGTTGGGATTGGTTATTAGCTAGGTAAGACCTAGGTAGACTGGAGATTATCAATATCTCTGCGGATTCGATTGTTACTCTTGGTTATCGGGTTTATTATATTATTGGTATATATATATTATCTACAAAATACCTTTATACCTGTATACCTACCTAAATACCCAATCCTCACCAAAAGATTCTTATCCTCGTTTCTCCTTCTCCCTCTCCCCCATCTCCATCACCATCACCATCACCATATCAGACAAGAAAAATCTCAATCCAAATCACCATCCCCATCACCATCCCCATCCCACCCAACCCCAAAATTCCCATCCCAGACTCGCCAGGAAAGATTACATTTTCCAATCACAAAAAAACCTGACTATACTAATAAACTGAGAAATATCAGAATCTCAAATACACTAAACTTTTTTATTAATTTTTTTGAAATTTATATTATATAAAAATATCAGAATCTCAATCAAAACTAGAATACCAAATACGTTTTTACAAATTAGATATAAAATTTTAATAATAGATTTAAATGAATAAATAAGTTATATTTTAAATAAATAAGTTTAATTGATTATTATTATTATATAATATTTTTTTCAGAATTCGAAGTTAAAATCAGATATTGTTAGAATTAATACAAGGTGACGACTAGTATAAAATATAGGTGTAGGATTAGAATAAGATTTTTCATTAATTTTTTCAAAACCTCTTTCCTGAAGCTATATATATATATAAAAACTCTTCGCTTGCTTCCGGACTAATAATCGGCCTGATATCGATTCTACATCGTATCAATACCTGTAATAGAGCCCTTCTCCTTAGGCTTTTATCCTCAAAAGCTTTAAAGCTATTCGACAGCCAATCGCTACTAGATCAACCTCTTTTCACAACCTCATTAACTCCTACAGCAACAAGCTAATATTGCAGTGCTTACATCCTCACTTTATGAGGTTCAACTCCTCCATAACTTTAAAAGAGCTATATTGTAGTACAAGAGTGCCAAGAACTAATCCAATCTATAGAATCCAATCCATATTCGAACCTTGAAAACCTTAAAAATCCTGAAAATCTTGAAAACCTTGAAAATTTCGAAAATTCGAAAAGGAAGTCGATTTACTTTCGATAGAGTAATAGTTCATATTCGAAAGGATTGTATTCGATATTTATATTTGATAGGGTTTTGCTTCCCCCTTTTTCGGCTTTCATTTTCGAAAGTATATAAAATATATAAAATTAGAATTTAATAGTCGTTTATTAATAAATTGTATTCCATTTCCTGAAAATCCTGAAGATCCTGAAAAACGATAAAACTTTATGAGCTAATCGGGCTAATACCCTCAAAATCTGAAAATCCTGAAATTTTTGAAAAATCCCCAAAATCAATAGAATTTCATTAACTTCCCAACAAATTCTCGAATATATATAAAACCTATGAAATTAAAGACTAATAGCATTTTCAATACTATATAGTATTCAAAATCCTGAAAAAGGCTTGAAAATCCCGAAATCCTAAAAGAAGCTTGAAAGTCCCGAAATCCTGAAAAAGGCCTGAAAGACTTGAAAATCCTGAAAAAAATCTGAAGGTTTGAGAAATCCGGAAAAAACTTGAAAATCCTGAAAACAACAAAGCTTTACAAGCTTTCCATTAATTCCTTGAAATCTAAAAGAATTCTAAATTTATTAGTTTTATTAATTTATATTAAGCTTTCAAAAATCTAAAAAATCTGAAAATGATAAAGCTTTTCGAACTCTTGAAATCTGAAAGATATCGAAAATATTATCTTTGTATTTACTTTAAGCAAATAACTCTAGCAAAAGCTATTTTGCTTCAAGTTAAATGTAAGCTATCCAATAGGGTTTATAGCTAATATACAAGCTACTCGATTTGCGTCTATCTATCAGAGTAAAGCAATTCTAGCAATATATTATTTTTGTTTTTGGTTAATATATAAACTATTCGATATAATATCAACTGTTTGTAACCAGTTTTAATTAGTAATTTTGATTGATTACAGAATAATTAGCTAAACTCTTCTCTAATATTTATATAAAGACTTTGTTTTCTTGATAGGAATTTAAATAGCTAGCTAGATTCTTTTCTTTTGTAGAACATTATATTAGAGACCCTATCTTCTTGGGATAGGAATCTTATAAAATAGTAGAGCTTTACTAGCTTCTCGCCGAATCCTTTAGGATTGAAAAACGCCTGAGGTAATTATTGCTTTCGATAATATAATAATATGAAATGAATATATCATTAGTATCTTGTAGGTGTAGGGTAGAATTTACAATTGTTTCGCAGAAAAG